AAAGACAAATCCCGAGCCAATTGAGCGCATTATCAATGAAAATCCACTCGTCTCAGCATCATCCGATCACACCGAAGCGCACCAGTGAGTATACTTTTCGAAGTATCGGCGACACCCCCACTGACACTAACCAGTCAAGCGTAAGCCAGCAGTGGAGCTCTATGATAAGGAAATTGTCCAAGCTTACAATAACGTCGACAATGTCGGTGCTGACTCAATTACATTCGATATCGATGACGTGCCTGCGTCTGTCTCTGCGATTGTAAAATCAGTGATCGGCAATAATGTCGAGGACGACGTCGACCTTGTCTCTCAAGGTATGGACTCTATGCAGGCCACGAATATCCGCAACAAGCTCGTTGCAGCTTTAAAACCTATCAAGAATGTAACTTTAGGTGGGACAGTCGCTTTCCAGCACCCAAAGTTGACTCTTCTGTCTAATTTCATTGAGAAGCTACTGAACGATGACGGCAAGCAAATGTCAGAAGAAGATATTGTGGCCACGAAGGCTGCTGAGATCAGCGCGACAATCGCGTTGCACTCACGCAAGCTCAATAGCAAGCCTAAGCAAGGATGGGTGCAGCCAGTAGGGGAAGGCAAAAATGTTGTCTTGACTGGTACGACTGGTGGTCTAGGAGCTCAGCTGCTGCAAACGCTCATGGAAGATGCAAACGTTGAGCATGTCTATGCTATTAACCGTACTCACGCCCACAAGAGTCTCAAGCAACGTCAGGCGGACAGTCTTGCTGAGAAGGGTATTACAGTAGACGATATTCTAGACTCTCCAAAGCTGTCGCTCATCGAAGCCGACCTGACAAAGCCGAATCTTGGATTGAGTACGACCATTTACTTGGAAATTAGTGCTAAAGTAGACGTGATCATTCACAACGCCTGGAGAGTCGATTTCAACGTCGCCTTGCAGTCATTTGAGCAGGATATTTCCGGTGTGGTTAATCTTACCAACCTTGCGATCACATCAAGTCAAGGTGCTGCAGTCATTTTCACGTCATCGATCGGAAGTCTTGCACGCTGGCCAGTCGGCAGAAAAACATTCGAGGAGCCAATCTCAGACCCCGCAATCGCAGTTGGAATGGGATATGGTGAGAGCAAGTTTGTTGGTGAGCGAATCTTGGCCACCGCCTCACAGACGACGGGACTACCAACGACAGTCCTTCGAATTGGACAGCTGTGCGGTGATAGAAAGTCAGGTTTCTGGAATTCTTCCAATTGGGTACCAGCAATTATTAAGTCTGGCCTCGCCCTCAAGTGTCTTCCAAATGGAGATGACTTGGTCGAATGGATTTCGCTAGACAATGCCGCGCAAGCCATAGTAGACTTTGCGCACAACAGAAGAAGTCTAGGCAAAACACATGATCTTTTACACATCGTGCACCCACGCCCAACGAGCTGGAGCGCGGTCTTTAACGTGGTGGCAGAGTATTTGAACAAAAGAGGCGCTGGTATCACACTAGTGAGCTATAGTGACTGGCTGGAAAGGCTGCAAGCCGAGGATACATCTAACATGTCCGAGAACCCTGCTATTAAGCTGCTTCCGATGTTTGAGTCTCGTGCGAAAGTCTCTGCCGATCGTAGGGAGTTTATTCCTTTACTTCAGACAACGAGATCTCAGGCTGCGTCTGAGTCGCTTAGAGAATGCACCGAACTCAACCAAGAAGATGTCGTGAAGTGGATGGATAAGTGGGTTGATGAAAGTTTCTTGTAAACGACTATATTCCTGTACTCGTCTGTCTTCTGCTTCTGATTGTAAGCCAACATTCAACAAACATCGCTACCACCAACCTTGAAATCCGGTTTGTTCTTTTCGCCAGTATCGTTGTTCGGCTTGATATGCTTTTCGACCTCCTCGCGGTGCTTCTTGAACGCGTCTTCGTGGGATAGCTTGTCTTGTTTATCGTATTTGCCGTAAGTGTCGTCATTCTTGGAATCAACTCCTTGCCAGAGCTGTCATTTTATGTATTCGACATCCCTATCATTTCCACGACGGGAGATGTTACTTTTAGAGGCTACTGGTGCGATGGTGGCAGTGAAGGTGAAAACGGCGAGAGCTTTAGCATTGTTGAAGTAAATTTCTATCTTGAGATATAAGGAGTTGAGAATGTATGTGTGCTTCTTAAATACATAGTTGGGCTGATGATTCTCGGTGTTATCACATCTTGTCATTTGGTGAAATGCCAAGTAATTTGGCTAAAGTTGTATATCAGCTGAATTTGAAGGTAAAAGGAAGCCCCTGTGTATTGTATTTATTCAATTTGACAAGATTTCACACTGATTAGTGAAATGCGACACCTAAACTCTACTTCCAATGTTGAGTTACGCGTCTAAAGACCCAACATGAGTGAAACAGGGGTATAATGATGCCCTTGAGCGCTTATGATGAACGACATCGATTGAGCGAGGCTGGATAGGCGTCACAGTGACTAATCCGATTTGATCAGAGATAAGCCATTCTAGTCTGCCTTTGTGACGCTCAAACGCCGAAAAAATTTGCTTCCATTTCTTAATACCTGCGGTTTTCGACAGCTGCGGGTACTGAATTTCCTTTTTGCGTGATTTATTTGTGCTAGAAGCTCGCCGATCTAAATTTTTCACAAATTAATTGCATTTACCTGAGCACATAAATTTCAGTCAGTATTTCTCTACATCTTCATCTCTCAACCTTTAAGTCTTCTTCAATGCAATTCTCTGCGATCGCCCTTTCTGCCTCCGCTTTCTTCTCCGCTTCACTCGCAGCCAAGCTGCAAATGAGAGCCGGTGACTGCTCTACTGATAGTGTCAAGTGTTGTAACCAAGTCAAGGACGCCTCCTCCATCGACACTGGTACGCTCGGATTACTCGGTATCGATGAATTAGCTGGTCAAGTCGGACTCGAATGTGACCAAATTGCTGCAGTCGTCGGTGTTCCGATCTCTAACCAATGCAAGACTACAGCTGCTTGCTGCAGTGACCAAACTCAAAATGGCCTTGCCAACTTGGTGTGTATTGTCTTAGACATTCTGGTAAATTGTCTAATTTCTTTATTAGGGATGTGTTCCAATTTCTGCCATTTAAGGTTATCCCTATGTATTACCTCTTGTACTATCCTATTTGTGGATTTAATTCGAACATTACTGTTAAACTGGGCTTAAGATTGATAGGTGTCAATCTTTTTCGTCGGATCAAAAGCTGATCTGATCAAGTAAACTTAAGTATAAAATGCCAATTTGCTGGTTGAGAACTTATTCATTGATTGAGCTACGAGTTAAGCCACGCTGACTCTGAATGCTAATAAATGACTCGGAGGAGTTCAAGAATCCGTCTGAGTTTCGATAATTTGTTGGCTTATATATTGTAAAACATTACCCTAAATTCGGCATCTTTGACGATCAATCTCTCCATCATACACAGTCATGCAGGTGATCGCCATTATAAAGCGAGCAGCGCTGTTAGGACTGCTACTGCTATTGCATGCATTGCATATCATAACTCAGCTATATAAGAGTGTCAAGGCGTCGCTAAGGAGGCGGAGGAGCTACAACGTCAACCCACCCAAGTCGATAGCGGTGATACTGATTATGAACGAATCCTCTGGTCTATGGAGGCGCAACAAGCAGCTGCAATGGCTCATCGATAGCGCACGTAACGCGACCAGCTGGTGTGAGAAGATGGGCGTACAGCAGTTGATGATATATGAGAGTACAGGTGGGTGTTTGTTGTCCAGCGCTTACCACGCTCACAACGGTGTCAATATGCAGGCACTCTCAAAAAATATTACAGCGATATCCAGGACGACGATCTTGTCGCAGACACTCCACCCCTTTCTCCACCACCCACACCAAAGATAGCGCCGAGGAGACTCAATAAGGGAATATCCGTGAGGGTGCTGTCCGGCGACGAGGCATCAGATCGATTCTTCACCGTAGCAGAGGATGTGCATAGGGAGGAGTTTGAGACGCATACGCAGAGGATAGCATTCACAGACAGCCTGATGAAGAGATGGTACAAGCATGACGACCCGGAACTTATCGTAGTGCACCATCTCCAGCCATCATTCATCAGTAGGAGTCTGCAGATGAACGGGTTTCCACCCTGGCAGCTGAGGGTTGGTGAGATATACCACGACGCTTTCCGCCTACCCTTTTCGCGCGGCCCACTTAAACAGTACACATTAACAAAAGCACTCTATGCATACGGTAAAGTCGAACAGCGTTTGGGGAGGTGAGGATGGAGCAATACTTAAAATGATTCTAAACAAAAGCAAACGGACAATCATCAATACAGCATATATTACATTAGTTCTTCTGTTCGTGCACCTGGTTGAGCAACTTGCCGGAGGAGATGGCGCTCTTGATGTTGTCGATGACCAAGACTTCCATCTTGTGCTGCGTCTCGCGGGTCTCAGTGCCCATGTGCGGGAGGAGGGTGATATTGGGCATGTCGATCAGTCGCTGGTCGATCTTTGGCTCTTCTGGGTAGACGTCGAGACCCGCCGACGAGAGCTTGCCAGATTTGAGAGCGTCAATGAAGGCTTCCTGCTCCACGACACCCCCTCTAGCCGTGTTTATGAGAACGGCGCCATCCTTCATCTTGCTGAATTGATCTTTGCCGAATGAATTTACCGTCTTTTCGTTAAGTGGGAGGTTGAGCGAGACGACGTCTGAGGTGGCCAGGAGCTCATCCATCGTGCTGACATACTCGCAGGGGAAGCTTGGGCGCGGCTGAATCTCCCTCCTGTTATGGTACTTGATCTTCATATCGAAACCGAGCGCTCTGCGTGCGACAGCCCCGCCAATACCACCCATACCAATAATGCCTAACGTCTTTCCCTCAGGATCCGACGCAGGCTTCAAACCCTGCTTGAAAACGCCGTTTCTCGCATTCACTTCTGCCTTCCAGTACTGACGTAATGAAGATACTATCAAGAACATGGCTGTAGTGGCTGTTGCGTCGTCGACTGCAGCTGGTGTGTGCGAGACTTGAATGCCTGTGGTGTGTTAATTTATTTGCACTGAGATATTGCCATCAAAGCAACTCACCTCTAGCGGTGGCAGCAGCAACATCTATCTGATCATACCCAGCGCCGTTGTGGCAGATGAATTTAACGGTCGAAGGAAGTTTGTCAATAAGCTCCTTGTCGTACACGCCAATCTTGCCTGCGCTATCGTTGTGTCTATAGATTGCGACAGTGTTGGCGTACTTGGTTTGAAGGTCCTCGTAAAACTGCTGGCGTGAGGTTGAAGTGAGCTGCACGACCTCGCCGAACTGCTTGAGCTGCTCAATTTCGCTATGTGCCCATACGATGGTACCGCTGATAAGAATCTGCAATTATTAGTGGGTTTGGTAGTGGCAGTATTACTGTAAGCTTACTTTGGACATGGTTTTGTGTAATTTTGTAGCAGTGGACAAAGCCGATCGCTTCTTCTTATAATCGCGATAAACTCCGCTCCGGTTAGCGATCCGAACGGAGTGATGTCATCGTTGAGCGTTTGAGCAGATAAAATCGGGATTGTATTTTTAATTCATAATTAGCATCCACGCATTGCAACTTATTTGACTACAACCAAAAGTATAAAAATGTCTTCCCTTTCCAAAACACAAAACGCATCAAACCCAAGCGCATTGTTTGGACTGCAAGGTCAGAATGTTTTAATCACGTATGTATATGCTACACTTACTGACAGCTCTCACACACTCGCAGCGGTGCTACCCGTGGTATTGGCCAGGCTTGCGCTATTGGACTTGCAAAGGCTGGCGCTAAGCATGTCATTCTCGTGCAGAGAGACACCTCCAACACAGCAACAAAAGATCAAATCACACAGGCCGGCAGTAAGGCTGATATAGTCATCGCAGATTTATCCGATATGGATGCTGTTAAGGGTGTGTTCGATAAGGCCGTTAGAGTGGCAGACGGTGGACACATTGATGTTCTGATTAACTGCGGTGGTATACAAAGACGCTCGCCAAGCACAGAGTTCAGCGAATCAGACTGGGACGACGTAATCAACGTTAATTTGAAATCTGTTTGGTTGTTGTCTCAGGCAGCAGGAAGACACATGGTACCCAGAAGACACGGAAAAATAATCAACTTTGGCTCACTATTGTCATTCCAAGGTGGATTCACTGTCCCAGCTTATGCATCTGCTAAAGGTGCAGTCGGTCAGCTTACCAAGGCACTTTCAAACGAATGGAGTAAGGAGAATGTCAATGTCAACGCTATCGCGCCAGGTTACGTTGCTACCGATATGAATGAGAAGTTGCTCGCTGATCCAAACAGATTGAGACAGCTGAATGAGCGCATTCCTGCTAGTAGATGGGGTGAGCCTGCTGACTTTGTCGGCCCAGTGATATTCCTCGCAAGTGAGGCATCCAAGTATCTCAGTGGGGAGATGCTTACTGTCGATGGTGGATGGATGGGTCGTTGAGTCCTTTTGTACGAATACGAATCCGAATAAAGGTATACATAAAGACATGCATGTTATTTAATGCTAGTGGATATATGATGCGTGAGTGGATCTTGGTGGGGTTGAGTAGTGCTGGTATTTGTCCTCCGAATACCCTTTAAGAGCTTTCAGTGCTCTTAGTACGCTCAAGACTCTGAACACCTCCACTGATATCAGTAAACCATCCTTCTCTGATAAGAATCCCTCCAATGTCCTGTAAAGGCACTCCCGCGCCCTTCAGACCCATCATGTCAGTTGCAAACTGCAACACCTTCTGGTTGTCCAGTTTGCCATTGAAATTGCCGTTAATTGAGGTAGCTCGCGCTAGTGTGGCGTATATTGCACCTGCAACAAACGCTTCATCGATGTAATTTGAGTTAGAGTATGATTTCGAGCGAGAAGAAGGTGCAAGAGGTCGACGTGTATTCTCGCTCTTGATATACTCCGAAGACTTTAGCGAAAGCATGAAAGACGTCCTCTCATCCCAAATGCAGTAAATAGTTGCTCTAGGTGAGACCCTCAGCGACATGAAGAGGAGAAAAGTCCTCGCATCGTCAAATCCGCTTTTCTGAGTGAAGCGTTAGAGATAATTCAACACACCAGTAAACACTCACATTTACAAATTCCTTGTTGAAAAAGACAAAATCCGCAAATGGAAGACAGTCCACCATGTCTGGCTTCAACTTGTTGAAACAACTGATTGATATGAGTGTGTTCTTGTATCTTGGGAGTCCCATATCGTCGACGCCTTCACCTTTACCCTTTCGCAGATGCTTGATTGTCTCATACAGATTCGTTGTTGTCTGGCCGTCGAAGTGTATCCAGTCGAAATTGAATTGTTGTAAGACTCTATCAAAATACTCCAGCGGCGGTAGAGAGCTGGATCCGGCGCCGCTCGAGTGGTTGAGCCTTGTTTTCGTATTGTTGGAGGTGTTGTTGATAACGAAAGTGTGCTGCGAGACGCGTTAGACGAACTTATATAGCGACCACTCAAATTCACCCACAGGAATAGCCGCAGAGTCTGATTTGTAGATGTACTCGGTTGAAATCCCCTCCTCAGCGAGCTGGGCTTTGACGCAGTTGCTGGTCAAATCTCGCCCAAGCTGCGAGTACATATAACACTCAGTATTCGGTAAGCTAGAAAGAGCATTTAGAACAGTTGAAGCCCCTTGCACGCTGCTGTGCTGCGATTTGCTTTTAACTTTGGCGCCTTCTTTTGGGTATGACGAAGTTGTGCACGTCGTAGTGAATTCAAGGCTGCCGGCGGATATAATCTTGGATGCTCTCCCCATTTTCAGCGCCACAACGGCTGCTATCAGTCTGCAGATCGTTAAGTAGGAAGAGGAAGGCAGCGTGATTCCTAGTAGCAATAAGCAATTACAAACAAATACAAATCACAACAAATCATTCAAGAAAATGCTTTGATCGAATTTTGACGTTAAATGATACAAGAATTAAATAGCAGTGCGTGTTTAAAGTATAGATGACTAAAGCGCTTACTCAAGCTTGACAACAACCTTACCGACGTTCTTGCCGCTGAGCATGTCAATAAAGGCTTCTGGTGCTTTCTCAATACCGTTGTAAACGTGCTCCTTGATCTTGATTGAGCCTTCCTTGACGAGTTTTGGAACGATTGCAGTGAACTCATCGTCAAGAGTCTTACCTGAAAAGTCTGGGTGGCTGCTTGGCTTGTCGTGGAGATAGAAAACGATGAAGCCCTTCGTGGTCAATCTCTTGAATACGAGTTGAACGGTATTCTTGAGACCGTACATTTCACCTGCGCTGTTGTATTGACTAATGGCACCGCACATGATGACAAGACCATCTGGGTTAATAACTTCGAGGACATCTGTGGGGATTGTAGTTAGAATATGGTCAAAATTTTCCTCCTAAAGCACTCACCATCAAGCATTTTACCACCAACATTGTCGTAGAAAATGTCGATACCGCCGAACTTCTTGATTTCCTCCTTTGTGCTTGACTCTTTGTAGTTGAAGGCAGCGTCTGCACCGACTTGGCGACATAATTCAACCTTTTCAGCTGAACCAGCACTAGCGATGACCTTTTCGTACGAGTTAGACTGTCAATCCAACAGAGTAATAGATTACCAACCTTCAAACCAGTCTTCTTTGCGTATTGGATAACCAAAGCACCGACAGCACCAGCACCAGCACTGACGTAGATGCTTTGACCTGCCTTAGGCTGACCAACGTGATAGAAGGACATGTAAGCGGTTCTGCCTGGCATACCGCAAGCACCAACGAGGGTTTCTGGAGCAATGCCGCTGTCGCTGACGTCCTTTAGGCCTTGGGCGAATTGTTCATTGAGAACCATGTACTCTGAGAATGGCAAACCACCATAAACAAGAGCACCTTCCTTGAAAGCAGCGTTCTTGGACTTAAGAACACGGGCGACACCGTGGTTTTGAATTGGTTGGCCGACGTAGAATGGAGGGACGTATGATTCGCTGTCTGGTGCACGCATTCTACCTCTTTGGTAAGGGTCGATGGAGAGGGTGATGACCTTGAGCATTACGGAACCGTCTGCGATGTCCTGTTGTGTATCGAACTCATCACTCTTGACTTTAAGTGTTTGGTCCAACTTTGGTTCACCGTGTGGAATTTCGTTGAAGATTACAGACTTGTTTTGTACCATTTCTGAAAGTTTAATGTTGGTTGTTCGTGTGATACTGGTCGCGCATTTTATAGCCCTGTTCGCCTCCACAGTAGTTTCACGAAGATTATTAATTCATCTGCTTATAAATGTGTAAAATTATCTCAAGATTATTAATTTTCGCCTCGTACGCCGCATGATTCCCTGTATGGTATTTTATGCGTGTGAAGGCATTTGGTCTCAATTTCCACAGCCGGATATAACCGGTTACATCACTTGTCACTGCCAACCATTATGTCTTATCCACGAGTATCGACGTGTATGTCGCGGCATTTGCCTGATTGCGTCGTTTTGACGCTGATTTTGCCATGATTTGTAATGTGTTTGAAAGGGCACGTATTTATAAGCGTGTTCGGTGAATTACGTCACTCTGTCTTCTCCCTTAGTTTCAAACAACATGGTCTCCAATAAGACAGTTTTATTTGATTCTATCCCAAATCACGAGCCAGTCGATTCGCTAAAGATCGTCACTCAGCAATTCGACCTCGACCGTCAACTCGCTCCTGGGGAGGCTATTCTCAAGGTAGAAATGCTCAGCCTCGATCCGTATATGAGGAGCAGGATGAGGGATCCCAGCATTGAAACCTACGTGCCGCCATTCACCCTCGGAGAGCCAATCGACAATGGCGGTGTCGTCATTGTCCTGAAGAGCAACAACGCGCATTTCAAAGTAGATAGAAAATATTACGCTGGCTTCACTCTACCTTTTTCCGAATACGCACTCGTTACTGAAGCCTCGAATGCCTTCTATACGGATATCACCGACGCTGAACTTCCAAACGAAACCCTGATTGGTGCATGTGGCTTGCCGGGAAAAACAGCTTACTACAGCTATAAGCAGCTTGTAAGGGGTAAGGCTGGTGAGAAGATCTTTATCAGCGCAGCTTCAGGCGGCATTGGACAAATGTTATGCCAGCTGTGCAAGATGGATGGTTTAAAGGTGTTGGCTGCTGTAGGTAGCGACGAGAAGGTCGATTATTGCGAGAAGACACTCGGTGTCGACCGCGCTTTTAACTACAAGACGAGCGATACTCGAAAGGAATTGGCTGCATTCGGATGCGACATATTCTACGACAACGTTGGTGGGAAGATGTTGGAAGATGTTTTGGACCAAATCAATGTCTACGGACGCGTAATTGTAGGTTGATCTCCACTCAAATGATCACAGGCTCATTCCCATTAGTGCTGCGGTCAAATTGCAACTTACAACTCCGGTGCTGAGGCGTATGGTATCAAAAACACCTTCCAAATCGTTGCAAAGCGCCTATCATTCCAAGGGTTTATCACTTTCGAGTTGATTCCACAGAAGCCATTTCATGAATCAAAGTACAACACAATCGAAGAAGAATTCATGGCTACCATACCTTCCATGATAAAGGAGGGTAAGCTGGACGTCAAAAATCACGTCTACAACGGCATCGAAGCAACTTCACAGGCATTCTTGGACTTGCTTAGAGGTGACAAGCACGGAAAGACTGTGATTCAGCTGTAGGCGGAGCAGTGGAGTAACATATAGATATTTTAAATCCCAATTAATGCAATTGCTTATAATTTACAAAATACACAAAACTAAACAAATAATAATCTTAACATACTCAAGGTTTACTCAGCTTACGCACGACGTTTACTTTCCTTACGGGGGTCTTCTTGTGTTGCGCGGACGGCGTTTTTTTAGATACGGGTATGTCATGCGATGTGTGTGTGTTTTGCAAAATTTCATCAGATGCAGTAGCCTTGGCCCGCTTCTCGAGCATGCGTATCTGCGAGACAGAATCTGCCGACTGTGCTTTGAGGAAATGAGTGGTGAGCGGGCGATGGTTTTCAATGTGTAAGTGACCATCTAACGCGGGCACATGAAGCGGTGGGACTTCTTCCATCGGAGATCCGTCCTCCATGAGCGATCCACTAGTAAGCGAAAGGATGGATTCAATGTCGAGACACTCGCCAGGTTCTATAGGTGTAAGGTTTGACGGAGTGACACAGTCCATGTCAACCTCCTTCCTGAACACATGGTCGACATCTACACCAGAGAAGAATGCAACTGACATGGGTAGATCGTCCATCCCCAACTTGTATGTGAACATGGCTCGCGTCCATAGATTGGATATCTGCAGAGCCAGTGCCAGTCTATGTTTATCCTTCTCCTCAACCAAAAAGCGTATCTCGTCATGCACCGATATCAAGTACCTCGCATTCAACTTGTACTTGTTAATGAGATGATCCATGGAAACGATGAGCATGTGGAGGTAATCAACTCCACTGCTCTGTACCACCCAATTCACCCTGCTCGTCATGAAATTGCTGCCAGAGGAGGGAAGATGTTTCTTTGCGAGTGCAGCTGTGATCTCGCACCCAAGCGTAGGTGTACGCGGTCTGTCACTCAGTGCAATTTCTTCGAGTTTATTGAAGACGTATGATTCAGTTCCGCCAAACCAAAACTTTCTCCCGAATGCCTCTTTCATGGTCATACCTTTTGTTGCAGCGTAGAGATCTGTCGCTCGTTGCTTGGCTTCTGCTTCGCTCATTGATGGGTTTGATTTTAGGAGCAGTTGGACTGCATGCTTCACACCAGCGCCGTATATACGTGAATAGTTGAAGACCTGCGTGGATGTAAGTGTGCAAAAATTTAGTTAAACACCCAACATACCTTGGCTTGGTCTCTGGAGATACCAAGAATTTTGGCTGAGACGGAGTGCAGATCAGTACCGGCATTTTTAGTACCTTCCAGTGTCATCCATCCGATAGAAGTGGCACCCTGTACACCAAACTGAGCGTCACCGAGGGTTGAACAAATCCAAAGCTCCTCCGAGTCAACATCTGCTCCAACAAAGGCATATCCAGGAGGCGCCTTAACCATAGATTTAAGTTCACTACCGACTCTATTTTTCTTGGCGTTAGATGCAGTAAGCCAGGTTTTTTCAATTGCTCGGCGAGTGATGGTGCCCATGGTGATAACTTCTGGAAGGATCATGCCGCGTTTGTGAGGGTAGGTAGTTTCTCGAGTGCTTTCATTGAAATTGACGCTTTGTACACCATTTTGCACACCACCTTCCACGCCATCTTTCATTCCCATATCTAACCCACTCGTTCCATCAAAAACAGCAAACTGCTTGATAACTCTCTCCCTTGCACTAATCCAATAGCTGCACTGGGCATTGAGTGACATGGCCGCATGAGCCGTGTCGTCCTCACTGCTCAGCATCCCTGACTCCAAAGCATGTATGAAGCCTTTAGAGAGAAGATTACCGACGTTGTGCTCCTCGCCGTCTTTATGTGGTATCTTATAGAAGGCGAAATCGCTCTCCATCCCAGCGAGGTGGTCATCGGCGGGATGTTTGAAGGATAATGTGGGCTGGCGGGTGGTGTGTTTACCAGTGGAGATATCTGCACGAGGCACTCTGTATACATAGCCATGTTTGCGTGAGTGGAAAACTGGATAGTCGAGCCAGCGTAGTTTGAGTAGAATGGGGGATAATTTACTGCGTGTAGAGACTTGTACTTTCCCTTTCTTTTCTCCTCCTCCTTCCTCTTCACCTTCTTCCCGCTTTAACTTCCCTTCCAGATCCCAGTACCACTTCGGTTGCATCTGTGGTTGTGCGGCGGATGCAGCAGCTGGTGCTTTAAGTGCGTTGGCAGATTGTAAGAATGTCTGGTCCAAAGACACGCCTGTGCGCTCAGCAGCCTCAAGCAGCTTCTTATTCATAAGTGGAGTTAATTTGGCAGGTGTCCAATCAAGTTCCTTGAGCTGTGCGTAGGTGGGCGAGTATGATGGTTCAGGGGATTCAGTGGAGTCTGGGGAAGAATTCAAGTAGCTATCCAAAGCCACTTTACTGATTAGATAGTCAGAGGCCATTTCATACCCCTCAAACACCTTGAGCAGATCCTCTTGTTTGAGAATGCTAGTGAGGCTGCCATCTTTCACGAGTCGCAGGAGCAGTCTGCTTATTAAACTACCCGTGGCTAAACCTGGGAGTGGAAGAAAGTAGTAGTTCTGCAACTCGTCATACCTCACATCTCCTTCCTTGAGCGGGATGCTTTTTTGTTCTTCACCCTTTGTAGTACTACTCCGTCTCACTCTCGCTGCCCAGCCGAGAGTTGTCGTGAACACAACGGGATGACCCAGGTACTTGATTTGTAGCAAGTAGGGCAACAGGGTAGATTTGAGAGTGGGTGAGCTGACGAAGGATGCTGTGCGTGTCGAGAGAAGTTTAGCGAGCCAAGAGGGTATGTACGTCGAGACTGTTTCTCTCCTACTCCCGCTCCCACTCCCGCGTCTCACGCCCCTTGTACGTTTTGGTGTCCAATCGAGCTGCGCGAGCCACACATCATCTCTCCACGACTCATCGTCCATTTTCCCACGGGCAAATTGAGCCAGTTCCCCTAAGCTGGTCTGAACATTTTCCGACAGCTCCCTGTACTTACCTTCCGCTTTGCGCAGGTACTCCCGCCACGAGGTGTCAATAGGCAGGAAAGAGTTGCCCATGCCGAGCATACCCGCAAAGCTGACGGGATGTGGGCAGCGGTCGAGGAATAGTGGAAGGACCTTGCTGTATACGTCGTGCGTCGCCTGAACGTCTACGGCGCAGTAATGCATGAGATGCTGCAATTCGTGTCTCAGCGTATGCGCGTTGCTCGATGGATCAGTGAAATACCCCCGCACTTCCTTCTCTAGAGGCTGTCTGCGGGGATGGTAGAGTTCGTATACGTTGCTGAGCGAGTTGGAGGAGGCTATGTCCTGCCACAGTTTGTGGTCGTCGGGGGTGTCTGTGGTGGTGCTTTCGCTTTCGCCACTGCCACTACTACTGTTACCACCCATCTCACCCATCTCAAAAGCGCGGTCGAGTGCTTCCTGCGCTTCTCGCTCTTCTCGCTCGTATCGCATCAGAGACAGTAGCAGCTCAGGATCGTCGCGCTCTGCGAGAATGTTCTTGATCGACTGGCTTGCTTCGCGTGCATGATCGCGTTCTGTCTTTTTGTCGCGCTGGTGGGCGATCCACGCTGGGCGCTGTGGACTGGACATGCCGCGCACAGCGACGTGCAGCGACATAGTATCGATGAAACGGTTAGAAGAGAGATGAAGGGAGTACTCTGAACCAAGTCGTGCTCTATCGAATCCGACATTGTGGCCGATAATGATCCGAGGTCTTGCAGGTCTCCCGTGGCCATCACGATCGTAACTCTTGTGGCTCTCTCCGAGTGGTATAAAATGCTCAGTGGTCTCCGAATGCCCGGTTAAATAGGGCGATATCCACGAGTACCAGTGTGTGGGTGAGGCGGCTACCGCCATCACAGCGTGCTGGGATAGATGGGGAAGGGTCTCCACGTCAAACACGAGCATAGACTCACCGCTGGGACCATTTTGGATAGATTTGTAGCTGCCGTCTGCATCGTATACAGTCCAGCCGGGGGTATCAGTGACCCAAGAATCTGGGTACGGGGGGAGATTCGAGGCGGAGAAAGTCCGCGAAAGAGAAAGATACGGTTGTGCAGCCTCACTGCCAATTCTGTAGAAGTGATTGTCTATATCGGGTCCTTGGAGGGGCGGGAGAGTGAAGGTGGTGGGTGGGAGAGTGGATCCAGTGCCACCGAGATCGTGCTTTTGTAAATGTTCCAACGCGATATTTATGGTAGCACTGTCAGGACCCTGCAGATCCCGCGGATAGAGTTGTTTACGAAGAGATGGTGTGAGTAGCTGCACACCGACTTGATTCCTGTGTATCGTGTGTTGATAGCGACGCAATCTGGCTAATTTATATTATTAGAGGGCTCAATGCTATTGAGATAATTCCCCACTCCGGCTTATCTTTGGCTTTAACATGATGGTCGTTGCAGACAGAGGGAAATAAGGAAAATCAAGGAAATGCATTCGATTGGCTTATTTTATTTGGTGTCTCGAGTAATATCCATATGCAGCAGCAGCGAGTGTCACTCCGAGCGTGACTGCCCACTTGAATTGCTGTCTACGCCTATCCCGCGATATTCTCCTCCTTCTCCTCTCTGCCCCGCTAAACTCTATAGATGGCAGTGGCTGTCTCACCAGACACTCAAGTCTCCCCACCGCCAACTCTGCAGCGCGATCAGTGATTGAGAATGGTGGTGACCTTAACACCGACTGTCTTCCCATAATCCCATCCACATCAATCAAAGGGTGATTAAGTGGAAAGCGCTGTCTAATATTCATCGCCATTTCCATAACTTGAGTAAGTTTTTCATTGAGACATTTGGGTATATGAGCGAGAAATTGGTGTATGTTAGCAGTGTTGTCAATGTCATCAATCTTTTCATGAGCATCTTTACCGTCACACTCCCCAGCCAGCTCCACTAGTCTCTCCTTCTCAGCCATCACAAGCGCTACGCAGAAATACACCAGGGCAGGTGGACCTTCGACGATCCAAAAATCGAATAGACGGGCAATGGTAGGTTGATCGACAACGTCATGTGCGAACAGCGTTAGTATCCACGACAGTGCAAAAAAGGGTTCTGGAGCGGCTTGTTCAACGATAATGGCCACGTCAGGGTCGACTGCAATTAGTATCTTGTGCAACACGCGCAACCATCCCCGCACAGGCTCCAAACCCACGCCCATCGCATCTCTGCACCAATGCAGGGTAAAACGGTGTATGAAAGCTTGCAAAACACCGACATCAACGTCAAGCTCAACGAGAATGACAGTGATGACATCATGAAAGCCTTGGAAATAGCTTAGAGTGGGATGTAAGCGGAGAGTGGTTGTAATTAAATCGTAGAGGAGTGCCTTGAGTTGATTCTTGTGCTGTAAAGTCACGTGAAGTGGGTAGTGGATCAATGAGCGGTCGATATCGAGTCGCAGTTGGTTCTCATCGGGGTGGGGTGTGAGTAGACGTCGCTTGTCTTGCTTGTTGAGGTCAAAGTGGGTTGTGAGATTAAGGCGTGTGCCGTCACGAACTGGATTGAAGGACGACAACATGAACCACTGCCGCGCTGTATCGTGGTGTGTTGAAGTGGATATGCCTGTATCTGTGCCTTCTCCTTTGCCTTCTCCTGTGCCTTTGGCTTCTTTTGTGCCTTCTCTGCCTTCACCGCTCACACCCATCACGTGACACCTAATAACACCGTGTGAGAGACGTGCGCTGTATCTCGCTCAGCACGCCTCACCAAGTCCTCGTTCGCAGCTCGCGATTGCTGCTCAGCGCAGATAGCCGCACTAGACGGCGTATATTGTGGGTATCGTTGGATGAAAGGGCGGTGTTGAGCTGGGAGTGGAGCGATGTGTCGTTTGCACTGTGGGTGCTGAACGACATGATGATGGTTGGAGACTAAGGGAAAATGGGGGAGATGGGAGATATGGGAGATATGGGAGATATGGCAGGAAATGCACACGCACACATACTCACACACAACTCACATCCGCTTAATCAACCACATGTGCCGATCGCGGGGAAATAATCCGGGAAAAGAAAAATACTAAATGCGTACACTATTTAGAGCAGAAGCAGCCGCACTGACCAAACAACAAATTAGCAGTAAAGAGAAGGCAACTTAGAGCAAGACCACACGGCACGGCCCGTGCGCTTCGGGGGCAGTCGATTGAGCAACTTGAAACGGAACAGCGAGGAGGAGATCGGCGAGCGACACAAATTAGGCGAATAAAATCAATTTAAACCAAATAAAGAATCTAGTGACAGCTGCCACTGTAACTCAATTTGGAAAGACAGCGGGGGTTGCTGAGTACAGCCAAAGAAATGCTCAAATCTAAATCGCTCACTGCTCTATTCTCCTTAAGGCAGACACCTCCATTAATCAAGCTGCGTGTCGTCTTCGATAACCCAGAATCACGAGCAACGCCATTCACCGTGTCGTTCCCAGCGAGTTATACTGTCAGAGATCTCAAGGCTGAGATCGTCAAGCAGGAGAAGCTGCGTGGACGTGGTGACCTATTTGAGCTGATAGACGATGAGGAACTACTCCTCAACTGTATTCGCATCTACAAGACACAGATCGACGTTGGCGCAGAAGCTCAGTTCAGACAACACAACAAACAGCACTTGCAAAACACTTCGATACTGTCTTACTTTGAAGGTTCGTATCTGAGCGATGACGACATGCAAGTGAGCAATCTTATCAAGCGTGGTAAGAAGGGTACTGGGGGGTGGGTTAAGCGTGACGATATTATACACCTGATTGCAAGGGTTGTCCCGTTTGCCAACGACACTCACACTCTCCTCGCCTCTTTCCAGGATGACATCAGCATCCAAGACAAGACCCCTCCTATCATAGTCGACGCGGATGGCGATTGGACGGTGGGACAGCTGAAGAAAACTCTCATTCGCGCTGATGGCAGGGCAATCAATCCTGCTAAAACACTTATTTATGCCACTGACTGTGTTTTTTCACCCGGTACTGACTCATCACTCATGGAACGCGCGGCTAAAGTACCCTTGCGCGTAGAGTCGCTCAAAATTAGCAATTTCTTTCCACCTACAAGCCACCTTGACAGAATATCCATCGTCGTCTCCTTCGACGTGAAGGACTTGCCCGCCAAAGTGCGCTACGAGCATCCGCGACGCCGCTTTGTGTATGATCCACGACTCACTACTCGCGAGAAGCCGACCAAATGGAAGCCGTCTAAGCGTGGAGCTATGCGCAGTGGTGATAGCGATAAGGAGGACGGTAAGGGGGCTGATAAGAAGGGTATGCCCACTCAACCTTTCATGTCTCTCCCGCAGCTTGATTTTGACGGTGTAGATCGTGTGAACAGGTCGAATACTGTCAATGACTCGCACACCTCTCACACCTCTCACACCTCCCACACCCCTCGCACACCAACAGACGATCAGCAATTGATAAGTAAGCAAAATGAACCTCAATACAACTTCCTCGGCGGTGACTCTGATACCTCTGCATCACTAGCCATTGCATTAGCTTCTTTTGATAAGCAGTTGGTATTGTAGGAGGCACCTTCACATATCGCCATAAAAACGCTTCTATATCGCTACATAATACTCCCGGTACATACATAGCAACAAAGAAAAAGCAGGATGCTTGTTAATAACCAGACAATGATATTTATTTTGTATAGCAGTGTGTGATTGTGTGACATTCCCACAAACCACACCTAGAAATTCTCTTTACCGAAGCTATTTTCTGCATCAGTGAGCACCCAAAAAAACGCATGAAACACCCACAAAAATCTAGTGCTTTTCGGATTAGAATGTTTATTGCAACCCTTATGCAAAGCCGATCCAAGAACGGGAGGGCCGCAGAAAAACACACCAGCGTCAGTATTTGGATGTTTAGCAGTAATATTCTCAAAGATTCGATCCCAATTTGGTCTACCAAAGTTAGTTGGAGCGCGCAGACCACTAATTGCATCTCTCTCACTACCTATATCGTGAGCAAGAATGTTTTGTATGTCATCAAATTTGATCTTGGCGGTGAGGTATGTCTGAATTTCAATGTAGTTGTCCAAATCCTGCTCTTCGATGGCATGCAAAAGCGAATGGAACCACTCTGCCGAGCCGAAATCCCGTATGACCCATATAAAATACACCTTACTAAGACGCGTCGGTTTGGAGGGATCTGGCCAATGAGCTCTGTACCAAATATCTTTTAGGATGCTGGCGAAAGGGGTAACACCGATACCAGCGCCGACGAGCACAGCGATTTCGTACTGCAGGTGGTTGTCAGAAGGGATATACTCCCGTCACACCAACTACCACACTCACATTAAACACATCCTCACTGGCAGACCCGAATGGACCATCGACCATAACGCGGGGGAGGACTCTATTAACGATACCAGCGTGTGAGCTATTCGGATGAGCGCCCTCGATGACTTTGTCGTTTTGCTCAAAGTCGCAACCGAGGGTATCAGCAAGAGCGCGGGTGAAATCACCCGCTACGCGAATATGCACGCTGATGTAATCCTCTTCAGGGGCGCTAGTGAGAGTAAAAGGGTGCCACTGCCAGAGGGAGAGTGCAGGGCAATTAAGGAAGATGTACTGACCTGCCTGCGTTTTGATGCCCTCTTTGCGTATCTGCAACTCAATGACTTGTGAGGGATGTTGGATGACTTTGCTGATGTAGGTGAGCTGACGAGCGCGCCATTCGCGCAGCAGTCTCTCGCCGATGTATATCACACCTCCCGCCAGCCAGTATTTCCAGAACACACCCACTTGTGAGTAGTCGCAGTAGGGTGGAGTGTCCGGCTGGATCATGCAGAACATCCCATGCGACTGCCACAGCACGAAGAAGGGAATAAAGAGGTGGTGCGAGTACCAGAAACGTTCGTAGCCGGTATTCGCGCGACGCATTTTTTTCTGACGCGCAAAGTACACCATTGTGGCAAGACATGCCGTCATGATCCACCCCGTCGCTCCCGGCCCAGAGGCGAAGTTGGAGAGAAAGAAGCCCTTGAATCCCGTGCCGTTGTGCTGCGCTAGACGCGCGAAATTGGACTGGTGGGACAGGATGTGCAGGACTGTAAACACACACACCGCATAGCCAACTATTTTGTGGAAATCTATGTGCTTGTCGAAGGGTATCACCTGGCCCAAAGGTGTGCTGCGTGCGTACGAGACGAGCGTACGGCAGACAGGGAAAAGGATGAAGGCGATGTTGATGTGCAGGCAGATAGCGGCGCTCTTTGCACTGACAAAGGAGCGCCCAAAGACTGCGCGAGCTGCGGGACTGTGTGAGTGTGTGTATGCCCTCGGGATCGTCGCCCCCACTCACCCCCGGCATAGTTGTCGTTGAGATCGTAATTCACAAAGCCCAGCCCAAAGACCAGACTACAGAGGAGCACCCACACACCTATAAAGAGATAGCTGAGCCCGTCATTCAGCAGAAAGATGCGCATCCTGTTGATCAGCGAGAGCTTCGGTGGTGGACCATGCTGGGGAATGTATCCAGGCTTGTTGAGCGAATTGGCCTTGCGGTGGCGGAGATGGGCCGTGGAGGGGTATGGAATGGCCATGTGGGTGTGTGTGTGTGCGTCGTTGGTGGCCGTGCGGGAGAAGAGCGGGGAGGGGAAATTTAAGAGCGTGAAAAGGGGCAGCGAGGAGCTGTGAGTGACGGGAGTACAGATCTCCAAGAATATCGATGGAATTAGCGATACTGATCTACCTCCTTAACATCACATGGGATGAGGGTAAATGCACAATAAACAGTACACGCAGCACATACAGGACACGTATAAACACCGCCCACGCGCACCTCTTCCAAATACAACATTTTATAAATTTTTCCAGAGTGCGAATATAATTTTTGGGAGGCGCAATAGTCTTTCAGGACAACAACTCAAAAAGCACCAATGTCAGCTGAACTCGCAACGTACGTGGAGCGTGTACGATTGTAAAATAATTAATGCCACGCCCACAGCACCTACGCCTCACTCATCTTGGCTGACGAGAACGTGCCACTCGAGGCAGAGAACATTCTCAAGCTCACCTCAGCAGCAGGTGTGGAGGTCGAGGCCATCTGGGCAACACTCCTCGCCAAGGCCCTCGAGGGCAAGGATGTCGCTGAGATTCTCACCAACGTCTCATCCGGTGCTGCTGCTGCCCCAGCTGCAGGTGCTCCAGCTGCTCAAGCTGATGCCCCAGCAGAGGAGGCACCAAAGAAGGTTTGAACGGTATTTGCTGTTTGTTGTAATCTAACTCTCCTTTAGGAAGAGGCCAAGGAAGAATCCGATGACGACATGGGTCTCGGTCTCTTTGACTAAACTGGTGTTGCCGTTGCAGTCGTTGCAGTTTAAAATGTGTACGTGTCCGATCCATTGGTTAAGCATTTGGGATTCGTTGGCTGCTGTGTGTGAAGATTTTCAGAGGCATTTTACAAGCATTAAAGTGGTTGTTCATGTCTAGTATTTTGTTGTGTGCCATGTACTCCTGCTCAAATCCCGATACCGTCTAATCACCGGCGAAAGCCTTCTTGATCACAAACCACCATCATCTGATTAATCCATCTGATGGGAAACAGCGCCTCCTCCAGCAACACACAGAGGCAGCAGAGCATAAAGGATATCGCGACCCACAATCGCCAAGCCAGTCAACAACAAGCTGCCGCTTATAAAGCTCAACAACCACGCCGTAATGCTGAGTTTCCCCGGCGCCGTAGCTTAGAATTACCTGATTTGTTGCCATTCGGTGGTGATCTCAGCCAACAACCTCCTACGGACATCTCCCACGACAACAGTAACAGCACCCACAACCCCTCCATCACCCACACTACCCGCGCTACTCCACCGCCTCCGCCCGCCTGGTGTCCTCAGCCTGGTTCCGTGAGCTCCCCCCTCATCGACGCCGCCGTCGCCCTTCAAGCCAGCTACTTCCCCACCGTCCCCGCATCTCAACCACCCGCAATCAACCTCAAACTCGATGACGGCAGCGATCTACCTGCTTATAATGCAGCTGCTGTTAATAGAGACGATGAAAACTCGGATGAGCTCACTGATACTGTCTTGAGTTGGCGTGGTGGTGGTAACGATGCTCAAGTTCGATTTGGTCCTGGTTGGAAGACAAGCGTACCCATGACCAGAAGCGAGAAAGACTTTGTTACCTGTGTTAAACTCCCTCCAGGTCACCACAGGATTGTTTTCGTAGTGGATAATAACTGGCGGGTGAGCGATGACCTACAAACTGCCACAGATGATGATGGCTTGATGGTCAACTACATTGAAGTACCCAAGTTGGCTGAGAATGATAGAAAGGAGCACACTCATACGGAAATCAACAACACGCGCATAATCACCCCTCAATCTGCTAAAGAAGGTGATTTACAATGCGCAGATGATCAAGATGGTACACAACACTCACTTACTCACTCGAACCCATCAAATCCACACACGCATCACGATCCAACTCCTCCACACGAGTACACCACCGACATACCCCAGATGCTAGTCACATATGCCAACCTCGAGTCGGGGGAGGGAGACAGCGCGCACAACGCACACTCATCACACTCATCACACACCTTCCTCCCTGAACCACCCATGCTTCCTCGACAGCTTGAAAGAGTCGTCCTCAACGCCCAGCCTCCCCAAATCGCCCCACCCGCTAACAGCACTGTCCCACACGGAGGCACTCTTGACGATAATAGCGTCTTACCTATCCCCAATCACGTGACCCTCAGACATCTCACTGCTAGCGCTATCCGCGGCGGCGTGCTCGCTGTCGGGACTACTACGCGCTACAGAAGGAAATTTATTAGTACTGTGTATTATACGAGCATTGATTAGGGTGTTATTTTGTGTGTGTGGGGTAATGTGTATTGTGCATTGTGAATTTTGTGTTATGCGCTCTCTTTCTTTGCGCTTTCTTTGCGCTTTCTTTGCGCTTTCTTCGCGCATTTGTGTCCCTCTCTTCTCGCCCTTCCATGCCCTATTCGCCGTCCCACTATGACACACTCGCACTGCCCACGACCGCCACCAGCAGGGACATCCGCCACGCTTACCGTCGCCAGGCATTGGCGCTACACCCGGACCGCACGGGACAAGCGACGGACGCGTCTTTCCGCGCCGTGCAAGAAGCGTATGCGGTGCTCAGTGATCCAGTGCTTCGGCGGGAATATGACCAGGGAGGGAAGGGAGAGGGAGTATCAGCATCTTTGACAGTCTCCCCATCAATTCTTTCACAACTCACCTCACTCGCACTCCTCCTCCTCGTCATACTCACATACCAATTCGCCCACCTCCTCCCACACCTCACACTTCTCCTCCTAGCCATCAATGCACGATGGCAGTGCAGGTCCCCCGCTCTGCCACTCACACTACTTCTTCTTACATGCATGCGCGGGTGGACATTCGCAGTCGTGTGGTGCGCCTGCTTGTGGGCCACACCACATGCTATGGTGTGGTGTTTCTGGGGTGTCGCTTATGCTGCACTATTCAACCACTACAACGCAGTTAGCACACTCGTTGCTCTCACTTGGTCAGTCGAGCACACCCGACTGGGACAATCTCTTATCAATCTCTCCCCACTTGTTCTTTTGTTAAAACTTATCAAATACGTAGCTTTTTAAAAATCTCATTTTTTGCATCGTATCATGTGCCTTTCTTTATATAAAAATCGCCGTATTTCGGTTGATTTCGTCGTTTTGCAATTTAGGCGATACTGTTTATTTTGAATCACCTCCTCTTTCACAGGAGATATAGCTCAGTGGTTAGAGCGCCGTGTTCACAGCGTTTCAACAATGTTACCCGCGGAAGTCATGGGTTCGAACCCCATTATCTCCTTCTTTTTATATCCCCATTTTGTACTTTTTAGATCCTCATTGTTACAGTCTGCCCTTCACATACATCTTCACATCCTTCCCCCTTTCTTTCAACAAATCAACGTGATCAAATGGTGATCAAATGAAGTAGTACAAATCAGTCATGCAACGAGTATGTGGACAGTATTTGGGCGTTAGGAGTGTTATTCTCGCTCTTCTTCTTATCTACAGCCCTCTCATAGAATATCATGAAAGGATTTTGTTGGAGAACGTCTGCGAGAGAAACAATCTGAACGGAGGAATCACTCGTACGTAACCATTCATCATCATCATCTGAACGAGATTTGCGATAAGTCACGTAATGACCAGAGTGATGCGAACCATAATGTACGACAATCGATTTGAGTGTGTATAAAACGCGACTTGGGATTGTGCCTGTTGATGTAAGTCTCTCTATCATCTCTTTGCTCGGCGATGAGATGGGTTTGCGCGGTGCTGTTTCTAATGCGCCTGTCGTAGTGTACGCTGTTATATCGAGCGTATCTCCGAACAATATTTTGCAAGGGTTCTTCACCGCCATTCCATTCCCCAAGTAGGCTGAGCGATTGATGTGCAGACCCAATATCCGCGGTGGCTGTGTGTGAGTGTGAGTGTGATTGTGACACGCTAAGCTAAAACTCCAACACTCACCCTCGCTATCAGTATCTGCTTGGTGGATCCCCCGCCTGATTTATCCACTTTGATATCTTTCAACCTCGCGTCTTCTTGTAAATCTCCCTCCTCACTCAGGAGCGTCGAAAGTCGCCTCTCCTGCTTAGAAGCCTCTTTGATGCGTTTGCGGCGGGATGTCGAACCTTTATTGGGGTCAGCAGGCATCAGCTGCTTTACATCTTGGCGCAGACGCGCGAGCGTAGCTTCAAGCGAGCACCTCCTACACGAAGCATCTTCTATAGTCTCTATCGCTGTGTACTCACCTAGCAGCTGCTCGACGGTGCACGAAGTCTGCATAGGCAAATTCAGCGAGAGTGCATCAAAGGCGATATTCCGTATCGCTTCTACATACCCGCAGCGCAGATCGGCGAGTCTGCTAGCAGTAAGTCCCGCCAGAGGGAATGAGGTGGTATAAGTGGTATTATCTGAGCTGGTGAGAGTGTCCAGACCGCGTACTTTACATTTAGCAGCTTTTATCAGACCTTCTTCGTGAGCCAGGAGCGAGGAAATGCACTGGAACATCTCTTGTGCGTCTTGCTGCCCGGACTGGATGAGGGAGAGGGCACGCTTGGAGGGAGACATGAGGGAGGTGTTGTTGTTGTTAGTGTCGCTGAGTGAGAATGCGTCTATTATCGCCGTGTTGGTGTGTACTGCTCGACTGGGTGTGTTGAGGGCTGTTGAAGCGTGAGTTTGGCGGAGTTGGTTGTAACACTCAAACGCACTCTGTATAACATCCCACAACGCCTCCGATAGTGGAAGGTATATGTCTACCTTATCGCTCTCGTTGAGTAGCTCGCCCAGGAAGGATTCAAGTGAGGTGAGAGAGGCGAGAGACTGTGAGGGATTTAAGGGGATTATAGGCGCGTATACACAAACACACCTGTATCGTAGAATTGAGGAAACAGTGCACACCGCTGGAATTACGCAGACCAGGATAAGTGCCACTTGGGATTGCTTGATGGGTTATTGAGCAGCGCTTTCTATTGATTTTACTTAAAGGCTTGGGGTTGTCCACGCCACCACCAAATAACCAGTTAAACATGCTTGTGATAAAACAGCAAAAGTTACGCGGGCCAACGACGACAGCGATTAGAGAAATTAAACTGAAGAATAAAGCAGGCAAATGAATAAATTCAACTCCGAAATTTATCGACGACGTTGATTGCATCGGATGGGATTACGGAGTGAGAAGCCAGCCAGCCAGTCAACGTTAACAAATACCACCAACAACGCTGTAAAATGGATTCAGAGCTGGCATTGCTCGAGGGTGCAGGTGGCAGTGGCCTTGTACAACTAGTTAACCAAGGAAAATTCAAGGAGGTACTGCTAGGCGATGCAGCGCAGAAGATACTCAGTGATATAGATTTGGAGTATCTCAAGGTTAGAGTTACAGTCGATGAGAAGGATGCGCTGGCTGTTGCTGTAGCACTCCTTCATTCCTTCATTCAAGTCAATTGGACTGGTCCTGACGTTGATTTCACTTTGGCAGACTTGAATGGCCTGTGGAATGACTATGACTATCAAAATTCAACTGCAATTCACAAACTGAGCTCTGGCGGTGAACCTGCGTATCACTTGACCAGATACGCGCCATTGCTCCTCATCTCCCAAGCCATTTTGGCCGAGTTACTCAAAAGCGATGAAGGTGAACTGCCATTGGGATCTGCAAAGTGGTGGCAACTCAGAGCTGCAATCTCCCAGCAGCACTTGCTCGACGATTGCGTTCCCCTCCCCCAATCCATCCTCGATGGCGTCAACCAGTCATTCTCTGATAGACTTCCCCCTCCTCTCCAAGCCAGACTCACTCTTGAAATCGGTATCGCGTATCACATGTGCGAAAGGGACAGAGAAGCCTCGGAAACTTTCTTAGAAGCTGCCAACATGAATCAACTCAAATTTCATCTCACTGGTGCCCTCGGAAAGCGTACGAAATTCCAACAAAGCGATATTACCCAGCTTGTTTTGCTTGCACAGTCCAAAGACAGTCACGACAGTCACGAAAACACTAACGACGCCGATACTCAAGTCAAGAACCTCCAACTCAACGACGACACCCTCCTCGAACAGACTCAATTCAGCTCGACGGTTGACGCATCCGCTCCTTTATCCCACATTGACCCAACCAATCAACCAAAGCTGTCGGCTGTCGATCAATGTATCCTTCTAGCCATGTGTCTCAATATAAAGAACACGGCACCAGAGAATGGACTCACTAATTCGCAAATGGGTGCTTTCGTACAGAGAGTGCTATCGAATCATCAAAATTGGTCCATTTACACAATGGCTTTGCTGCTGAGAAGTAGATTGGAAGCCCATCGCACCCGCACCGTCCAACGTTCCACCCTCCAATTACAAGCCCTAATCGATCAAATGCCGACATCCGACTCGAGTAATGTAGAGCGTTTGAAGTACTTCTTCGCCATGCCAATGCCAGCTAAGTGGGAGTTAGAACGAGAGCTAGCACAGCGTTTCGTCGCTATGGGTGTTGTCAGATCAGCTCTCGAGATTTACCAGAAGCTGGAGATGTGGGAAGACACCATCATCTGTTACGTCAGTACTGATAGACAGGGAGATGCCCTCGAGACAGTGAAAGGTTTACTCGAAGGAAATATCGTCGAATCACAAACTATCACCACACGCGCCAAGTCAACAGTAGATTCAAAGACACGTACAAGAATGGACGTCATGCGTGTCGCAAAGTTGTGGTGTTTGTATGGAGATCTCGACGTGTCCAACTGCGAGAAGCACTACCAAAAGGCATTAGAGGTGTCGAAAGGATCGAGTAGTCGTGCGTGGAGATCTCTCGGTGGATTGTACTTTGCGAAAGGTGACTATAAATGCACTATAGAAGTGTTGCGCAACGCCGTCGCTATCAACCCCCTTTTCCACCACTCGTGGTTCATTCTCGGTTGCGCTAGTATTAAAGTAGAGGATTGGGATAGCGCGATTGAATCTTTCGGTAGATGTGTCGCTGTGGAAGATGACGATGCGGAATCGTGGAATAATCTTGCCAGTGTTTATCTCCGTCTCGGCGATCAAGGAGTAGTGAGTGAGCCATTTATCGCCGAAAGACATGCATTCTCACAAGCCCTACAGTCGCACGATAACAAAATGCTTGCTTTCAGAGCCCTCAAGCAAGGTTCGAAATTCGGCTTCGATAACTGGCGTATATGGCAGAACCTCATGATTGTCGCAATAGACGTCGGTCAGTTGGCTGATGCTGCTAGATCCGTTGGTAGACTAGCAGATATCAGAGGTGAGAAGATTTGCGGCGAGAATGACGACTCGAGTGAACTCGACGTTGTCGACAAGATAGTTGACGCTGTCACACTCGCTCCACGTAACGAAAAGGATGCTATTGAGGGTGACGCTACCGCTGAGGGAGCTCGAGTCGCGCACAATCCAAACGAAGGTCATGGTCTACTCAGAGCTGTTGACAGACTTTACGAATACTCGCTCCTCAAGAAGGTATCGTCATCGCCTCGCGTTTTTAAATCTTACGCCAGACTCTGCTTCTGGAAGGGGCAGTATAGAAACGCGATCGACATGCATCTCAAAGCATACAGAGCTAGTGTTGGCTCAGACGACTCTGTCGAAAATGACCTCAAAGCATTCCGGAGAGCGTCAGAAGCTATCAATGATTTGGTGGATGTGTTGCAGAACTTTGGTGATAAGCCTGCGGACGTAAATGACCCCAACAACCAAGAGGATGCCTCTCCTGATTGGAGGTACCAAGCCAAGAGCATTCTAAGGACGTTCCTTGGGCGCACAAGGACATCGTTTGAGGATGAAAATGAGTATGAGGTGCTTAAAGAGCTTTTGGCGGAGGTTAAGGGTGCTTGAAGCACGCATTGTAAAAGTTTATTATTATATAGATACATCTAATTTATATTCGGATGAGCATTTTAAGAATTAAGTAGCTCATCAAACCTCCGTCTCTATCTGGTTGGCTCGGCGATCATGCAGCGAAGTTTTCGATTTGACGGAGGAGAGTGAGTGTCTGACTCCCTTAGCAGCCCACATAGCGGTTCTTACGGGCTTATATTGGTAGCTACCTCTATGCTCGCGGTGCATAGCCTTTCTGAGAGCACGTTTAGATGTGTGATTCTCACCACTGCTCGACCTGTTGATATCTTGCTCATCTTGCTTTTCTTGTTCTTCGTCAGTAACGTATTCTTCACCGAAATCGCCCGACATAGTCTGCGCAGTCCTGCGCGTACCAATAGTGCTAGGCTGATGCGAGTACGCGTCAACACTATCTCTCCTGACAGCTCTACTAGCAGGATCTCTATTTCTATCCACGTCTGTATACTCGCCAATAAAGTCACCCACCGTGCTGCGCTGCCCTGAGCTAACAGCTGCCTCCCATGCCTGGAGTACATCCATGCTCTCCTTATTACCCTTGAAATGACCATGTGTCTTACCAAGACCTGATTTGTAACGCAAATCGAGCTCTATATGGCCGATCCTCTTAAGACCCAACTTCTCAGCATCTTCTTCATTATATGTATAGCACTGCAGGAGACGGTGGAAATCCTTACCATCCCAAAGTGTCATACGGAAATTGCGCAGCATCTCATTATCGACGATATCGCGCAGCCATATTATTGCCACGGCTGCAGGACCACTATTGAGAGCATTTGTGTTGTGGGTGTAGAACTCCACCCTGAATGCACTCGCATAGCGGCGCTTTACAGGTAGTCGCATTGGCGGTTCGTCGGCCTCCACTTTCCACACTACAGTCTCGGATGCTGTCGTCTTGCGCTTGCGCAGTTTCACTTCTGAGGAGATAGTGCGGATGATGCATTTTGAGTAGCTGGAATGCTTGCCTGCGTCGAATTTGACAGTTATGTTGGAGTGCAGTTGTACAGTACCAATCTCCCATCCCAGCAAAGGCCGTTCTAATTGCATATCGCAGCTTCTGAAGAGCACACTGAGACGCACACGTCCGTATCCTGGGTGGTGATTAGGTTAGGATGTCGTAAGATAGCATACAACAACACTCACCTAGGCCACCAATCAGTGGATAACTGTTTGTCAATTGACAACCATTTTTGAGCACCTCAGACAGCTTGAGAGGTATGACACCAAGAATAGGGTCCTCCTCTCTATAACGCGTGTCGTATATGGCCACGCAAAGCATCGTACTCCTCCAATCAGCAATAAATCTCTCCGTGCCAGCGTTGAAGACGGGGTTGAAAGCGAAAGGTTTTTTGCGCGTCCGGAAGACAGTCTGATCATTGACAATAATGGTGCAGTAGCTGCTAGGAGCAGTAGTTGATTGTTCATCCTCAGTCTCCACGTAACTCTGTCCAGCTGCACCACTGCGCTTGGCGTCTGTGCCGAATGTCCCCAAAACGTTCTTCACTTCCAGCTGCGCGATGGAGTGTATCTGTACAGAGAGAATTCCAGATGGGAATTGCGTTTCTGGCTTGATGCGCTGTACCAGTCTATTCTCATTGTCTATCTGGGCATCTCCGAACTCCTCCCTGTAATGCTTGGCTATGTCCTCAGGTACGTTGGGATCAGTACCTGCCGTCATGAGACTCTTATTGAGGTCGCGCTTTGGATGAAATGCAACGGTCCACGAGAGTGTACCCTGGCGTCTAGTACCGTGGACTTGTCCGGCTAGCTCGCTATTCAACTCGTACATCTTGCCAGCGTTTCTGACAAGCTTCGTTATGCTCATTGTGGCTTCGCCGAGACGGTCGTCGCTGTTTGGAGTGTGAGATATGCGCTCACGCCTTTCATGGCTATAAAAACCTACGCTGAAAGCCTATCAGAGTCATATAGCTGCACTGTTATATCTTCTTGCGACTTGATAATTTCAGGACGTAGCAATATAGTTGTCGACTCCTCCCACGTAGGGTTGAGATCATTTACAATGACTCTCGTCGAATACAGCGGTTTCTGCTGCTTACTGAAAGCGATCGTGCAGTAAGGATCAGACGTCCCATTTGTATCGCTCTTTTCAATGTCGATAGCGCCATGTATGCGCACCTCAATTACGCCAATTGCCGAGACATCCCTCTTAACGTCGTCCTCCAAAAGCAGATCCTGCACATCAACAGTATAGGATTTTGGAGCGCAGAAATCTCTCATTGCCTCATTGATACTGCTGTTGATGAACTGAGACACGAGGGGAAGTTTCATGGCATTGAGGAAGTGTTTAGTTAGGGGTGTGGCGCTGATGACGACCTTGGGCAGACCCATGAAAGCGATAGTTGTGTTCTTGATAAAGGGCGGGTTAGGTACGAGCTGACAGCGCGCCCTCAAAGTCCCTGTCATACCCTGCACCTCGACATACACGGGCATGACAGCCCCGAGCATCTTTTTCAGTCCTACTACAAAGTGTATGAGCATATGTATGTTGCGCGACTTGGTGGCTAGATCTCCAGACGGTCTGGCCCGATAAGCGAAGTTAATTTCGAGATTGACGTACTCGCCCTTCTCTTCGTCAGGTCTTAGGTCTTTCTTGGAGGAATTCTCCTGATCACTGAAACTTGGGACAGAGTTGTTGTTGAGCGTCTCCATCATCTCGGCGTCTGAGAGATCGCGCATGGAGAGTACGCGCATCGGAACAGTGCCCTGATCGATATCGCTCACCTTAACGCCGTTCACAAAGCCCATCATGAACGACGGCAGCATGGACTCCATTGTGTCTTCGAGTAAATCGATACCGAGAGTGAAAAGGTCAGGGTTGATGATCCCCCAAACTCTATTGAGGATCTGGTTCATCCAGTTGCAGCTCTCCTGGACACCGCCGACGCTTGCTTTGCTTTCGAGTGTGCGCTGGCGTTCCTGCTCGTACGCCAGCTTGTCAGCTTCGTTGTCGATATGAATCCAAATACGCCAAAGGAGAGCAGCTGTAAGGGAGATAATGATGGGTATAGGAAGGGGTATAAGTGAGAGAATGGCTGCGTATACACCAAATTCCTTGATAAACGTCGGGAGGTGGATGCGTATGAATTCCTGGCTCGAGTGCGTAGGTGGGAATGGCTTTGTGATGAGCTTGTCTTCAGCTACACTATCCTTACCGCTTAGTTTGTGCATCACATAGTCGTACTCCTCCGCCGTTGTGTCTGGTGCGATTACGTTGTGCAGTGTGATCGGGTCAAGAACGACGCTGTGAGGTGGGGGTTAAGTAGAACGGTATTGCTTTTAGATGACGCACTCATTCTTATCCTCAGAAGGGCTCATCGTCGTTATCGCAAAACGTATGCCAAGCGGAAGCATGACTTTTATAGCTGATGACGTAATGCGCTAAGTTTAGACGTTTGCTGGGAGCGCATGGGAGTGCGTGAGGGTGCACGTGTACGTCTAACATCCTTCGACATGATTATAGTACCATTTCTCTGCTACGACCACCTGAATTGAAGACAAATAAGTCAGATCTTTAAAGACTTGTGCAGCTTGCACGAGCGCAAATATAAGCTTTATGGAAATTATACACTTCGCCCTGCTTGCAGACAAGAAAGTTTTCACAAACGGAGTCACCTGCAGGCGGATAGCGCGAAGAAACTCAAATTCGTGGACTGAGTCATCGTACGATACCCACAAAGAATTTTTAAAAACCAAGACACTGACATAATAAAACATGATGAATGAATACAATGACTGCGATGTGTAGAGAAAAGCGAGAGATTCGTCTCCATAATTGAGTATCTATGTTGAGTGTATGATTGGGAATGATGTTTTGATGATGTGCAATGCTATTTAAAACGCCAATTGAATGCCACTTAAGTGCCTTGTCTTATTTAGGCACGCCCACGCGCTCGATATATCCTATATGCCAATCGGAGAAGAAACGTCTTGGAGAATCAGCGAGAAAGGAGGCGATGCCGTGCATGAGCAACTTCTCGAACTCATCGAGGATCCAACCAGGGTACGACAGTCTCGGTATCTTGCCCATTCGATTGTCGTGGAAGGGCTCCTCCTTGCTCGTCTTCCAGAATAATTTGCACGCGTCGACAGTGGCATTTAGGCTGAGCTGCGATGTGCGCAGTCGGACGAGAGGGTTGAAAAGCCACACCAGCAGCCTCAGTTCACCACTATCCTCATCCTGTAGGAAGTAGCGGTAGCTGCCATAGTTGCGCGACTGGTCGACAAGCTCTGCGGAGATGTAGTGGCCGATGTTATAGCGGTGGTAGCTATGCGGGTGTTAGATGAGTCACACATACACAACAAACCTACGCAGTGCCCTGTGCAATGGGCCTCACGGCCACCTTGCTGAGGCGAAAGAAGGCCTCGCCCTGCACACTACCCACGGTGCTGCCACAGACACACTTCAGGGTCGGCTCTATTTGTTGCTCCTTTAGGGGTTGGTCAGTTAATGTCTCTAGTAAAACATTCAGATGTCCCCCTCTATGTAGCCGCAGCGTGACATGGATCTCGAGACGCCGCGGGTATTCAGCGAGGGTATTACTATTGGGCGGCTGTATCGACAACAGGCGAGGTAGGATGTGTCTGAGACAGCCCCGCTTGGCCTTCTTGGCCGCCCGTTTCGGGACATCAAGAATCCATACTCACATTACTTTCCACTTTTAAACTCCTCTCCACCATGTTTTTCTTATGGAAGACCCAATAATTGCTGCCGATGAGGGCCTCATCGGGACTAGCTGCGTCGCTGAGCGAAGTACGGTAGTAATCCGCGTTAAGTTCCTGCGCAGGGTGACACATCCAGTTGTCGACATGCTCAGACCAATTGTCTGACGGGAGATCTCTGTAATTGTGGATAAGCTCCCCGCTGCTAAGGTCTCGACCGCATTTAGCGCAGCAAAAGCTGGACGGTCTGGTCACGGCAAAGTCAACAGCACTAAATGGGTATGATGGCGGCTCTACCGCTGGCGTTGTAAGTGACTTCCTTGACTGATGAGTCACTTGCAGGTTGAACTCGAAGAGGTCTTTTTCTACCAGCTTTGCCGTCCTGTGTTGCGGCCACACCACTCCCGTAGGCAGGTTCAAGCGGACGTTGTAGCTGGATAGGTTTTTCAACACCGCGGTGTCTCTGTCCTGCTCGTCTATCTCTACTTCAAGCTCCCTGGATTGGCCATGCAGTTGAGTTTTGAACTGCACTAACACATTACCAACATTTATGTTGTGCTCTGCGAGGTATGCTTGGTGCGATACCATACTATGTGTTTGCGAGTCGTTGGAGTCTAACAGAGTGTTAGAAAGATGTGTCAAAGACAAAAAAAAAATCCACATACCTCTGCTAGAGCGCGGATTATTTCCCTGGCGCAGCTTGCTGGCCTCACTAAACTGACTTTCCTGTTGCACCATTCTCCCCATGCTGTTTCTCTCAATGATGTCGATGAGGTCGGCGTCGCGCATCTTGGTGTGAGCATCTTTTAAACGGCTGCCCATTTCGACGCGCTGACTGTCGAGTCTGCGGTTATTAGCCTTTTCAATACCACTGATTATCTGGTTATCACTGCGGCGCGAACTGATGGATTTAGGGAAAAACTTGCCCACGCCGTTGTTTGACTGTTTGCTTTTGTTTGCACTACCAATCACACTCGCACACCCGCTCGTGCTGGCTTCAGACTTGCTCGTCTTGACCGACGCTTCCACCTCTCCAGCCAATTTAGCCAAATCCATCTCGACGACCTGCTTTTGCGATAGCTCCACCCTCTGACCGGCCAGCTGGGGGGTGATTCCCATGAGTCTGTCGATGGAATCTGTCACTCTCTCCAAATCACGTCGCATCTTCTCGTCCTGGACGCTTGACCCTACGCTGGCGCTGGATACTGACTTGTTGGAGAGCTGGCGGTGGATGGAGCGCATAGATAGGTCCGAATAACTTGGGGGCATTTCACTCGTGTTCTCTCTCTCCATGCAGAGTATGTTGATGAGGTTAATGAATGTCTCAACCTTTACCCACATGTCGTTTTCTTTGTGATGATTTGTGCGCATCTCTAGCTTTAGCTGAGACATTTGAGACTGAAGGGTGTCGTAGACCTCATTTGATGATGAGGAGTTGGAGGAGTATTTTTGGGACGATGTTCGTGAGGGAACTCTCTCCAATTCACTCTCAGAGTCAACTTCGTCCTCGGTACCAGTCATAACGGCAAGAACATCAGCAAACTGATCCAAAGCAACGACAAGTTTCGCATCAATCGGCGAGAAGAGGTAGGATATTCTTTCGATTCTCTCACTTAGATCACCACGAATAGGAGCGTTCAAGTGTGTCACGAAGGCATAATTAACATTGAGGCTTAGATTATGCAGATTCCTAGAAGTGCTGTATTTATCACTTACGCTCCTCCAGTCGCTGGCGCTGATTGGCTTGATGGCGGTAAGAGTGGAGAATATGAGAGTATTGAGAGCGAGGATGCAATTCTGCTGTACTTTCACAAGGCACTTGAGTAGGATTTCATCCACTTTTCCTAACGGTTCTTGCAGCAATTCAGCATTGCGCTGTGAGAGACGTGCTAGTTCAGCCATCTCGCCTTGTTTGTCCATCTGGGTAAATGGCTGTGTGCTGTCTGTTTGATGATTCACGATGCCGCTGTCTTCCTCATTTTCCCTTTCAGGAATCCCCGCCGCTTCGAGTGACATTGTGACGGTGGTAGCGATCTGAGAAGCGATGGAGTGACATTTGTGTTATTCAATAGATTCAAGGCATTTCAAGTCACTTCAAGTTATTCAGGGTACTTCAATGAGCGGGAACTTTATTGGCCATCGGTGCTAATTCTCTAAAACACCCCACACACCCTTCTCAAACTCAATTTCACCCTTCTCAGGTCCGATCAGAGCTTAACAATAAATTATCATGTATAAAAATATGGATATTGACAAATAATATGTTGCGTGTATCTTATTAAGTAGTTATTACGTAGTTGCTGCTTGTTGTGCTGTAGAAACGCCGACTACACGCCGACAAGAACAAAGAAGAGAAAGATAACGTAAATTGAAACAATCCGAAAGTAGCGCTAGCTTTAACCTTAACGCTAGCCTCAGCATCAACCTACGCAAACTTATGGTCTTCGCCTGGTGGCCAGCCGCGTGTCTCAATTTTACCCAGCTTGCCCTTCTCGTTTGAATTTATCCACGCGCGCTCATTGGTTGCGTTGACATTATCTCTAGTACACTTCTCCACAACTTCATCTGAAATGCCGTACTCATCTTTAGCGGTCCAAACGATCTGCTGTGGGTGGCACATGGATGGGTGCGTGAACGAGACCTCCTGCTCACTGAATGGTGGTGGTGGCGTGCTGGCCTCTTCCTCGTCTTCATGCCTCGTACGATCTTCGTCTTGGTCTTCGTGCGCCCTATGTTTACTACCCTTATCACCCTTACTTTCACCCTCTCCCTCCTCAATCGCTCCCAATTTTTCCTTCTTTTCATCCAATGGCGTCTTGCCCATGCTCTTTCCAAGTTCAGAGAGTGGCATACTGCCATCACTCGACTCCCTGATCTCGTTCGAACTGTCGACCGTGTTGTGTCCAGAAAGCAATGGCTGTTCATCGCTCTGCTGGCCCCACGTCTTGGATGCCAGCGTCAATGGTAGCGCTTCGCAGAGTGGCTGGTATGAGCTGTTGATCATTATGTGGAAGCCGATTGTGATCACGATAAGTACAACCATGATCACACCTTCCGGAATACCCACCTGCCTACCGTCGTACTTAGAAAGGAAAAATAGCGCAGCCAAACAGATTTGCGAGATGTACATTCCCGTGAAAATGTGCTGAATCGCCTTTGGGAAAAACAGCCCACCCGTGTCCGAGACCGGCTTAATATCGTATACGTAGAGGAAGTTGTATTTGTAGGTAAAGTAGAAGAGCATAAAGGCGACGGCACCAAAGCCGTTCAGGATTGGTGCAATGATGGAGTACGCAATAGTGATGACGACCAGGAGAGACATTGGTGGGAATAGCGTACCCCATGCGACACCAGGCATGGCGTTGAAGATCATCCAACGTGAACGTGGTGTCGATCCCAAGAACCATGACTTTATGTAGAACACAACCAATCCACCTATTTGCAGCAGTGCACCGGAAGATCCAGAAAGACCTTGAAGGGTGACGTAGGTGATAAAGTAGATGGAGGCACCTGGAAGGTTGTTTGCAAGGATTTGTGGATAAGTTGTCACATCGGCTGTAGTTAGTTGACGTAGCGAGCTGATAATACCAGAAGAGAGAGTGGTGATCAAGAAACCGTTAAATACCAAGAATAAGAAGTAGCGGTGCATAAGCGAAAGCTCTACCGCCGTTGAGCGTGGAATACCCTCAAACTTACTTAACAGACGGAAGAGGATCGGAACTAGGGCAAAAAGAATAGCAACAAGCACTGGTGGAAATGCACCCTGAATGATACCCTTGACCGGTTGTGGAAGATCTCCTAGCCACTCCAGCCAGCTGTATCTAGAAGCAAGTGCGTTGATGTTGGATACAGCACCAGCAAATGCGACTGGGATGGCGAAAAAGATAGTAATAGCTATGGTAGCTGCCCAGCTGACGACAGACTTAAGACGTTTCTCGTATGGGTTAACGTTAAGGTTCGTCCAAATGACATCGTCTGGGCCGACCTCGGAGTATTTTTCAACCATTCTGTAAGGAGCGTGGTGGATCAATGATTTTGCGCAGAGATGTGCTGCGAGTTGTTGGTTGAAAAGAATGAAACAAGAGCCCTTAGGTTTGTATTTTTCTGGGTCTGAATTGACCTCTTTACGCATATCACCAATTTCAGCATTCAATCTCGAGATTTCCTCCCTGCACCATATGAGAGTGTCAACCTTCTCTCCAAACAGTCCCATGAAACCAAGCTTGTGAGTTGGGCGTTGCTTTGCAGGGATAAGCTTTTCGGCAACTCCAATGTCGTCCTTTTCCAAGTCCTCATCCTCTACAATGGTCTTCTTTGGAGCTGGCTTGCCCTTCTTTTCGGCCTTTGCGCGCTTCAGCTCCATGTCTTTGGCAGTTTTAATAGTTGCTGTGACTGCACCTTCAAGCTTGTTGCAGGCGTTGAGACGATTTTCGTGCATCTCTGGTAACTCTCTGAGATCTTGGTTAATCCAGACATCTTTAATACCGCCAGGAAGGTAGGAAAAGAGATCATAGAGCTTTTCTTTATTCAACTGCGATTGAGGTACACCTGTAATGAGGACGGTATTGGCCTGTGGGAGGGACGAGTGCTCTTTATCGATAAGATAGCGTTGTCTTGCGTTAATGAAGTAAGTCATTTCGGACCTGATGAGGTAGAAAATCCAGACTGTTTGGTGTATGAGCAGTTTTCTAAATTTGCCAGTAGTTCAGCCCACAAGTAAAAATCCAGGCAAGGAGTAAACTAGCGGCATAACGTGGGTGGTTGCTAGTGGAAATGTTACCGAACGTGAACATATTCAAACCATCCTTGCCACCATCAGAATTTGCGCTGTTTACCGGGAACAAGATAACCCAGGACACGACCCACATAGGGACGAACATCTTAACAATCAAGCGAAGGTATCTGATGAACATGAAACTGTCAAGGCCGTTGTGCCTCGCTATAGGCTGATACGGTGCCTTAAATACCTGCGGTAACCAACCCACTACGCTCTTGGTGAGGCCAGTGGCTCTGTGTCTGAGAGATGAGTTAGCGGGCTCAAGCAAAGAAACACTATACAGACTTTACAGGTGGCTTTGTAACACGTGGCTGGTAAATATGTGGAAATTTGAGCCTTAAGAGGCAGAAGGCCAAAAATTGCGCACCAGCGATGGCACTGTTAAGTACCAACGCCGACAAAAACGTTGCCGTAGATGAAGACGATGTGTCTGCTTCAGTCGCTGACATAATAAATCTGCAGCGTCTTCGTGGTTATCGCGGAAGGACTTGAGAAGAGCAATTCTCCGAAAAGTAAATTTGGTCCGTGGAAGGTGATTATAAGACAATAAAATTAATTTATTCGGTGGAGGTTTGTATTTGAATAAGGAGTGTATTCATATCTCATTAACAGCACGTGGATGCCGTCATCTGTCAGAGGGTTGTCTGCTTCTTCATTAGATTGGTGTGGCTTGTTGGACAAATTCAAGCACTGATTCTGCTGCTGCCTCCACTTGTACACATACACTGCCCTCTTTTCAGCCTTCGAAAAGCAATGACCCCGGAAGTAGGATCGGAATCAATTATCGCATCATTCATTCTCATCCCGTTCTTTAAGATCCGTTGAGCTTGATAATTGTTGAGGGATGGATCGTTAGGTGGATGCATACTACTTTACTAATATCTAGACCTTTTGAGAGTACGCATCTTCATTGGAGTACCTGTAGACCCAACTGAGTACAGACCACTACCGTTTAATCCAGCTGTAAGTCAAACTAAACTTATAACATTTGGACTGTTAGTTTTGATATTGATTTGCTTATTCTGGTTTATTGCATTGCTTGTCTGGAAGCACCAAATTGGCCGATTTACTCAATTAAAGCCCTTTATGGATTTGGCTCTGAGCAGTTGCAAGTGCAAGTGCCCTCGTCCTCTCAAATCATATTCCACGAATTACGTTTTAGGCACGCCAAGATGCAGCAAAATTGGTCTTGGATCGTTGAAGTATTAGATATCTCGAATTTTAGTCCCTGTAACTGATACTTGCTAATTTCAATGCATTTAAGTGATATAAACCAAGTTATCTACCTGAAACTTTGTGCACTCAAATTCATAACTGAATTAAACAATGCGATGAGCATTTTGCGGATGTCGCTTGAATATGAGCGACTTACATATGATCAGAAACGTATTGAAGTGTTGAACCTTGAAAAATAGTCTGTCAAATGGTTTCATTTGAAGATAAATTGCTTTCAGGGTGTCATCAGATGACTTCCAATGTTTGCTAGGAGGAAGTAAAATAATTAGTTAGATTCACTAGATACAACAAAGTTGTTTCATCTCCCATATCCATCTCTTGTCTATAGTTTAACATATCTTATCACAATTTTATTCCACTATCTCATTAGGCAATCTACCTCTTTAGATTCGTGGTGCATTGATAATGTGACATTTCAACCACAAATTTCACATTATCCGAATATGATTTGTTTGCGGATCGAAGATATTGTCTGAGACACGGAATAATTGAGAGAATTTACGGAATGAGAGACATAGTAGAATACCAGACTTCAGACTTGTATTAATAATGCGGAAATCAAATGCATATTCACGCCTCCGTAGATGGTGAATTGTCCAGTCTTATGTGATAGATTGAACAATTACGATTGAAGATGTCTTACTTCACTAATTCTAGTTCACTGTTACTGAATTGCAAATACAACCTTAACTCTCGTAGAAAACACCACTGAAACGTATCTCCAATAGCAACTAGATGTAAAACATATCATGCACGTATACTTAAACTCATATATACCTCCCAAATCACCCAAATCAACACCCTAAATTACCTGGCTACCCATCATTTCACGCTGTTTGTTGAGGGTAAGTGTGAGCTGTCTACCTTTATTTTGGCTGCCAAAGAATCCTTGAGTGAGTTGAGGCAGATAAAGCTCATATGCCTGATATAAACTCTGTCAGTAGCTTCATCACATGTCAAAAAGCCTACTCACAATCATGTAATTTTTCACAAAGTTGATGATGCCCTCTTCAGATTGATGAGGCTTATTTGCATCTCTCAAGCCCTGTTCCTGTTGCTGTCTCCAGTCGTAAACATACCCCAGCTCCAGTGTTTGGAGGTACACGAGACCATCGAAAAACTGAGGGCCGGAGAAGAAGGTGTCGTAGTCACGGAGTGCGCTATTGATATCGAGCACATCCTGCAGACTATGTTCAGCGAGTTGGTTTGTGAGGGAGGGTTCAGAGTGAGTAGCAGATTTATGCTGAGCAGACAAGACAGCAGCTTCGAGTGGTCTGAAACCTACAGACCAGCCTTCAAAAATGACCACTCTGATCGGGTTGCTGGGTTGTAGATCGATACTTGTCCATTCACCCTTCGCTTTGCGATCGCCCTGGCCGCTATGCAGGGACTTGTCGTACACTGGTATATCGATGTGAGAGTGCGCAGGGGCATTCCAGCTCTCGCGTAGCTGCTGGAAGATGTCTTTCGCGAGCACCATATCATGTGTTCCAGAAAGTCCCCTATGTTTGTAGAGCTTGTTGGCGGGGTGTTTCGCGGAGAGTTCGAGCTGCTCGCGGTGGGTGAGGTAAAGATCGTCGAGACTGAAATGCACAGTTCGCAGACCACTCCTCTCCAGTTCCTCAGTAAGCTCATTGACAATAGTCGACTTGCCAGAGCCTGCGGTGTGCACCAGTTGAGTCATGTGGGAGGATATAAAGAGCGTCAAATTCACCTTGCACGCCAGTAAGGCCAACGAAGAAAGGTCTGTTGAGTTGTGTAGAGTGTATCAGCGGCCTGAGCCAGTTTAGAATCCTCTCTGCTTTGAGCGCCATGGAGGACTTTGAAGAAATCGGGAGCGAGGTGGGCAGAAAGGGGAATTAAATCAATTGAGGCTTACGGAAGAATCGCAGTCAAAGTGGGTGAAGCAGTCTGGGCTCCGTCGACGCTCGTTCTATCCATGTGGAAATACGCACAGCAGAAACGTGATTGAGGATGAGTTTGAGGGCGAGGTTAATGGGGTTAGTGAGGTGGATGATGCAGCAACTAGCGAAAGCACCAGCACAGCTTTAATCAGCGTTGTTTGGGATATATTTCACTCGAAAACATACAACGTGCCAGTGCTCTACTTCAATGGGTACATAGACAGCCAGCCACTGCGATCACTCGATACACTCATCGCTCAAGGCATACTCAAGCACACAGAACACAGCGGGTATATTTCCATCACTGACCACCCACTTTCCCGCCTTACCTGCTACTACATTCACCCCTGCAATCTCAGCACTGCGGTGGACGAGATAATGGCGGCAGAGCCCCACGCAGAGTACAATAGAGTATGGAGGATGATTATAGATACATTAGTTTACATTAGTTGAGGCAGTTTGAGGTGAAGGTATGCGTGTCTATGTTTATGCTCCGATTAAAGGCTGAGTTTGGATTTCTTGGGTGCTCTGGGTGCCTTTGTTTCATTCGATGCACCGTACAAGCCCTGCTTGCGCAGCGTCTCTGCACGCCTCGCCCGTCTCAGCTCATCCACTGAGATTCCCTCAGTCTTCTTGATGGATGTCTTCTTGGCAGCAGCAGCAGCTTTCTTTGGTGGCATTGCAGCTGCATCCGCTAGGGCCTGTCTATGCGTATTAACTTTGGGTGGCTTATTCACGCCTTCTAATTTCGATGGCGCTGAGTTCGATTTCTGGATATTGTGTGTCTTTGAACTGAGCATTGAAGTACTCAGGCTCTTTTGCGGTGGCTGCTGTGGCACTTGCTGAGCTGGCTCCTCCTCTTCAAACACCTGGAATCCCATATTACAGTAGTTGGTCGTTGGTGAAAGGGGAAATATGACGCGTAATATTTGACTCTAAAAGGTGTAAAATGAATTTTGAGAGGCTGTTAATGATAAACACAGTCAATTCACGAGTTTTAATACGCGTTGTTTCTGTACTTCCCTCTAAATGACTACGCCGTATTCGTAAGTGTACAATTGATTAGAATGGAAATCTGCTTATAGATACATCGTATACACATCAAATACACCGCTAGGGGTTATACTCCCTTCAACTACCACCTATACAACTTCTTCTCCCAAACCTTCATCATGTTCAATAGTCCACTTACATTCAACGATTTAAGCAGAAGTACGCAAACTCCAGCGCAGTCATCCTCCACCAGCCAATCAGCTCAGACGGCCAATTCAGAGAGCACGTCGTACCTCCCAGGATATCTCAGCAGCGCTGCCCGAGGATCTTCTATACCAGTATCCACACCACCGCGCCAGGAGACCCAATCCAGCCACGCACACAGCTCATCCCAGCAGTCTTTATCCCGCTCCCCGCTTTCCACTTCCCAGTCTAGTGCCCACCACACACCGAACCAAAGCGTAAACCACAGCGTCAGCGGGGGTGCTTTCGGTGCAGGCTCCCTCTTTGGCAGTATCTCCACACCGCTCTCCAAATCCCCCCGTAACAGTTTGTACGGACGCCTAGAAGACGACCAGGAGGCACCGCCAACAATGTTCCTCCAAGACGAGGATAATGTACATCAATTCCAATCCGACACGGGTAATGCGGCTGCTAATACAGCTGCTAAGGCACCCTCACAACATACAAACGCACCCTCAGCGAAGCAGATACACAATTTGACTCCATGGCACCACGCTCCGCAGCCAACAAGGATACACGCGCCTCTCGAAACTCGCAGCGTTACTTTCTTCGGCATAGGCGATAACCTCCGAGCGAGAATGATGGACGTCTTCATACCCCAGTTCGGTCAGGTGGAGAGCGTGAGCGACGGCGTCAACTGGATAGATGCGGTGTTTGCGGACACTCTCGCTGCCAGCAGAGCAATCAAGTGGAATGGCGTCAAGGTGGATGACCTGGGCGGCGTAATGCTCGGTGTTAAATTGACACATGGCGGGAGTGAAGAGCATGCTCAGAGTGCACCTCCTTCCCAGCACCACGATAGCAAGCATCTTACCCCGCTCCCGCCCTCACAGGCTTTCAAACCCTCCCCTAAACCGCAGTCTAGCACTGCTTCACTCAGGACCATGTTTAATTCTCCCAGCGCTAACAAGTCTAGCAATGAATATGGCATCTCCGCACAGCAAGTCCAGCCGCAGCAAAGTGGTTCCAGCTGGGGCGGTAAACTTGCCGATCTCATTTTTGGGTTTTAGTGGGTGTCAATGGGGTTTAATGGGTGAGAAGAAAAAGATATTTATTCATTTGAATATATATGAACACGTATAACTATAAACAAATGACTATATCCGAGATACGAGTGTGGTGATGGTACATGAATTTCAACGAAAAAGGACAGATGAGACTAAGCCCTATTCGAGTTTATAATCAACCCTCTAAGCCAACCATTCTCGCGTTTGAGATCGCTGACTGCCCTTTCCGCCTGCTCCAGACGACCTTTATACTCGTTTGTCTCCTGCTCGAGAGCAGCCTCCCTAGCCTTCTTCTTAACTCTGAATCTAGCCGAAGCTGCTGTGTTTCTGCGACGCTTGTCCTCCTCCAGCTCCTTCTTAGCCGCCGTCTCCGCCTCTCTGTGCTCCTTCTCAGTGCGCTTTTTAGCCTGGTCGTACGACTCGCCGTCCTTCTGCTGGACAGGGGGCATAGGCAGCTTCTTGAAACGGCGTCTGCGCACCACCTTGTCCTCGTCATTGTGCTCATCATCGTCGTCCTCCTCGTGAGCGTTGTTTGTGGTGCTGTTGCTGAGGAGGGGCGCTGAGGGTGCTTCTTTGAGGAGCGCACTGATAGTCTCCAGGGTAGGTTCAGATTGAGGGAGGAGCGAAGGCACACTGCTGGCTGGCACGCTGTTCGCTTGCGCACCACCCGCGCCACCCGCACCCACAACACCCGCTAGTGCAGCATCCAAGTCGTATTTCTGTCGCTTGATCTGCGGCTTCTGGTCCGTGTCGAATGTGAGAGCGTTGGCATACTCGTCGTCGAGACTGGCTAGCTGACCGCCTGCGGCGTTGTCGGGGCTATCAAAGTCGAATTTGACATTCGCCCACAGATCGAGCTGCTCGGTGAGCTCGTCAGGCTGGATAGGAACGCTGAGCTGATCATGGCTCCTATGGGTAAATCAGTACACTGGCTGGCTGTAATCACTCCACTCCACGCACGTCTGGTTGGTTTCTGGATTCGTCGGCGATGTCTCTGTGCTCTGCGGCGGACTGACTAGCCAATTCAAAGGCGGTAGCGTCGATGAAGGCATTTTCAAGGTTTTGTGATTTTGTGATGATTGTTAATGTTAATGTGATAGATTTGTGATTTACATGATTGTGACAGGTTGAGTCATTTAATGAGCTCGTAGGTGGTTCTTGCTTATTCAGAGTAAAATTAAAGACAGTTTCCCTCCCATTTCTTCTCGTACGCAGCTATCTGAAAATTTGCATGCCCTACCCTATTATGGTAATTAGGGGGTTTCATAGTAGTGTATTGCCAGAGAGCGTTTATACTCCTCAGAGTTCTTATCACAGCTTTCTTTTGCTGCTATATTGGACGCATATCGACCAACTTTACACCACACTCACATGAGCGTTATCAATCGTATCAACGTATTGCGTGGCGATATTACAAAATTGACCACCGTAGATGCCATAGTAAACGCCGCAAACGAGTCACTCCTCGGCGGCGGTGGCGTTGATGGCCAGATCCACAAAACCGCTGGACCGGGGCTGCTCGAAGAGTGCCGCAAATTGAATGGCTGCCGTACCGGTGAAGCGAAGCTGACAAAGGGATATAATCTGCCTTCCAAGTACGTCATTCACACCGTTGGACCGAGGTACTCGAGTAGCAGGAGGGAGGAACTTCTCCGTAACGCCTACAGAAGCAGCTTGGAATGCGCGCATGAGAACAGCATACATAGCATCGCTTTTCCTAGCATCAGCACAGGTATATATGGCTACCCGATAGAGGAGGCTTCAGAAGTGGCTTTAAAGACGGTCAGAGACTTTCTGGAAACACATAAAGAGGTACGCCTGGTAAACTTGGATTAATCCACCTAACGAGCTCGCTCATCAGACTAGCGTAACTTTTGTCCTTTTCTCCGAACCGGATTTGTACATCTATCAAGATGAGTTCAAGCGTATTTTCGGGTGAATGCAATCTGCAGAGTAATTTGTAATGTTTCTGATGAACTATTATTTTCAATCTGAAAACATATATCATATTTATTAATTTTTTGTACAAATTGAGACATGTCCTTCCTGTGCGTCTAGAAAACAACGCTTCTGAATTAATTGAAACTTGATATCTTCATCCAAGTCCGATACCTTTACACAAATTAGCACTTTTCCAATACATGTGCGCCAGTATCTCCCACAACTCCCTTCTCCTCTGAGATTGACAGGCACTTATCATTCACCGCTGCATTGTTCTCTACATCTTTATTCTCGTTGCTCAAACTCGCTTCCCAGATCCGTTTTTCGCGGCGGATATGCAAGTTGAAAAGAAAGACAATGATATTGGATATATTCAAGAGAATTACCGGATTTAAACATGGATTATCCGGATTCATACCTAAATAAATTTTAAGCTTGTTTATGTGACCAATAAGGTGCGTCTCTGGATGACAAATTACCACAACTAGTAGATAAATAGCCATAAAAATATGCCAGACTATGAACGATTTGAAGAGCTTTTCGAAGCGGTACCTGAATTGAGGCATATGCGCTAATCTCTCAGATTTCTCTTTGTCAAAACCTTTCTGGAGCACGTGGTTCTTGCGCTCGTCCCTAACAACTCTCTCCTCGCGTTCGAATTTCATTGGCAGTGATGGTGATGGGTGTGAGATGAGGAGAGGTGGGGTGTAAGACCTCGGCAAATGGAAAGACAAGTAAAATAAAATCAGTAACGCAGACAATAATGTTTTAATACGCAGAAGAATGCTATGAAAATCAGACCTGTGTTTGAGTGATTCCACCTTCTTCTCATTCCATCCAACCAAATCCTAAGAAAGCCTGAGATGTTCAAGTTGGATTACATGTACATGCAAGTATGTCTATCAGGATTAATGTAAAAGCTTTTCCAGAGGTATAAGATGCTAATGAATATGTTTGCAAATAATGAGATGTATCATCCCCGAGCCACTAAATTGAGCTTAAAGAGTGAGGAGTGAGTGTAGGTATCATTGTCCGAATTCGATAACTCAGAAAGGAGAAATTAGCACTGTTCCGCTACCAATTCGCTTTTCTTGCGCACAACTTTTTCCTGCATTGAGGCTATCTTCTCTTCCACAGCATTATTTTCTAAATCGTACAGACTCGCCCCGTAAATTCGCTTCTGACGAAGGATGGAGATAATCGACTTTTCAGAATAGCTGAAGAAATCGTAGAAAGCCTCTAAAACCTTGATAGTCATAAAAGCACACATAATCTCCTTGACATGGCCGAGCGTTAAGTTTTTTTCGGTAATATGGCGGAGCGTAAAGCAAAACACCAGAATAGCCAATATTGAGCCAACAGAAAGAAGAATTTGGCAGGCTAAGACAAAAATGTAGAGCTTCGCCCAACGTGGGTGGGAATTGAACATGTTCGCTCTTATCTCATTGTCTTCCTTCTCAGTTTCCTCTTTCTCAAGCTCTTTCTGTACCCTACTATCTTTGTGCTCGTCTCTAATGACTTTCTCCTCGCGTTCGAATTTCATTGGCAGTGATTGTGTTTCTTTTCAAAGGCGAAGTGAAACAAATAGCAATAAAAATGTTATATTTGAAGGTGTGGAAGATTACGCTATGAAGTCCAAGGTTGAATTTGAGTTAGTTCGTCAAGTGATCGATTTGAAGGTCTCTGCCATCCAATGGCTAAAACAAACAAGCCCTTGAAAATCAAGCTCACCAGTACCCAGACTATGGCGAGGTAATACTTGAGTAAATCGCTTGCCACCCAAGCAGCCACCATCCATCCGAGCGGGATGATTGCAAACACAAAGTGATCCAACGACAACTCGAGAATGTAGTGTTATGGCCATTCTATGGATGCTAAAGTAAGGAGGCGATATCGATTGTCTTTAATTGTTGCCTCCGCCTTGTTTGTCGAATTGGCATTTATACGATTTGACAATGAGGTGCTTGTGTGTGTATTTGACGGATGCTGCTGCTTCCTCAGCGTTTTGGGCGCATTCATTACCACCCTCTACTATCCTCTACTTCTCGGAAGCTTTAAATGCTCACCACCCACTCTGCTCGGTTCTTAGTGGGTAATGAGAAGTTCCGAGGGATGATTATTTAATCAATTTTGACACAAATTTCTACGTATTTATATAGCTTGCAAGTTCTTACATTAAATTGGAGGCATGTATTGACAGTTGTGAGTTGTGAGTTGTTGATAGCGACCAGTCTGAGCTGAAGTGGTTGACGTTTCTGATCAGCAATCAGCCCCCTTAAAAGTATTAGAAAGTAGTCATCGCCAGCTAAAAGCTCGTGTAAGTCTCACTTTACGCACTGATTTTGCATGACGTCATTGATGCCTTAGAAAACACACTAACTCCTGTCTCATAGTGAAAACTGTCTAAAAGCACCTGTTTAATCACTCCAATTCTTTTAAATCACGTTCCATTCATTTGACCATCACCTCCACTTGATATTCCACCCTGAAAAATGTTTCAGCGAGCCATGCAACCGTGCAAACAACCAAAAAAGGCAGGGTAGCTACGATCTAGAACAAAATAAGCTAATGAGATATGAATATCATTAAATTTCTTCAAATAGACCGTCTTTTACTTTCACATTCCACACTAGTGAAGACGCGAAGATGCCGATGAAGTGAAAGACTAAAGTAAATAAACTATACTCTTTCTTCAGTACATATTTATTTGTTCCACAACAACCCACCGACCACCCTCGCTCGCTGTATCGTAAGCTAGAAACAAGATAATGTCAGAAGTCGGCAGTCAATTATGGAAGGGATATCAAGGAGCCCTCGGCAACGGAGGACACGGTGGTGGACTTCCTTTCCCTGGATTCGACAATGCGAACGGACAAGGCGGTTCATTCAGACCAGACGCGCCAGAGCTCGGCCCAACTTTCCCAGTGGGAGGCGGTGAAGAGGGTGGTGAGGATTATCCTGACTACCCCAACAATGGAAATGAAGCTGGATACCCCGACTACCCAGAAAATGGTGGAGAGCCTGAACAACCAAACTACGATGGCGATCAAGATAGTGGTGAGACAGATGAGAATGACATGCAGCCACCACCTCAAGATGACAACGGCAAGTGTCACAAGTGGGATTGGTGGAGCAGTGAGCCAGCAATCGGAGTCAATCTCGGCAACTGGCTGATCCCCGAGTGGTCATGGATGGGACACCCAGACGGTATATCGTACAACGGCGACATCTACTCGCAATGTGCGGGCAGAACAGCGGAATGCACTGAAGAGATGCGCACTAACTGGGAAGGCTACATACTCGAAAGTGATTTGGAGTACATTAGCAACCACGGCGCAAACATGGTTAGAATCCCGGTACCATTCTATGCATTCATCGACACGACAGGCGACGAGCCATACCCTACGGATGAAGCACAGAAGATGGAGCTCACTCGTGTGCTCAATCTCCTTCCGGCATACGGACTGCATGCAGTGATTGACATCCATGCTGTACCAGGTAGGCGAAGAGAGAATTAATTCAACGACGCTTACAACTATCCAGGCTCACAAAACGGCCTCGAACATTCAGGCAGACTTGGTGAAGCATACTTCCTCACGCAGACCTCTCAATACTGGGAAAGAGCGCTGAACACAGTGCGCGCGGTGACGGAGTATGTGCAGTCGTTGCCTGAAGACACGCAATGCATGATTGCTGGGATAGAAAACGCGAATGAGATCAAACCCGAGAACGACGACCAGATCGGCACGACAAAGAAGTTCGCTGTGGAGTCGTACGATATTGTCAACAAAGCGGGTTTCACACTCGTCACATCCGACGCGTTCCTCGGGCCAGCCAAATGGAGCGACATGTTTACACAGGGTGAGAATGTTGCTTTGGATGTACACCGCTACTGGGCATACAGTGATCCAGCCTCAGTCACGGACGCAAGCATTGCGGATGATCTCGCTAAATTTGCAACGGAAGCAGCTGCATCACACTTGCCAATCTTTATTGGAGAGTACTCGAATGCTCGTCCATACGAACAGGACGTCGAGAGCCTCAGATACACATACCAGGCTGAACAGTCTCTCTGGGTCGGCGCTCTTGCTGGATCCGCCTTCTGGGCTTACAAGGGTGAGCAAGGAAACGACTGGAACTGGCGCAAGGCGATCAATGACGGAGTAATCGATACGGATGACTACTATAACTTTGATATGACGCCTGAGTGGCTCAAGCAGCACATTCGCGATATGTTTGGAGAGAGAAGTCGTATCTGAAATGAGACATAATGCAGAAATTCACTAAAGACGAAAATCACAGCGATAAAGAGAAGATAACTTAATAATTGTTGATACAGTATTCTATTTAATACATTCACGCTCGTTTAGAAAAATTGAATGAAAAGTGGTTTACATGGACTTGTGCCCTTCTCAAACTCAAACCGATTCATTACATAAGATAGAAATTTGAAATCTGGCAATGGGGGATAGAAATATTGCTCGAGCGTTAAAGATACCACCATTTATAAACAAGTTGTATTCGTGGGTTAGATGGGATAGCTGGGAGAGCAATTCTAACGCATGTTAACCTTAGAATCGTCAACGACAGCGACACAGATAGATACATACACTGGTCGGACTCCGGGGACACGTTTTTTGTACCGAATCCTGAGGCACTCGCACGCGAAGTACTTCCCCGCTATTTCAAGCACTCCAATTACTCCTCCTTCGTCCGTCAGTTAAACATGTACGGATTCAACAAAGTGCCGCACCTTCACCAGGGTGTTCTCCACGATGGTGGTAGTTCTGAGCTTTGGGAATTCACCAACGAAAATTTCCAGCGCGACAAACCCGATCTGCTGGTAGATGTCCATCGCAAGGTATCCACAGCGACGGAGAAGAAGGCTGGAGTGAAAGGAGAGGGAGAGGCGTCGCAGCAGCTCACCAACTACATTGAACCAGCACCCACGAGTAATGGAACGCAGGACGCTCAGATTGATGTCGGCACGGTCGTTGCTGGATTCACGCAGATACAGAAACAACAGGCTTATATCAGCACCAGCTTGCTCACTCTCCAGCAATCGAATCAGCGGCTGTGGCAGGAGGCGGCAGCTGCGCGGGAGCGTCACAGACAGCATGAGGAGACTATCAAAAAGCTCCTGCAATTCGTTAGCTCCGTTTATGGTGGGGATGTGGCTGGTGTTAACGCTGCCAGTGCCGCTGCTTCTGCTGGCGCTAATGCTCCCGCTCACCCTTACGATAATGACCAGCCGGGGAATCAGGTGGCGCTGGTACCCAAAAAACGGCAGCTTATGCTCAACAATCTTGCGGAGGGTGGCGAGTTGAATCCAGCATATGATTTCGGCGGTGGCGATAGTAATGCGTATGAACAACATCAGAATCACAATGCTCACGAGGACATCTCTCGCTTCACCCACATCAGTCCAGAGAGCCAAAGCAGCGCGGCGGGAAACACACCTGGATCTGAGTATGTGGAGAGCAGTACTAGTACCAACAATGGCAATAATAATAATAACAATAACAGAAATACGTCGACGAACAACGGCAACCAAAGCACTAAAAAATCTCCACATCTCACTATCCCAGAACTGAGCAGCGCCAGCACGCAAGCGTTCGATAATTCCAAAGCACTCATCTCACCAGGCCAGCTAGATATTGCGCAATTTGCGAGTCTACTATCGCCGCGCACAACGCAGAGGTTGGTCGGAGGGGGAGGGAGTAATAATACCAACGGCCATAACAACACGCATAACAACGCATCTGACTATCTAAATTTCAACGCAATCAATAATCCGAGTGAAGGAGTGCAGATGAATGAGAACCAGATGGGCGCACAGCGAAGTCAGCTGAATGAACTTTCGTATGATTTAGATGCATTGCAGCAATCGATTAACACGGTGGTGAATAATATGGGTCTCAACCCGACACAGGCAAGTGAAATATTGCAGGCTTCGCAGTCGCAGCATAATGATCATCAGGCGATGGCTGAGCTGTTTAAGGGGTATGATTCAGATCTCGATAGTTTGCTCAGAGGGATGGGTGAGGGTGGTGAGGCGAGTACAAGTGCAAATGTGAATGCAAACTCAGACGCAAACACAAACACTAACTCAACCTCAAACACAAATGCTCAAACTACATCCCACATACACTCACCATCACCATTCAATTTCGTCGAAGAAGCAGAAGATGCAAAGCCTAGTAAAAAGACGCGCTATTGAGATGTCAGAGATGACACTAAGTTATATTCATGTATTTTTATGTACTTGTTTTCACATGGTAGAAAAGAGAGAAGGAAACGATTATCTATTTTATTTAAATACCCTCAGAGCATCAAGGAGAGAGGCTCAGCGAGGATTTTGTTGAGTGCAGCGAGGAATCTAGCAGCGATAGCGCCATCGACGACGCGGTGGTCCGAGCTCATAGTGAGTTTGAGAGTTTGAATTTCACGGAAGCCTTTTTCAGTTGAGTCATCCAAGACGAGCTTAGGTGAGGAAGCACCAACTGCAAGGATGCAGCTTTGTGGAGGGTTAATGATAGCTGTGAAACTGTCCACGCCGAGCATTCCGAGGTTAGAGATGGTGAAGGTACCTCCTTGGTACTCATCAGGTTTGAGTTTACCATCACGTGCTTTACCAGCGAGAGTCTTTGTCTCTGCGCTAATCTCAGCCAATCCCTTTGCACCAGCGTTTTTGATGATAGGGGTTATGAGACCGGTGGGGGTGGCAACAGCTACACTGATGTCTGCTTGGTGGTATTGACGGATGGTGTCGCCGAGCCATGCCTGGTTAGCTTCAGGGACTTCCTTCAAGGCGAGTGCGACACCCTTGAGGATAAAGTCGTTTACGGAGAGCTTGGCACGCTTCTCAGCTTCAGCAGCACCGTTAAAGACTGTGCGCAGCTTGAGAAGCTTGCTGAGGTCTACCTCGTGTGTTACGTAGTAGTGAGGAGTCTGTGACTTGGACTCTGAGAGACGCTGGCCAATAACTTTGCGCATGTTGGATACAGGCATGTCTTCGAAGAGAGGGGCGGCGTTCTTTGAAGGTGCGGAAGGTGCGGCGGTTGCTGGAGCAGCCTTGTAATTTTCGACGTCCTCCTTTGTGATGCGACCTTCTGGGCCGGAGCCCTTGAGCTGCATGAGAGGGACACCTCTTTCGAGAGCCAACTTGCGAGCGATTGGAGTGGCGGCGATGGTTTGGCGAGGGGTGTTTGGTGGAGGAGTGGAAGTGGATTCTTTAGGCTTCTCTGGGGTTTTTTCAGACTTTTGTTCTGGTTTCTGCTCAGACTTTTGCTCAGGCTTCTCCTCAGGCTTCTCTTCAGTGGCAGACTCCTTACTCTCAGCGGCAGCCTGCTCAGCTAAAGCGTCTGCGCCAGAGAGGTCATCGCCCTGCTCAGCGAGGATAGCGATGGGAGTACCAATAGGGATTGATTTGTTGCCATCGCCGAGCATAATTTTAGCGAGAACACCTTCATCCTGGGCTTCGACGTCCATGGTGGCCTTGTCGGTTTCAATTTCGAGGAGAACATCACCAGCAGTGAAGGAATCGCCGGCTTGTTTCTTCCAAGAGGCGATACCACCTTCAGTCATGGTAGGGGACATGCTGTAGTTATTTAGAAGGGATTGCTTGAAAAACTCAAGGCTCACGCTGGGAAAGCGAATTTCTGGAGTTGGTGGGTGGAAGGAGTGGTGGAGAGGGCTTTGGGGGGTGTGAGTGGGTATTTAATACTAGAAACGACCACCCACAACGCCTTGAAAGGTTTCCAAGTAAATTCTGTCTGATTGCGAGTCTAAACATGTTGGTTGTCGTGAGCAAGAGTAATAGTGTCTATTGTATTGGGATTAAGTCTACAAAATTATTTTTAGGGATTTCTTCTTTACTGAGGTAGCTGGTGGGTGTGGAGGGAGTGCCATTGAGTATGTAGCTGAGTATTATGTAGTTCTGGGGGTGTATTAGTGGGGATTGCAGTGTATAATGGCAATCTACTCACGTCCACGCCCGATTCATCCTTATTCACAGCTATTGGTAACTTACTCACCACCCAAAGATCAATATCCCTTCCAAACTGCTGATAACCAGCTCTTAACGCTGCTTGGTCGAGTGATTCGCCGGCGTTTAAGGTGGTTGAAGGGAGTGAGTGGTTGGGTAGCAGCAAACCAAGAGATCTATCACCAAGTCTTTCAATGTTGTCTACTTTGTTGTTGGAAGTTGGAAGATTCTCATGGATATCTACACCAGAATCGACAGAGACATCTTGATTGGAGTAGTGTGAATATCCCCAGTCTTTAATCTGCCTTAAATATTCCCCCTGTACAAACTTCTTACTATTTAGGCTCTGTGGTTGATAGTAGAAATCGAGTTTAAATTTCGAAGCTAATGATTGATGGAGGAGACTAGTATATTTGTAGTATTCAGTTGCTAGCGGATGTTGCTTTGGTGTTAAATACGGTGGTCTAATAATTAATAGTGTTGATTTAATTTTACTAGTCATGGCCGTTTTCTTCTAACATCCAACTAGAAAATCCCAATGAACCTTGTAATTCACTTGAACTTTGATCATTTTAATAGCAATCCTATTAAAAGTATTCCCTGGCTTGGTTATTTAAAGTCAAAGTCTATTAGCCAAGGTGATTATCAGTTGATTACTGGGCTAGACAATCATGGTGTGGATTTCTCTGTCGATCAATACTCCATAGAGTGTCATATACACCTACTAAATAGCCTACTCAACAGCATCAACAAGCTAGACGTTGTTCAGTGGGTTTTGTACCGCTTACAGCAGCTACTACTCATCAACCCACCCACAACCCTCAACCTCCTCACAAACACTCCAAATATCAACGAAAACCTCCTCCAGCACCTTCAGAACAACGATACTTACACTCACTTATCCACTGAGAAACTACTCTCCCTCTCCCTCACTCACTCCCCGTCCACCCACCACCTAAACTCCCTCCTCCATTCTATCCACAAGGACATTGATACAGGCGTTTATGTCGATGTCAGCACCCTCCTCCTCACACAGCTACTCTCTCTAACACCCTCTAAACACTACTCCTATCACAACATCCTCCCAACCCTCATTCCCATAATGTCTCACCCGCAAACACCCCCACAAACGACGTACAACATCATTTATTCCATCTGGATCATCTCTTTTGATAGCTCTCTTTGTGCGAGGATCAACACCGATCACCAAATCATCCCCCACCTCGCCAACGTTGCAAAAACCTCGATTAAGGAGAAAGTCGTCAGGTTAATCTTGGCCACTTTCTCAAATCTCCTCAGATTCGCAAAGAAGAACACGCTAAACACCTTCCTAGCCCTGCCCATACAACCCACGCTCACCTCTCTCTCCACTCGTAGATGGGTAGATGACGACCTACTCGCTGATCTCGCAGCCATACAACAACAACTGTCTCTCTCTTTTGCTAGTGTGAGCAACTGGGATGAATATGCTTCTGAGCTTGATTCGGGCCTGCTCAAGTGGTCACCTGTTCATAAGGATGAGCAATTCTGGAAGAACGAGAGTAGGGCGTTGTTAAATAATGGTGGATGGGGCGTAAAGAGGTTGCTGGGGTTGTTGGAGAGTGATGACCCTACCACCCTCCACATTGCCCTCTCTGACACTGCCTCCTTCCTCAAATACACCCCTACCGCTAAGCAACATATACACACCCACCACAAAACTGCCATAATGCAACTCCTGCAGCATCCAGATAACAACGTCAAGTATCAAGCCCTGCTTACCACTCAGCTCCTCATCTCTCAGTCGCTTCATTGAGCGTAGTGCGTAGTGCTTTCTATATTTATATTTCACTCAGTTTCACTCCATTTATACCACCATTTATTCATTTCATTCTTTACATTGATGAATCCTCACTGCTCTGCTCCCTCGGCCATCTCCCCTGGCGGCATCATGCCTGCGCCGCCACCCTGCTGGAGTCTCCTCGCACTGACAACGTCATCCACACGAAGGAGAAGGCTAGCCGATTCGACGGCAGTCTTGATGGTCTGAATTTTAACTGCAGCCGATTCGTAGAGGCCGTAAGTAGCCATATCGACAACTTTACCAGTATCACCATCGACACCGAAGCTCACCTCTCCGTTGCTATGTTTGGCTCTGAGTTCTGTGAGGGTGCGAATAGTGTTACCACCGCAATTCTGTATGAGAGTGCGTGGAATAACCTCCATAGCATCACCCACGGCGCGTATAGCCAAACTACCTACACCGTCGACCGATTTGGCAAGTTTACCCAGGGCGACGCTCACTGCCATCTCCGTAGCTCCTCCACCAGGTGCTAGGAGTGGGTTAAAGACAACGTTACGGGCTACTGCCATCGCGTCGTGCAAGTTACGCTCAATCTCGTTCAGTATGTCTTTGCTTGGTCCACGCAGAAGCACAGTGCATGCTTTAGGATCTTTGCACTCTGTCAGGAAAGAGAAGTACTCATCACCAAGCTTCTTCACTTCGAACTTGCCACATTTCGTACCAATGTCAGTTGCGCGGATATCTTCTACACGATTCACAATAGTCGCACCAGTCGCGCGTGCTATACGGTTGTTATCAGTTTTGCGCAAACGGCGAAGAGCTGTGACGTTAGCGCGTGTGAGGTAGTGCTGGGCGAGATCAGATACACCCTTCTCGGTGAGGACGAGATCAGGTTTGAAGGAGAGTATGTGCTCACACATGCCCTTAATCTGCTCCTCTTCAATAGCGAGAATCTTCTCCCAGTCGCCCTCTTTGCTTATTTCAATGTTGGTTTGCGACTCGCCCTTCTTGTACTCGAGTGGACAGTCGAGAAGGAGGACGCGTGGGGATTCGATCTTACGTCTCATCTTGGGGTGCGTTACGTCTTTGTTCACCATGAGCCCGCTCAGCACACAGCTGTCTTCAACATCACCTCCTGGCACCTTCTCGATACGCGCGTAACGCTTCAAATCGACGCTTTTGAGGTCGGCGTTGGCTGCGTCAGCTGTAGCTACCGTCCTGACACTGTCGAGAGCCAGCTTGCACATGAGATCGGACCACCTCTGGACGAACTTGGTGCCGATGGATGTCTTGATCAGCGCAAGCATTTCCTTTTCGTTGGCTGTATCGAGGGGCTTGCCGATGAGTTCGATAGTCTTGAGTGCCTCGGTGAGAGCGAGTTTGTAGCTTTGGATGATCTGCACTGGATGAATGTTCTTCTCGAGGAGGCCAACACTCTGGGCGAGGATTTCACCGGCGAGAATGATGACACTGGTAGTTCCATCGCCAACCTCCTCATCCTGGGTACGCGACAACTCGATCATACTCTTGGCTGCTGGGTGTGCAACGTCTATTTCACGCAGAATTGCATGTCCATCGTTGGTAAGGAGGATCCCGCCCATTGGATCGAGAATCATCTTGAGCATCGACTGCGGTCCCAAGCAGGTGCGTATAATATCGGACACCGTCTTTGATGCCATTATATTCGACATTTGTGCCTTTCTACCGCTTTGGCGTTCAGGTGCGTTTGTGTCTGCAGCGTAGAGCATTAGACGTGATCACAACTCGCGCTATCCACCCACTCATAACCATCATTGGCTGTCCACCAGGTCCCATTGCGGCTGCCATTCTCGTTGTGTTATATGTCAGAGAACCTCGACGTATCTGAAGGAAAGTGGGTGCGGGCGTGCAAAATGTTTTTTATTTCTTTTTAAGGCGTTGCTGGCGGTGTACACGTCGCCGTCGCTGTCGCTGTGCATTTCCCGCTGTCCCGCAATCCACCTCTTTCTATGTCCCATGTTGCCATCATAGGCGCAGGTGGGTTTCCGTGACTGGCCCAGTGCCATCCACTGACTCTCCCCAGGCCTCAGCGGCTTAGCCAGTGCGCGCCAGATCCTCGCGCGTACTCCGCAAGCCCAGGTAACGATATACGAAGTACGCGGGAGTGTAGGTGGCGTGTGGTGAGCTGGAATGCCAATAACCGCTGCATACTAATCCACAACCAGGAATTACTCCCCCGACGCCCTCTCGCGCCAGATCAAGTTCGATAGCCACGGCAACCCACGCGCCGCGATCGACTTCGGCAACATCGACGGCAGACGCAACACAATGCACGTCGTAGAGGAGGTCCCCCCCTCGCCCGTCTACCCCTCCCTGCGCACCAACCTCCCCACCCCGCTGATGAGCTTCAGAGACGAGCCGTACGACGCTGCTATCACCGACAAGACCTTCCCCACGCATGCAGAGGTTCTTGCTTATCTCCACTCTTACGCTCACAAACACGCGCTGATCCCTCTCGTCCGTTTCCGCCACCGCGTTACGCGCGTCCGCCACAGCCCTCACAGCAGCAGCAGCAGCAACAACAGCATGCGCAGATGGGAGCTCACGGTGGAGGATCTGAGTGTGTCGGAAAAGGTAGAGAGAGGCGAGAAGGAAAATCTTCACAATGTCTCACCTACCACCACGCGTACATACGACTGTGTAGTAAATGCAGCGGGCCACTACGCGAGTCCGTACATACCCACGATCGACGGGCTGTGGGCGTATGACGGGGTAGTCGAGCACAGCCGGTGGTGGCGCGGCCCCGAGGCGCACCGTGGGCGCAAGGTGGTGGTCGTTGGGAGTCGCAGCAGCGGGTACGACCTGACGCGCGAGCTGGCTTGGCTCAATGTAGCGCCGCGCAATGTGCACTCGCCGTACGCGTCTGTCGACACACACCCACACCTCCACCTCCCGCCCACCACGGTTATCCAATCATCGCGCTCGCCGCCGCCGGAGTGGACAGACGCGCCCGCGTGGTACCGCTCCATCCACCAACGCCCGCCTATAACACACGCGCACGGCCACAGCGTCACCTTCGCAGACGGGCGCGTAGAAACCGGCGTCGACGTCCTCGTCTTCGCTACGGGGTACGACTACCTCTTCCCATACATGCACGCAGGCGACCAGCCGTGGAAGGAGCACCCTGTCGCTGACGATGCGCGCGGAGAGAGGAGCGGGCAGGTGCAAGTGCAGAACATCCCCGCGCACAAGCAACTAGGCGAGGCGGAAATGGCGGAGTGCGCTCGCGGCTGGGCTGGCCTCCGCCACAACATCTCGAAACACCACCTGCTCTACCTCCCCGACCCGTCTTTCGGGTTCGTCGGACTGCTGAAGAATGTTCGCCCATTCAGCCTGTATGAGGCACAGGCGCATGTTCTCGCGTTTTGCTTCGCACAGAGCACCAGCAAAGGCATCCCAAACACACTCACCGAGCCGCTCCACCTCGGGAATCAATCAACTCGCGCAGCTCAGGTCTGGCGGTTTCCCCTCGAGTTTGAGATGACGGACGAGATGGCCAGCGCTATAGGCGAGCTGGACACATGTGCGTTTGCGGTTGACGACGGCGTGTGGACTTGGGCCTGCAATCCGAAATGGGCTTATGACAGGACATATGGGCTGATAGCGGAGAAGCGTGCGGTGCTCGGATATTAAATAATTTTCATTAAACTCGTTGTATTCGCTTGTATCGCTTTCGTTGCCCTTCCTGCACGTTACATCATCACGCCCACACCACCATCATGCACATGGCTCCCGGCGAACACAGCGTGACGACGAAAGAGGAGCAGGATCAACGGCGCACGCTCACGACACTCGCGTCGATCAACAGCGGGAAACAGTCGCAGCCGTTCCACCGCAACCACCTCCCGCTCAACACAAAATCTTCCTTCAGCCATCGCAAAGCCCGCGACGACCGGCTGCGCGAAATGAAGAGCAGGGAGCGCGACCTAAAGCAGGACGTCGCTGGTGCGCGGCAAGAGCACACGCACAAGATTATCGAGCGCCGCAAACTCAGAGAGGAGAAGGAGCGTCTCGAGCAGGTTAAATCTAAGGCTGACGAGCGTAGACGCAAGAAGCAGAAGAAGAGGGAAGGTAGGAGTGGCAAGATCAATCAGTAGATTGTGTACACGGTTTACACGCCTTCTATCGTGCTCTTTTATATATTTATCTTTGTCGTTATATAGTCCCTTAGTTGGATCCATATCGTGCTGCGAGTGTTGCTCCTGCTGTCCCTGCTGTCCCTGCTGGCCCGGCTGTCTCGCTCCCTCAGCACATCCGCCACTCCCACCAAACCCTCCAGCGCGCCAAGACGCACGACGAGCATCACGCGCGGCCCCAGCCTCTTAAACAGCTTCATTGCGACGTGTAGGGGTGTCGAGGGGGCGATGGTGATGGGCGTTTCCGTGAGTGTGTCGCTGAGGTTGATAGCGGTGGGAGTGCGTGTGGGAGTGTCTACACCATCACCACCACCATCACTATCACTATCGCTATCACCTGCATCCACATCCACATCAAAGATGGTCTGCTCACCACCGAAAGTGCTGAAACTCACCCACGCCCACTGAGACAGCCGATCGAGTTGCGCGAGGCGTTTAGCGAGGGTTTGAGCATCTGCGTAGCCAACGAGCTGCATTCCATCCCCATCCACAGACCGCACGACGGGATATCCGCTGTGCTTGCTTTGCAAGACGTTGTCTACGTCGCCTACCTGCATGTGTTCGCGCAGCACGACGAGCTGAGCGAGCGGCGTCATGGCTAGTGCGACGTGCACACCCTCACCCTCACCATCCCCTTCACCTTCGCCATCCGTTCTCGTCAACACGGGTATCTTACTGCGCCGTATAGCCTGCTCAGCGTGCCCACCCATGCCCTCTCCTCCGCTTAACCAGTCCGAAACCCCTTTTGTAGTGATTAGGACGATCATAGTGGGTAGAATATGGCCTAGTGCGCCTGTAAGCTCGAAGATGATAATGGGGACAGTTACCCAGATTCGCAGTACACCACTAAGCGCCGCGGCAGCACCGAGTAGAGCGTAAGTAGGCGGTGAGATGCACGGCGCTTGGGACGCAGACGCGTGGCACTCAGCGAAGAAGGGCATGTGGGCGTAACGAGCATGCACCATCGCGCTCACAGTGCCCACCAGTCGACCGAAAGTGGCTCCAGCTGCTAGCGACGGCACAAATAAACCCGCGGGTACCCCGCACCCATATGTGATAATCAGGAGCACCGTTCGTATCACTGTAGCCAACAGTGTGCGGTGGATAGTCGTCCATGCTTGTGATGCATCGCACATCCCGTAATCTTCAATGTGGTTATCGCTGTTATTGCCAGGACTGCACTCCCGCAATAACATCGCTAGCCCCTCCGTCATGTCGATGCGGAGGAGCGGGTTCGGGTAGCTGAGCACCCCACTCACTAGCGCTAGTATAACTGCCTCACTGACAGGATAGCGAAGCAGGTGACGGCGCCGTACCTCCGTATATGCCAGATTGAGCTTGATGACAACAGACCCGAAGAGACCCTGGAGAGGGAATGTCGAGAAGAAGTAAGAAAATCAGCGTATGCTAAACGACCCAACATAACCCATCACCCACCCCAAACACACCGAGCACTATAAAGTAGACAATCTCGAAAAAGTGCCAACTGGTGTCGTGCGATACTTGAAAAAGAACGAGTTTACCTGTGTGGAAAGGATTGAGGGCGGAGAGCATAGCAGTGGCAGCGAGTGCACAGAAGAAACTGCGCCAGATCATCTTGGTTGTGTGTGTATGTGTCATCTCCTCGATGGAGAACATGACGCCGCCGATTGGACTACCGAATGCACACGCAACACCAGCCGCACTGGCAGCGACGAGAATCTCGCGCATCTTGGCGGTGCTTTTGCGGAAATAGGGGAAGAGAGAGGCTTGGAGATGTGCGATGCAGCAGGCAACGTGGACTGAGGGACCCTCTTTGCCGATGGACAGGCCGCAAGCGATGGCGAGTGGCTGTAGAGAGGAATGTAATAAGTGATAAGGTTAACTGAGACACCCAGCTACCCACCAAAGTACACGCCTTCACAGCGAGCACCGGCCAGTGAAGATAGCCGGGATAGTCAACACCAGCAATAATGCACTTGATTTCACTTATACCGCTACCAGAAGCCTGTTGGCTTAGTCTGTGCACGGCGAAAGCAGCTACGAAAGCGAAAAAGATAGAGAAAAGTATGTAAATGAAGTAGTTGAGAATGGACCAATCAGACCATTCCCTCCAATCAACGCAGGTAGTCTTGAGTGTTGATAGATTGTCTACGCATCGCCCAGACTTGAGATTCGCGAGCCAAACGGAAAGAATGGAGAGAACACCGCTAAGCAGACCAATAGAGAGACCAGCGATGAGGAACACAAGCCAATTTGACAGAGGCTGCAGGAATTTCGCAACTTTAGGGATTTTAGGGAATGCAAGATTCCAACCCAGTGAAGTCATGTTGAGTGATAACAATCAAGGGAAAAAAAATAAAAAATCGATGATGACCGCAATAATAATTCTAATCACACTCAAATCAACCACCCACGCTTTCTCTATGGGGATTGCAGAGCTCTACAAGTTCGACGAGGATCAAACTGATGAGGAAAAGGAGGCGCAGAAGGGGAGGCAGAATCATATAGCACTCTACGCGCTTTGGATTATTATTGGATGCGTTGTCCTCATCCTCATTTTCTTCATCGTCGCTGGAAGCATTAGAGCGTTTCGTAACCCACGCAGATACGGTAGACGCGCTCGTAGAAGACGCGTTACAGACACACCCAATAGCCAGACTGTTACTATCCAAGACAATTTCCAGATACGCGCCGCTGGCATTGCGCGCGCTATCCTCGAAACTTTCCCCCTTGTGAAATTCAATGATGAAAATTTGCACAAGGTTGATAATGATAAAAGTACTCAAGATATTGAACTGGGTGATACCTCACAAAAGCCTGACTCTGAAAACACTAACAACTGCGCTATCTGCTATGAAGATTTTCAGAACGGTGAACAACTCCGCATTCTGCCATGCAGCCTCAAACACTGTTTTCACTCCAGCTGCATCGATCAATGGCTACTTGAAATACAAGGCGTCTGTCCATTGGTAGGTTTTTATTTTTCAGCTTCAATCACTAACACTCTCTTCGTTCTAGTGTAGAAAAGATTTCAGAGATACCAAGTTGCAAGCAGAAGCATCTAACTCCTCCAACTCTCTAACTTTCCTCTCTCGCTCTACCGCTCATCTCCCAGGCAGACGTCATGTTTCGTTGCAGTCGTTCAGAAACGCTCTCAGACTTTCTCGTTGTACTCATTCTCAATCTGCTCACGAACTCCACCCTATCAGCGAGCACTTTGAAGAAGCTGACATCACAGATAGCCGCGACAACCGCGTTGACAACCAGGCTGACAGCGGCAATAGCAATAGTCATATCAGCAACAGTAACAACCAAGGCAATAATACCCACAACATCGATATAGACCATCCAGCTACCTCCGCTTCACCCTATCTCTTCACATCCCTCTTTTGTCGGATAATGAACAACCATAGTGCAGATAGAGTTTAATACTCTCCAACTTACCCTCCACTTACTCTCCACTTTACTCAGCACTTTTTCTCAACACTCACGACTCTTGTTTAGTTCTCAGTTCTTTGTTCGCATCCTGTATGTACAATTTTCACTTACACTCGCAATCATAAACGCAATCGCAATCTTGACTTCAATCACACTCATACTCGCAATCGCAATTGAAATATCAATTTCACTATGTCTTTATCCTGTACTCTTGTACACTCTCCTTGTACGCTACCTGCATTATCTGCAATAGCAATAACAATACAACTTTACGTAGTTTTGTCCATCCTTTTTACTTTATTTACGTTGTTTACCTATACATGTAACATTTACTTCGATTCGAGTGTCTAAAAATTAACACATTTCACACAAACATACACACACGTGCTACTCATACAAGGTGAGATATATGCAAACACAAAAAGAGATCAAATACCTCCAGGAAGATGCGACGAATGTGTTTGGGATGCTGCTAAATGTGATTGTGCTAATGGGTGTGCTGATGATGGTGCTTGTGCTGGTGCTACTTGTGCTTGCGTTGCTGTTGAATGCTGCTGAGCCTGCTGTGAGGTAGCCAATGATGATATGTGATTGTAGTGATTTGGTAGTCCCTGATGTGTCTGATGTGCTTGGTATGATGGTAATGATGAGTTGTAAGATGGCATAAGGGAGGTGTCAGATGACTGTGCGAATGAATGGTTAATATTTGGGTTTGTTTGCTGCTGCTGCTGCTGAGAATTCGTCTCCTCTTGCGCCACTTCCTCTTGCTTTTTTGTCTGTGCCTGCTTCTGTGCCTGATCTTTCTTCTCATTCGTCGATTTCAGCGTATTCTTCACACATTCCTGCATCCACGGAACTTGGATGATCACATGCTGCACCTCAATTGGCTGCGTAGCGCCCCACTTCATCCACGCAATCTGCTGATCATGCGGCGGTGCGAATGTAGGTACGAGGTAGTCAAGTATCTTTATATGGGATATCTGTTCATCAGCCGTCTCTTTGACGCGCTTCGACTGTAGATATTCATCCAAAGACATCTTCATCACCACCCCCTTCTTCTCAGCTTCCATCTCCCTCTTCCTATACTCGATCCGCTCGAGCAGCTGATCTACGTCTATCTTCACACTGTCGCCAACACAGGTACATGCACGCGCCTTCCTTCCATACTTGGTCCATCCTTCAGTAGCGAAATTGACAGACTCTGCGCAGTTAAAGCCCATATTGAAACCCGAGTGGTAGCCATGTGGGAATGTAATCACAAACTCGTTCTGCTTTTGCACTAGCACTGACGGCTTGATGTTTTGTGACGCTAACACGTGTGGCGAAGCGAGATACGATTTATGGCGCAGCCATTCCGGACATTGCTTAGACTCCCCAGGGAACAGACCTGCCATCAGTCTCTCGAATTTCCATTTCTGCTTCTGCGGAATCGTGTACCAGAATTTAGGTGCACCGAAATGAATATAATTTATACTGTATAGATCCATGTCCTCGACGTGCCACGCGAAAGTTGCTCGCCATGCACCAAAGTATAAGTACGGTGTGTTGACTCCAGGTAGCTGTGCACCGACACCAGCTTCTTTAAGGATTTCGGTGAGATACGACGGCAGGTTTGCCACATTCCAGCTTTTGGTTTTGTCATTGAAAAGCGACCCTGTGAATAGTGGTTAGATTGAGTTAGATTTAAGTTAATGGTGCACATCTCACCTGACAAATCAGCTCCGTACCAGCTAATCTCATTATCGCCTAATCCTAAAGTCCGCCAGTATTGCTTTTCAAGCTGCTTGCATCCTTTTACATCGTAATCCTCATGCTTGGCATCGTCAGGCAGCCATACATCGTGAATATTGAGCCCCTCATAAAACTCATTCGCTAGTTCTTCTCGTCTCTTCTTGGCTGATGGTTTTGCAGTGCTTTCACTGATTTCTGAGCCTACTCTAGCTGGAGGTGGCTTTTGAGGTGCTGCAGAGCCTTCTCCTTGAGCTGATTGTGTTGATAATTTACTTTGCAGTTCTGCAGATGGGAGAGAGCTTTGAGAATGAGATGTGTTGTCGTTCAAAGGATGACTAGGAGTTGGAGGTTGCGTTTGAGAAGCAAAATCAATCATGCGCTCGTCACTCGGTTCATCTTTAGCGAATGAAGCATCCTCAGTCTTGACTTCATCTAGTAACTGAGAATTGTCAGCGGTAGTTCTCCTCCTTTTTCTCCTCGGAGGGTCTTTAAGCTTAGATGACGAGCCTCTGCCTCTAGTGAATCTGCTAGAGTCGCTGAGAACATCATCGGGTTGATGTGGTGTAGGGGTGGGGAACTGCAGCTTAACATCGTGGCCGCAGCCAGCCAAAGAAGCCCACTGATCGATTCCCATCACATTCCTCTTAACGACGTTCGTTTGCTTGTACAAACCACTTCGACCAAGCATATGCTGGGCTATTGGCTGTCTGATTTTAATTTTATCGAGATTGGATGCGTTGTATTCTGGTAGCGTCTCGAGCCACTCAACTGGTGGAATAACCTTTACGATGCCCGCTTTCATGCCGTATCTATCAATCTTCTGGACATAGTCGTAGAAATCAACAAATTCGTCCATAGTTGGCTCAAAAACAGGGACACCTCTGCATACGTAATCTTCATCGTCGGGATTATCGTTGGCGGGTACTGGGATATACTGGCTGTCATCATCTGTGGGATAATAGTAGCTTGGTTTTGGTAAAGCACTCGTCGACGCTGCTTCTGGTTGAGTTTCGGCCATCGACGTTGACTGAGTAGAGGAACTGACTGTGGCTCAACTGATTTGGATAATTTGAAATTATTAATTCATTCTAAAAACATGCATATCGGTGTGTTAAGTCTTATCGGTTTCATGGCTATGATGATTGTGATGGCTGTGATGACCAATATTTTGCTCTGCGGGATATAGACGGTGAATAGGCTAGATTACGGTGTAATAATAACTGCGTAATACATTCATAAACATATTCACACCGAAATTCCACCCGGCACTTTGTTCATATGATGTGGAACTTCGGGGCTATAGGGCGTATATAAGGGGATTATGAGGAATTAATCCTTAACCAATTCTATCAATGTCTACTACAGGATACTCATTCGCTAAATCATCCACAAAATCAGATTTCAACTCGCAGCTGAAAAACACAGCCACGGCGTTAGTTGAGCATGGAAAGGGAATTTATGCTACTGATGAGACCACTGAGGCTATATCTGCAAGGCTAGCTGCTGCTGAGGGTCCCAACAGCAAGCAGTACAATCCCGATGAAGAGAAACAGAGACGCTACGAATGGCGCAAATGCCTCTACGAGTCTCTACCCACCGACCACATCTCAGGCTGCATCCTCTACCAAGAAACCCTTGTCGATTTCAATCTCGCCAATGTCTTGTCTCAGCGAGGTATCGTGCCCGGCGTGAGAATCGACACTGATGGCCAGCCACTGCCAGGCGCCGGTGACGGTGAGGTGTTCACGCAAGGCTTAGACGATCTCACCGCTCGCTGTGAGCTCTTCAAGAAACACGGCGCAAGATTCACCAAATGGAGAGCACCAATCCTCGTCAACTCATCCACTCTGCCTTCTCAACTTGCCATAGATGCTCAAGCGACTTCTTTGGCTAGAATGGCTGCCGTCAGTCAAGCCGTCGGTCTCGTTCCAGTCGTCGAACCTGATCTTGATTTCTCTGGTGACGCAACCCTCGAACGCTCACTCGAAGTGCACATCAAGGTCATTGCAAACATATACGAGAAACTAGCTGCTCATGGGGTTTACTTGGAAGGTGTGTTTGTCTTTCGGTCTTTGTAATACCCCAACTAACACCGCACAAAGGCACCCTGCTCAAACCTTCCTTTGTTCAGCCAGGTTCACTAAACAGCGAACGCAAGAATCTCACCGCAGACTCTGTAGGCAAAGCTACTGCCCTGGCTCTCTCTCGTTCTGTCCCCGTGGCAATGCCCGGTGTTGTTTTCCTCTCTGGCGGCTTATCGGATGGCGACAGCGTGGCTTTCCTCAGCGCTGTCAACAAGTATGCAAAGAAAGAAAACATCAGACTCCCGCCCCTCACTTTCAGCTTTGGAAGGGGTCTGCAAGGTGACGCGATGGAGAAGTGGACAAGAAAAGACTTCAAGGGTGCACAAGAAGCATTCAACAAACGCGCTCAAGAATGCTCCAGAGCTTCACTTGGCCAAATTTGATTTGATTTGTTAAGAATATCACTTTTTTTTTTTCAGAATACACCAATTTTCAAAAAAGAAAAGTACTTTATGCATAAACTGAACAAGTTACAAAACTGATACAAGATAAGAATAAAAGTAAAAAAAAGTAAAGTCCGCTTTAGTTGCAGCCATTAACGGCTACCCCCTCTACCCCGGAAAGGACGTGCATTCTCTTTCCACCTTGACTTAGGGACAGCCATAGCTTCCTCCCTCCTCCTATCCTCTTCCTCACCATCATTTTCATCCTCATCCTCATCCTCTTCCACGATGACAGGCTGATAATCATTTCGGGGAGGTCCAAAGTCAAACGCGCTCTCCTTATCTGCTATCATCTGCCCAAAGACAGTATCGCTAGTACGTGGAAACACAGGCGGACGACGTCGACTGCTATCCGATGAACTAGAGACGGGCGTCGACTCCTTAGAGTTACTGCTCGCGTTGCGACTATCAGACCTGCTGTCATAGCCCTCGGAAGCAGTGTCGTACGACCCTGATCGTGTCGAAGCTGTACCAATTCTGCGTTCCCGCTCTTCCGTATTAAGCCAGTTGGAATTCGTGGAGTGGTTTGTGAACTGAGACATACTAGACATCGACGGCGATACCTGGTTCGTTTTGAACGCGAATGGCGGTGGGATAGGTGACGGGCTGCTTGTTTTGAATGACATACTTCCACTTGAGTTACTCTTCTCTTTCGAGTTTTTCGAACTTGCACTGTTATCGTAGAAATCATCAATGCGCGCAGTGGGCACGATTGGAAAATATGCATCCCCACTGCTGCTGCTACTATCGTTAGCGAGCGAGTACGCGTCGTTATCTATCCGTTTATAAGGTCGAACTCTCTTTCCAACGCTGCCACTGAGTGGTGGCTGTGCCCTCATTGAGCGACGAGGAAACATGCTAGTAGCCAATCCCCACATCCCAGCGCTAGTGCTGGGATAATCGTGTTCGTTGTCGTCATCGTTTACCGTGTGGTTGCTCAGCATCGAAAGCCGCATCTGGCGGATCTTGTCCAGAGGTGAGCTGTACTTATCAGACTGGTTGTCGGACCAGCCGTCACTGTCGCCGAACTGCGTCTGCGATATCGGCCTGTTTTGCGATGGCTTCTCATTCGACGATGACGTTCCTAGCAATGGCGATACCTTGAACATATTGCTCTGGCGGCGCTGCACTGGCGTTACTTTATCCTCAATTGACAAATCTGTCTTGAATCCGCGGCTGCGTGGAGGCGGCAGCGAAGTGAATTTTTTCTCTCGATCTCTCTCCTCATTCCATGCCTTTGCCTTACTTCCCAGCATGGCAAACCAGGTACTAGGACATGATTGAGATTGCGCTTGCGTTTGCGTTTGCGTCGGTTTGGGTGCAGTGTTGTACAGCGCTGCATCTGCATCCGAAGGACGTGTTTGATGGGTTGCTAGGAAAGGTGTAACTTCAAACTGGCGCCGCTCTATGTCTTTGTTCATCTTACGCTTGTATACACATCGCAGCAGTAACAGTAGCAGTAGAAGGAGTAGTGGTCCGAGTATGACAGGCAGCACTATCGCTAGTATCTTTTTGGTGTGAGTTTCTGACCTACGAAGTTGCATGTTCAAATACTCACTTTGCCAGTGTCACTTGTCTCACTTGCCTCAACTGTATCACCAGCTGCCGGGCCTACGCCGCTACTTGTGCTTGAAGAAGGCAGAGGTGTAGTAGTGGATGAGGTGATTGGTGGATTTGTGGTACTGGAGGATATGCTGGAGGTGGTGGACGAGCTAGATGTGGTAGATGTGGTAGATGTGGTAGATGAACTGGAGGTAGTTGATGGTCTACTAGAGCTACTAGAGCTACTAGTTTGGCTACTTGAGTTGCTCGACGTGCTTGACGTGTTTGATATACCAGACGTACTCGACGTACTGGACGCGTCTGACGCGCTACTAGTCTGGCTAGAGCTACCAGAGCTGCTACTGCTAGCTGTGCTGCTTCCTTCTGAAGACGTGGGCGAAGTTAGACCACCGTAGTCCCATCCACCGCCCAGCGGAATAGACGGTCCGTAGTAAGTCTGCGGCTGCTGTACAATAGTATAGGCATTCTGTCCTGCTATACGAGAGTACGATAGCCAGTCTGCTGGGAGCTAGTCAGAGAGAAGTCCTCAAAATCTCCAGCAAAACCTGCAACTCACGCAAAAGCTGTTGGGTCATAGTGTGGATCTATCTCAATGGTATTCGTGTAGCTCTTCCCGAGCTAATTATCTATTTGATTTGAAAAAGAGGTTTTGGTTGGAAAATAAACACGCTTGCTTGATGAACGAGGCGCGGTATGTAGAAGTTGAATCAACATTCTTGATAATTTTGAAATTTGTAAGTAGGAGTAGATTTTGGAGGAGTGTATTTGAACAAAACATGATGATTATGGTTCACTAATTTCTATATTAAGAAATACCTGCTTTACATTTCAAACAAAATGACATCACCGGGTTGTGGTCGCTGCTAGCACTGAGGATACATTCATGAAGCCGGAAAGTTTAAGAAAATGCCAGAAGAGTAGAATAGCTCATCATTTTTCCGTATATGTCATTCTCAACTTGGGATGTTCTATTTCGTCTAGTATTTTATGGGATGATGGGGATGAGGAGCAAATAGAGCGGAATAGGAAATAGGTAGAAGTACACGCGAAGTCTCACAAAAGCGCAATTTGATAGTCACAGTTGCCGTCTCACTCACAAATGTACCCTATCAATCGTCAATTTCCGAAAAAAGCGGTACAACTCCGAGCTACTGTGAAAGTTAACAGAATATCCCAAACTACCATCTCTGCCACCTTCACCACCCTAAAATCTGATTCGGTGACTTGACTTGTTTAATTTGTAACTGATTAACCCAATTGCCTAATTTAGACTCGTTCGGCAACCCACGACACATCTTCTACACGCGTTTGGATGGGGCCTTAATCTTTCAAGCCAGTTTAACTTAAATTTAAGATATATTTGCAGTTGAGAAGCATGGAGATTTGCCCCCTTTCTTCGGAAAAGTTAACAAGGAGAAACAGTGCGGAGATTGTTAATGGCCGATTTATACAGAACGCCGCTATGTCACGTTTCGTTCTTATGAACTGTTCAGGGGTTTAATAAGGTAGTGCCTGGCTTGTGCCTTGCATGGATGAATATAGTTCGCTTCGAGGCGCTGTCATTAACCAAAAGTAACAAAGCTTAGCAACAGGCATACCAATGCGCTACTACCACTACGAAGAGCACCACGAAGATCACCAAGGCGGTTTGACGACACACCACGAAGCTATTGCGCAGATAAGACGGAGGAGATACCTGTGGATGGGCTCGTATATTCTCATATCAGCCAGTTCGATATTCCACGTATATCAAAGCTGCACAAGCTGCCAGCTGCCGCAGACGCTCAACAGCCTTATCGAATCATCCTCAATCGGATTCTTGCTCGTCAACGTCGTCCTAAACCTGGAGTACTATATGAAATGCAGGCTGTGTAGCAGATGAAAACAGCGCACATTCCATTACATTCACCCTATCCATACCACCATTTTACATTTGTACAATTTAGATTTTATTCTCCTCGGAGCTGCGGAGTCAACTTGTTTGAAACCAGTCTGTTATATCGCGGTGCAATGAAGGACTTGTCCCACTTCACTGACAGTATAAACATCTCGACCAACAACTCAATCGTCCTACTCGTGAAGTTTATCCTCGTAGTTACCGCTTTCTTCTACGCATCCACCATCGCCAGACAGCACGACGGTTTGCCCAAGTACTTCGCCTATATTCTCGCCAGTATCTACATCTTCTCCTTGGTGATGTACCTGCGCGATCGGAGAAGTACATCAACGAAAGCATAGTACAACATACATCATTCATTAGAATTCCTATTTTACAACACACTCATTCTCTTCGTTGTTCGTCATATTTATTCAAAAAGCCTTGCTGGATCTTGGCAGCCGCACTTGTCAACCCGATCAGTGGTTTCAATATCGCAATCGGAACAGCTCGTATGATCGGTTTATTCTTATCGCCCTTCTCAAACACCTCCATTGGAACTATATGTGTGCATTAGCGAGGAAGCCAGGTAGCTATCATATGTATAGCACCCACCAGCCAATATAGTCTGTGCTGCATCATTCAAATTACTGTTCAACGATCTATATGCACTCTCCATTCCCTGTTTCAATGTCGTCGGCTGTGTCTCTTCTTCAACCGCCTCCATCGTCACCTTATCCTGCGATGGCCTGTTGGCGAGAATACTTTCTGCATGCTCTAACACCACTTGCGTACCGTTGATGAGCTTTGCTCCTAGTCGCACTGCTTCCATGCCTGCATTCCGCGCGAAAGAAGTTCCGCCTTTCTGGAGCCCTCTTATGATGCGCTTGTCGTGTCTGTATTGCTCAATAGGCAGCAGTACGAGATCGGCTACACCACTGCCAACGTTCACTAGTGAACGAACTGGCGCAACTCCCGAGATCACATCCGACAGCTGGTTTGCCTTGACGTCGGGTGTCCATGTGTCCTGCAGTAGATCAAACAAGCGCGGCCAGCCGACGATCTGATCGATCTAGTGTTAGATCTTCCTCCTGTTCCAATTTCCAAGTGCTGAACCCACCCCCGATATCATGATCCTGCGCAGTATGATCTCAGATCCATCGAAATGAAAGAAATTCATCATTTCCATCGTCTTTCCCTGTCGCAGAGCCGCGTAGTTGACATGCTTCGGTTTGTAGTCCATCTTGATCTCGACCGGCTCAATAATAGCTTGACCTAAATTGTGAGTTAGTCAAATTCGTCTTGCAATTGGCCCAACACACGGATATAAGGTCCACTTGGCCTGCCAATAGCACTCTCCCCTTCATCTTTAAAGGCGATGAAACGCTTGAGGAAGTCGAGTGCATCCTGGTCCATGTTGAGCTTGATGGGCAGGATGCGACACAGCAGTGAAATCTCCTCCTCATTAGCATCAGTGAGCAAATTATTGAGTGTCACTTCTACCATATTCGAGTTAGACTCGCGCATATTTCCTCTAAGGTCTTTCTGTAACGCTGTCATGAATTTCCTCCATTTGCTCTTCTGCGTCACCCCATCCAAGACCTCCATATCTTTAATCGATAGCTTGGTAGCAGATGCCTTGTCTCCCTCAGCGAACTTCGTGTAGGAAGAGTGCACGTCACGCGCTGTGACTTCAACGAACGGAGCGGAGGATCTCTGTAGCGATTTCTTGAAGTCTGACGTGTGAGTATGAGTGTGATCTGGTGCTGGGACAGATTCTTTCGTTCTGTGTGACTGAGAAGGTGTGCTTAGATTCTGCCACTCGCTGTCACTCTCCTCGCCCGCCACACCCAATTCCTCGTCTATAGCTTTGAGGAAATCTTCAGAGGTGTCGATGTGAGAATCAGTGCTTCCCGCGCTACTACTGCTGAGGCCGACACTGTAAGCTCCGTACACATCGCACGAAAGCTCGTCGGTGGTGTCCACCTGCTGACCTGTAGAAAGCAGCTGGCGTATGCGCACGAGCTTTCTCCTCAATTTGCGATACTCCTGCTCTATTTTAGCGCGCGTACGCACCCAGTCGCACCCGTCGAAGAGCTGCAGCGAAACATCAGCACGGTGCAGCGTGACGTCAACCAACGACAGGCGCCTCTGCGTCTGTGCAGCATATTGATCCTCGGCGTATCTCTCCCGCAGCAGCTCTACGAAGCCCTCGCGCATCATTGCACCAGGCACTATCACCTCTGCTTTCTCTGCAGGCTGCGAGGCCGCGGGCATGACATAGTCGTCCAACTCGTCGTGCACCACGTCCGAAGACGAAGGCGAAAGCCCTTCACGGTACGCATCAAATTCTAACCCTCGCTCCATATAGTGCGATTGGTGCGCACCACTCTCGGCATACTCGAGGTTGGTGGGAATATCGTCGTCCAACATGTCCGCGCTCATGGTCGTGTATGTCTCCGGAAGCTGCGCAAAGGCCGTCTCGTCGAGCGAGGCGAGCAGGTTCGTGTATGCGTTCGTGTCCTCGGCTGGCGAGGAGTGCGAGTGTACAGTTCGGTCGCTCGTTGAAGATGGCGAAGTGGGTGACAGGTCGGACAGGAATTGCTTTATTGTACTCAGCGAATCGGCACATACCCCCACTCGACCATCTGCGTACATTATCTCAGCTATCACTTTGGCAGTGTCTGTTGACTTGAGATTAACTTTGAACTTGCTGGTCACTTTGACGAGCTCTGCAATCTGCACATATCCAGCGGACTGGTGGAGTAGATGGGTTAGTGTGGTGTTGTAATGCCTCTGTTTACTAACCTTCCAATGATCCCTTAAACTCCCTCTAAACACGTCGCGCTGCTCCATGTTCCCCTTACGTCTCTGCAGCGCCTCCGCCTCGTTGTCGACGAGGAAGAGCGATACATTACCAGCGACATTCTTCACATCTTTCACTTCACTCTCAGCTCGCAGTGTCAAATGTATGTAGGTATTGCCGAAATGGACGACGAGACGACGTTGCGAGGTGAGGGGACAAATGCGCGCCGATACATCTTTCAGGCGCACTCCCAGAGTCGTGATATCGGAGGGAACGGCGTTCTCGAAGACCTGCCGAGATGTGCGTTAGACGTAGCCACCACTAATATTAAAGCAACACACCCCTGGTGGTGGTTGGAGCAAGAAAGCAATATCACGCAAGAGATCTGTGTTGAGGTCACTGTTGAAGATCACCGAGTGGAGCACTATCTCTGCTGCTGACGTCTTCACACCTTTCCTAGACACAGAAGCATTGAAAAAGAGATAAATGGCTGGGTTCTCCATGTGGCGATGTGATTCTACCAGTGGGTCGTTGTCGCCCTCTCTCACTATGATCGATAGAAGTGTCACTTTGAAACTTGTCTTGCTATCCTGCAGCACGTCAGCCGTCGTCGACACACCAGTACTATTTTCAAACCTTCTTACTTTTGCTCGTTTTGCGTGCATCTTGTGGAAATCTTGCCGAAACGTCTATGTCGCGTACGTCGGCAACCACCAGCGAACACTCGCCCGTCTCCTTCCCCGTGCTCAAGTTGATAGTGGGGACATCTATCATGTATTTACCTGCATCTAAATGCACATCAAGATCAGCTTCAGTGTCACCATGATTTTCTTCTTTCTCAGCATTCTCAGCCTCGAAGAAGTCGTGCATAGATCCATCTTGAGTTTGAGTGTGAACATGGCTGCTACCACTCACATCCGCGGCCATCTCATCAACCACTAACCGACTCTTGACGAGCTCCACGACCGACTGCATCACATTAACATTCTCTCCAACCTTCCCTCTACTCGCCTTGATACGCTCGCTTAGCAAAGCCACGTCGTCGGCGAGATACTGCAGCCCGACCAGCTCACGCCTCCTAAATTCGAACTCTATGTATGGGATAGCCAGTGTGAGTTTAGGTGTTGAGTGAGCGTGTGTGCGCGTCTTGATTGCTAGCTTCGGTGCGTCCACTTTCGTAATACGCTTTGGTCCGCTACATACATGATGATGACGCGCATCAAGCCAGTATACATTTGAATACTCCATGCTAACGTCGGTTGTTCGAGTGTTTGAAAGTGGAGTGAGACTAAGCTGGCGCACATCTATCGTCAGAATTCCCGAACGCAATTGATGGTGTGGAGAGGGGGGTGGACAGCGCAAAGACACTCTGATAGCATCTAGCGTAAGCGTGAAAGGGATGGATTGGAGGGGTGATAGTATTTCGGAAGCAGATGCAGATGCAGGTGAAATGCTTTTATCTGCCTCTTGTAAAAGTGAGTTGACAATGCTGTCGTGAGTCGCAGCCACGTTCACATTCAATGCTTGGAAGAGATCGCTGCCGAAAAACCGCTCGACAACAGCCAAATCAGCGAATAGGTGAGTGGAGGAGATGCATACATCTCTCCCAGTCATTTTGATGATAGATTTGTTTTTTGGAGGCGTACTAGCTGCTCCATTTGCGTCTGTGCTGAGCAGCTTCCACGTCATGTTGTCGTAAATACGCTCATCTCCGCCCTCTTCTTCCTCTGACAGCCAGTCGGACATTGTGGGCGCTGCACTAGACACTGCGTTTGATACAGCGTCGTCGAAAATGAGCAGTGGGAATGTACGAACAGAGTCACTCGCCATTACGCTGGCGTCGCCCACCGTCATTGACCATTGAGGAGCTGTGATATCAATATCTGTGATGCTAGCCTCGACATAATAGCCTGGTATGTGGAAATTAGAGGTGGTGCCCTTCCACAGATCATCCTCGTTGATAATGTAGTCTAATTCGTCCAAGAGAATGAAGACGCGCAGATGGCGTAGGAGGATACCGAAGATGAAAGGAGCATCTGTCCGTGACTCTGTGTGTGCATTTGTCTTGGAAGCAACAGGGAACGACTGAATGAGATGGAGAAGGCAGGAAACGGTGGATGGGTAGAGAAGCAAAACTACACCACCAATATCCATATTTATCGTAGGTATTGAGTCATTTAAATCATTTTGGAGAGTGAGGGTGATTTTATTGGTCAAGTTTAGGATTCGATGTGTGGATGGAGTTTGGTGGAGACTCTCTTGTGCGCTCATGAACATCTGAGAGCTTTGTGGCTGCTGTGGCTGCTGTGTGGTGTGGGTAAACAGCTCAACACCATTTAAAGAGAAAGTTCGCTGATTTGCGCTTAAATCGACGTCACCGAACTCTAATGACGCCATTTTACATTGAATAGAGCTATCGCTATTTGATAGAGTGATTTGGGTGTTTGTGAGTGTAACATTGATTTTAGCTAAAATAGCATTTATAAGTGATTTAAGCAGAGATCTCTGTGAGGTAGCTGAGGTGGCCGAAGTGGCGGAGTGAGAGTGTACATCGAATGATCCAGGGATTGGATAATCATTGTTGTTGTCGAGATACTGTTGAGCGAGGGAGTCAACGTTTAGCTGTGGGTGTGGTTCTTCTTCTCTTGCTGTGCAAGGTGCCAAAAACACGTCCAAGCCATCCAAATCAATGGAAATTGATTGGCTGAGCGGGTTAGACCATGGAATGCGTATAGATAGCCTATTGAATTTAGCAGAAATGACGTCAATTGGTGAGCTTGACAGGTGTTGATTGATTGGCTGTGATTATGTAAGATGAGTGGGGGTGAGAAGAGAGCGTGACGAACTCGGGAATTTAGAGACTTGTTTTCGAGGACAATGGCGTCATCGATGTTGTCTGGAAATGTATCTACGTTTATGTACCTTCTCAGTATCCATCTAAGGAGATAGCTCAACACGGATTTTGAAATTTCAAACGGGAGAAGAGAGATGTTGGGTATCTGAGGTAATCTGAGCCATTCCCAGTTCACTGTGGTGTGAAATATCAGTAAATATCCAAGTTTTTCTAATTTTACGGCAACCGACTTGGACGTAAGTGATCAACCACCGCAACATCCATGGACTTTAGTAAATTGGGGAGTTTGACGAGATCTAACCAGATTGAGTTTAAGGAGGAGTCATTTCAAGAGGATTATTATCGTTATCTCTGTGGGATCGGGGATAAATCAGACAATCAATCAGATAACGTTGTACTTGGATTTAGAAAGCTCAGACAAGGATTGATAGCAGTAAATAGAATCGACGAATTTGCAGTAGGCGTGTACAAGTCATCACTCGACGCAGCGATAAGAGCCAGCAACCAAGACGAGATTAGAGTCGTTTTGAGCAGGTTAGCTGAAATAACTGGTGCAGAATTTTATAAGGAGCTTTATCAACTCCACTTGCTCTCTCAGGATTTAAAAATAACGAATCCATCGACAAATCTAGTCAGGCAGATTCAGCGGTGTTTGTTAGACTGCAACTATTTCAAATACTTTAAATTATTAGACCAGTCTATTGGTTATCAGCTTCTATTTTTACAGTCTCTTACTAGCAAATTTAGAATCCTTGGCTTCAGAATAATTTCTAAGGCTTATCTCAAGCTACCAATTACGAAATTGATTGAAATTCTGCGATTTGACTTTGAAAGCTGTAAATCCTTCTTACACGCCCACAAATATCAAGTCGCCAGCCTCTCTCCGTCTTGCACACTCAACTTTAAATCTCGATCGATATCATGAAGCAGTCAGTCAAGCCACTAAGGTTTCTGGGTTTGTTATCAGTTTCCTACTACTTTGTCCACAACTGCTACTCGCTGGTTTCAATCAAAGGTCGTTCAATGCAGCCCTCACTGAATCCTGATACAAATAAACTAAGCAGCGATATCTTAATTCTCAATAAATGGCTCCCTTTTTCTCATTTCAAGCACGGTGACATCATCGCTTTACGGTTTGTCCCTTTTCTTTGGTCTCTTACTCCCTCACTCTTCTCTCAGTCCTCCAGATAACCCAAACAAACTGGCTATCAAGCGTATCATTGGTCTTTATGGCGATACCATCAACGACTCTTACGTCGATCGCGGCCATTGCTATGTCCAAGGAGACGAGACTTTTCACTCAATTGATAGCAGACAGTATGGCCAGATCAGCCTCGGTACTATTATCGGTAAAGGCATTGCTATAGTATACCCCTTTGATAGATTACAATGGCTGCATTAGTAGTTTCACTATATATCGAGTTATTTCATTAGAATATCTCGTTGCAATCGACCCATGCTGTCTCCCCTGCCTTTCGCACTTTGATGAATGATCCTTCGGGTCCAAGATGTCCTCCATGAACCCAATTAAGCAGTTCTGTTTGTTTGAATGGCCCAAATACCTGTACCTCTACCGGTCGTTGAGCGGGCGGCAGCGTGGCTATATAATTAGGTGACTGTTTGTATTCCCATAGTGTTTCGTTTGTGTTATTGGTGCTATCATTGGTGCTATCGTCATCCACTGTCTCTGTCTTCTTCTGTTGATAGTGACTAGGCACCCAATTCTCGTTGACATAGCCTGACTTCCGAACTCCTCTCACAAATTGCTCGTGCTCCCAATCATACACCTCATTCACCCCAATTGACACCATTATGTTGACGAGTTCTGTGAACTTCTCCACTTGAGTACTCGCCTTCTTCAGCTCTTGAGCTCCGTTTTTCTTAGATTTTTCCCTATCCTTGCCTAGTCGTTGGAGTGCCTCGAGAACAGTCTCTCCACGCTGTGTGAACTCTGCCAGCGCCATCATCGTCTCCTCTTTCCTTCCTCCTTGTGCGTTCTGCGCCTCTACACGCTCATACTCCTCCCGCTCCTTTTTCAACCTCTCCTTATGTGCATCGCGCACTCTCTTACGTGCCTGCTTATCGGAATTATCAAGCCAGGCGTCATGCATGGCGTGTGGATCGCGCTGTTTCTCGACATACGTACCATCGTCGACAAAATCACCTTCCTGCATTTCAGACTTCATATTGAAAGCGCTGAGCTCGCCACCCATCTCATCCTCCTCGCCTTCTTGAGAGCTGTAACCGTCGCTATTCTCTGCCGTATTCTTATCACCGTACCCGCCAAATTCCTGACCCTCTATATCACCGAGCGAGAGTGGTTTAGCTTTCTCCGTTTCGCTGGGCTGTTGTGGCTTGTCCGCACCATCGCCAAACATATCATCGTCGTCGTTGTCAGCGGGTTTGTGACGCGACCGCACGACTGACTCGCCGCCCTCATTTGAGCTGTCTGAATCATAACCCTCTGTTTTGATAGCCCCGCGGCGCCCCTTCTTGTACTCCAGATCCTGCGTGGTGTCCAAATCTCTGTCTGGATTATTCTTCTCTGGCTTATCTTTCTCTGCAAATCTCGCCTTCTTCGGCTGTGCGTCTATTTCCTCGAGAGATCTCTTGCTCGTTGACATAATCAACGTTAGTGATCAACATCCATGTCCTCGCCCAGCAGAGATGAAATTAAGCAGGCAGCGGCGAGTAAACAGGGTGATATCAGGATAGAAAAGGACTCCACTGCTTACGCTGAATATCACCCAATTGAGCGTCCTGCTGGCGTTTCCAATACTGGATCAATGAAATACGCCCAGCTAGTCTCATTCTTTGACAACATCACAAACGAGAAAAATGTTTCAATGCGCTCTTTAAAGTTGGCGAAGCTGTTTGACGTATGTGGCCTTGTTACTCCTGCCTATCGTCATCATCCTTATCGGTCTTATCGCAGTATCACCGGGAGCATTACGGCAATGATTTCTACAATCTACTCCGCTTGATGATCCCAGAGCGAGAGAGAGAGCGCAGTATGTTCGGCATCAAAGAGACTGTCCTCGCAAAGATATACGTTGAGCTACTCGGTCTCTCCCCTAAGCACAATGATGGTCACCGTCTACTCTCCTGGAAAGCTCCCACCGCTGCACATACAGTCAGTGGTGACTTCCCCAGCGTGCTGGTAGACGTAATGAAAAACCGCGTCAGCTACGATTCAAAGTCATCGTTTACCATCGACGAGGTGAATCACAAGCTTGACCAGCTCTCGCGCGCCAAGTCTTTGTGAGTGTCGGTAGTTTTCCCACTACGATGTCATCATGCTCACACTTTTACACATTCACAGCCAGCGAAAGAAAGACATCATGAAAGAATTCGCAAAACGTTGCGATACAGAAGAGCAATTCTGGCTCGTGCGTATCTTACTAAAGAATCTTAAAATTAGCATCCGCGAGAGAAGCATCCTGTCTCAATTCCATCCAGATGCATACGCGCTGTTTGAAGTGACGACAGATTTGCGCACAGTTGCCTACAGGCTGTACGACCCGAGTATGCGGCTGCGCGATGCTGATAGCTCCGTTCACCTCTTCCAAGTATTCCAGCCGATGTTGTGCAAGCGCAATACCATCCCCGATGTCCACAAGAAGATGCCGCACGGCCGCTGGGTTGTCGAGGAGAAGATGGACGGCGAGCGCATACAGCTACATAGAAAGGGCGACAGGTATAAGTATTGGAGTAGGTGGGTTTGTGTTTTTTTTTTTGCTTTGTTTTGTTTTTCTCATTTGCCATGCTCTCCTCCTAGGAAAGCTAAGGATTATACCTATTTATATGGGAAATCCCCAACCGATGGCAGCCTTACACCGTTTATTCACACCACATTCGATTCTCGCGTCGATGAAGTCGTGCTTGATGGAGAAATGCTGGCGTATTCAGGCGCAATTGACGCCGTACTCCCTTTTGGCACTCTTAAAAAAGCCGCAAAAGGCGATATTGGTACACATCCGATATGTGGGTGCTTGCTCACATGCTCCATCTTCATTGCTCATGGTGCCCCCCTCAGTTAAGGTATTCGATGTGCTCTGGGTAAATGGGAAAGATATCTCTGCATATCCATTTAAAGAGCGCCAGAAAGTTCTCCGCTCCATATTCACAGAGCTACCTACACGCTTCGAGCATGTTTCACGCTGGACTGTGGGCGATGTGGTAGAGCTAAAGGGATCGCTTGAGCGTATTATCCTCCAAAAAGGCGAAGGGCTGGTGGTTAAGTCGCCCCTATCAACATACGAATATGGCGGTCGATCAGATCGGTGGATCAAGGTGTGTAGTTGCGGTGGAAGACTGAATCTGCATTTGCATTTGCATTTGCACCGAAGTAACAACCCACACAGCTGAAACCTGACTACTTTGATGAAATGTCAGAGACCGCCGATCTGCTAGTAATCGGAGGCAACTGGTCTAACAGTCGCAATGGAGTGATTTCCACCCTCTTCTGCGCACTAGTGGATGACAGGGAGGAGAACATAGCAGCGGATCCTCAGTGCGTAGCTCCGTTGGCTTGTTCACAGGCAAAGCAAGTTGCACGACGCCGCGCTAACTACATCACAGATACATACTCTTCGCGCGTGCTGGAACAGGCTACTCGGCGCAGGATCTCGTCATTATTAATGAGCTATTCGCTAAAGCAGACACGCGCAAGTACACTCCTGCATCTGTATACCCTGGTGTCAAAATAGGCAACGAGACACCGGATGTAGTCATCAACCCTCAGCAGTGAGTGAGGTGGGAGTCGAGTGAGATAGTGCTGTTGACGTGTGCGCAGATCTTTCGTAGTCGAGATCAAGGCAAGCGATATCAATCCATCGAGTGCGTGGTAGTAATAGTGCTGCGTAACGTATCTGATCATTCTATCTCAGCGCAATATCCCACCGGGTGCACCTACCGCTTTCCCCGCTTCAAGCGCCTCAGATTGGACAAGGGCAGCGGGGATAAGAGCCCCTTCGATCCAGACAGTCTGTTCAAGTGGACGGGTGGGTTGAGCTTTGTGTGTTTAGGTGGTATGCATGCTGACGCAATGCAGAGATGGACAGCATGATCAAAGGTATAAAGGCTTCGCGCTCTCATCAAGCTGAAGCTAAAGTTAAAGAAAAGCAAGCCAAGCCGACGAGGGCGAGTGTGAGAATGAGAGTTTGAGTTATCAAACACCCATAACTTACAACACATCGCCGCAGAAAAAACAGGTTATCAGCTCGCGTGCTGTGGCCAGCGTGAGAGCTGATACACGCAACTATCGCAACACGCTCTTCGAAGGCTGTGCATTCCGTTAGTAACACCTTCACGCTCCAGACAGCGTTGACGACACTCAGGAATACTGAACGGGACGAACGAGCTCGAAGTGAAAGACCTTGCGGTGCTCATCGCCGAAAGAAAGGGGATGGCACTGTCGCACATACCCAGAGACGAAGACTGCCCTGAACCGCTGCTCGTCATTGCAGGTAAAGCTACAGGTGAGTAGAGGTGCAATTGAACAGCTATTTACTCACTGCTCGCTTTTTACTCAATACAGCTGTGCAGGTCTCCCAGCTCGTCAAGTTGCAAAGAAGATCTATCCTGAGTGCACAGTGGCTGCTCGAGTGCGTTCAATATAACTGTATCGTGCCACTAGAGGGCGCTGGGAGTGGTGCGTATTGGGTCTATCAGTGTGACGTCGATAGTCAACTTATTTTGGATACCCTCCGTCCTTTCTTCATCACCCCAGATCATATTCCACACGAACAAGCAGAACGTCTTGCCCACGGTCAGCTCGATTTAGAGGCCGTCGGTGAAATTAATGAACTGAGATTCACACAAGAGCCAGCGTTGCAGGTAGAGGAGAAGGTGGCCACGATTGTGCCTGAGGAGGAAGATAGTGAGACAGAGAAAGAAAGTCTGGGAGAGAGTGGCGACGATGGCGATGAGACTATACAAGAAGGCGCTTTTACAGCCCAGAAATCACCTTCACCACGGTTAGGACCATCTCAACTGACTTATACACAGACATCCTCAACTCGCACAGTGACCAGACAAAAAGGTAGCACGTCTAATAATTTCGATGATAGCTCTGATGAGGGTGATGATAGTGTGAAGATCAAGAAAGAAGCGACTCAGCTTTTCTCACCGACGACGAATCCACAGTCGCCTCATCAGGAAAATCGGGAGGATGTGCAGAAGGAGCAGCCGTCGATTATACGAGACGATGCAGATCCCGATAGGACCTTGGAAGAAGACGCCGTTGCGACGCTCGAGGAAGAAGAGAATGTCAAGACATCAGGTACCACAGGAACACTAGTACTCAATCAGCAGGAGATGCATGATAAGGTTGATAAGGGCAGAAGACGTAGTAGAGTGGTTGCGTTTGACAGTGATTATAAAACTAATAGCGAGATTGATGTGGAGGATGCATCCGCCAAGAAGAGCAAGAAAATAAAGCAGGAAGGTGATAGCGAGGAGATGCACGAGCATGAACTTGGTGAGACATCAAAAGCATCTAAACAGCATGAATCACTTAATGCTGCCGATGTTGATTTGTCAGCTGATCATCCACGTGAGCCAGAAGTAGTTGAAGAAGCAGTAGTGATTACCAGTGATGATCTAGATAAACCGCTGTTGAATGTGTGAGTGGGTGAATGATTACAATAAAGAGAACTAAGAAAACGCAGCGCTGTGTATGTTGACGATTATGAGAACGCAATCACGAACGACCTGTTCCCGCGTCCATCAATAATGAGCAAGACAGAGTGGGTGATTAGGGTAAACAAGCCTACCTACTTACACGGCTATAGTTGGACCGGTATCCGAGACAAGATAACAAGGCTTGGCGGAATGGTAGCGGAGGTGGACGACAGCAGGCTAACGCATATAGTAATTGATGAGAACGACAAGAGAAGAGTGGAGGAGCTGTTTGAGCGGACAAAGCGGTGAGTGAGGCGTTGCGGGAGTGAGTGTGCTGATTACGCGGCTAGGCCCAAATACCGGAAGCTTGTGGGTATTGAGTGGGTGGAAAAGTGCTATAAGGAAAGAAGCTACGTCGATGAAACATTGTACAAAATAAAGCTGTGAAAATATTATAATTTTGGACCGGCCGGCTTCCCCACAAAGACCGGATAACTTAAACGTTGAATAAGCGCATTCAAGAAAGAAATAGGAAATGACACTGGCAACATCATATCCGCTGTGAGTGCCGCAGAGGATTTTGATTTGCTTTGCTGAGCGTGTATTACAGCAGAGTAGACGTCAATCACCAAGCAACGGTAAGCGCTGCGTCGTGAGAAAAACCACAGGGCTCATACATCCTAGCCTACGCCTGGTTCAGCTACAGCAAATTCTACAGCAATCTACAAAGACGGTGAGCGTCGCCGATCCAGCAATTCACACAGCTAATCAACCGCCACCAGCGATCTGGGGAGAGAAACCACGCCCAGAATTTGGTGTTGAGACTATCTACGATCTATTCCAGCACTCAGCTGCACACGCTGGCGATAAGAATTTCTTAGGTCATCGACCATACAATCCTAATAAGCAACGCTTTGAACGCTACTACGAGTACCAATCATACAATGAAATAGCCCAGCGCCGCACAAATCTCGGCTCTGGCATCTCACAGCTCGTTAAGCAGGGCGATTTGGGTGACTCTTGCTTCTCTGGCTGGACGGCTGGCACGTGGTCCAAAAATTGTCCAGAATGGCAAATCGCTGATCTCAGCTTACACGCTTTTTCGCGCATTTCTGTTCCTCTCTACGATACCCTCGGCAATGACAGCGTTGAATATGTCATCAACCACAGCGAAAATAGGCTCATTTTCACTTCATCTTCCCATCTTCCTCAGCTTTACAAGATTCTCCACAACTGCCCGTCTGTCGAAGCCGTCATCGTCCTCGATGGTCTCGACGAACCGGGTGCTCCCCAGGATGGCGCACGCGTACCAGGCCAGCTCAGCCGCGCTGACGTGCTCAAACTCTGGGCGAAGAATTTGAATGTCAGACTTTATAGCCTGGCCCAAGGTGTGTGCTAATGCGAACAAGCATAGCTCATCTTACACACGATCCAGTTGAAGAGCTTGGAGCTATCCACCAACACCCTCACATTCCTCCAAAACCTACCGATGTTTTAACAATCTCGTATACTTCGTGAGTGACCCCGCTAGTGTTGTGTATCATTCTGACACATTTGAAGTGGAACAACGGGTTGTGCGTTTTGGTTGGATGCTCTAATACCACAGCTAACACCTTACAGGGCCAAAAGGCGCAGTTCATACACATAGCAGCATGTGCAACAATATCCTTTCTTTGACTACAGGCATGGATGAATATGTTGGTCATCTGCTCGCAAGCTACATGCCACTCGCACATGTTCTGCAAAGAGCACTCGAGTTCATAGCCATGGTGTTGTTGGCGCCCATCGCTTACACTACCGGCGACATACTCCGCTTGATGGAAGATTTGCAGATTATGCAGCCTGAACTTATGGTCACCGTACCAAGAGTTCTGAATAGGTGAGCATTGTTTCTACCAACCACTTTCATGATCATCTAATATCCAAATGCAGAATCTACGCCGGCATCAAGCACCAAATGGACACTCCAGGTGTAAAAGGGTCTCTTCTCACCCGCGCCGTCGCTGCCAAGATCGACAAGATGCACAAAACATCCGACACTACCCATCTACTCTGGGACAAACTCATATTTAACAAGGTGGGTGATAATTGTCCATTGTGCTTAACTCTAACCCGTACTAAAGATTCGACAAGTTTTGGGTGGCAAGATTAGGTTGATAATTACAGGTTCGGCACCAATCAGTCCTCGAGTGCTCGACGTGCTTAAAGTCAGCCTGTGCATCCCGATTATTGAAGGCTACGGTCTCACTGAAACGTGTATCTGCACGAGAACGATTCCTAGTGATCCTCTGTCGTCTGGATATGTTGGAAATATGAACCCAGGCTTCGAGATCAAGCTGGTAGATGTTCCCGAAATGAATTACTTCTCAACTGATAGGCCATATCCACGCGGGGAAATTTGCATCAGATCTAAGAGCTCGATGAGAGAGTATTACAAGGATTCTGACAAGACAAAAGAATCATTCACCGACGATGGCTTCTTCATCAGTGGTGACATTGGCCAAATCGACAACCACGGCCGTCTCAAGCTTATTGACAGAAAAAAGAACATATTTAAGCTGGCGCAGGGCGAATATATTGCCATTGAGAAGCTGGAGGGTGTTTTTGCGTTGTGTCCGACTGTCATGCAGCTTTAGTGGGTAGATTGTGTTTGATTATGAAATTTGCTAACGCGTCACAGCATCCACGCAGATAGCCTCAGATCTTATCTCGTCGCCGTGGTCGTCCCAGATCCTCTCGAACTTGGTTCTGTGGTAGGCTGTGACGCTAACGATCGCCAAGCTCTTGACACAGCAATTGCAAGCGAGAAAGTGCGTGGTATGATTATGGCGGAGATCGACAAAGCATCTAACCATGCTGGGCTGAAAGGGTGAGTGAAGGTGTTGTATGCTGACCTAACTAACCTCCTCCAGCTTCGAACGTATCAAGGCTGTTCACATAACTAATGACCAGTTTACCATCGATAACGGCTTGCTCACACCTACTCTTAAAGTCAAGCGCAATGAAGTGGCTAGCAAGTACAAAACCACAATTGATGCTCTATATGACGCGAACGACAAGTCTGCCAAGCTTTGAAATAGCTTACTGAAATTTTTTTTTGTATTTCACAGCTTTATGAATCAAATAATTAAATCAACCGTGCTCAAATCACTATGCAAATTACCACGTAAGGGAGAAGACTAACGCAGAGATATCATTCACTGACAAGTTGAACATTTAGCAACACCATCTTTTCATAGCATCTTCAGGACTTTAAATGCATCCCCACCTCATCCACTCGCTTAATATCCACCGAGTTACATTTCTCGGCCACCACGTATCTCATCTTTGATGGCTAATTTACGAGTTTTGATAATCTCTAAATAGAATAGCTTCATAAATAGTCCAGAAGGAGCTCTACGATATCTCACCAGCATTATATCCCTGAGAATCATATTGCGCCCTGTAGGCTGTTCGGAGGTTGCAATCCTACTTTGCTTTCTAGCACGCTATAGGATAAATATTGGAGAATTATACGGGCTTTATCGACACATATATAGACATAAGCAGCTGTTGGAGGCCAGAAGCACCTAAGTTGTCAATTAGTCGGCTCTATAATCGCGATTTATATTTTCCAACACCAAGTTTCCGCAGGACTCAAGGCTTGCACCAGGAAAAAAGTATTGACATTACAAATAGTTGCAAGCCTAATGAATACAACTCATTTAAAGAAAAAAAGGGGTCAGCTCAACTCTGAAAACGGGGGTTTTGACTCAATCAGGTGCATTTCGAGATCTCGAAAAGAGGATGTGAAAGTGGTTAGGGTTGCGTTGAAATCGTAGAAGGCATTACAATTGGAATTTTTTTTATAAAAAATACCAATTCTCTTTGAAACATTTTACATCTATCTGCAAAAGTACATAGCACATCACTGCGTTATTCACGATAAAGATGATTGCATCCTTCTCACATAACTAACAGCTACAAAACGATGCAATATGTCTCTGCTTCAAGGTTGTTGCGGGGTATGCCGCACTTGTCTTTACCACTCACTCAACATGCAGTCTAGACGGACAACGGAACGCGTACATTGCAAACCAGATCTGCTTAGGTCTTCAGATAATCTTAATCGAGCGTTTAATAGTATTTTGAAGACATGGATTAATTTTGAATATTATCATGCATGTTATTCTAATAATTTTCAGCTGTTGATCGTTCTAGTGTGGAATGCACATTGAATAACTGCTAACTACAAGAGTGTTAGATCTATTTATGAAATACAAGAGCAATGCAAGACGAATAAATAATTGTGACGCTGACGCGGAGGCTATACAAGTCTACCTTTTTGTCTGGGTGTCTTGCCGAAACCGCGCCTACTACTTGAACCAGGGGTAGCGATGGAGGATCTAGGGGTAGCCGCAACAGTTCTCTTTTCAGTCTTCGCCTTTTCGCTTCTAGATCTATCGACGGACATCTGCAGCTCAAGTTCAGCCTTGCGGGAGAACTCTCTATTGGTGACTCTCTTATCGTCACCCATAGTCCCACTCGAACTACCACCTGCCGCGTCTTTCTCCTTGACGCTATAGAAAACACCACCGAGTTCAGCGAGCCAGTAAGGGTCGACAGCGGAAACGCACTGCATGTAACTCTTGCTAGTCTGTACTAGTTCATGGTAGATGCAGTAGTCGGGAGTATAACCGAGACCGTATAGCGCACTGGTGGGATGGAGGTGACACGGCATAGCTGAGCGAATATTCTGATATTCACCTATGCCTTTAACCCGAACGGCCTGATGGAAGTAGCCAGCGGTGATGCACTTGCGTATCACATCCCAGTCTACCCCGCACGACACAATGGGTAAACGCTGCGTCTTCATGATGTCCTCTAACTGCGCACGCACTTCCTGTGCTTTCTTGAGTATGCGCCCGTGTAGCCAGTGACGCGTACTCCACGCATCGCTGTGTCCGTTAGCTACCCATTGCGCATACACGTGTAGGAGTGTGAGATGGTCAGATTCGGGAACGAAAAACTTCTCGCGCGCTCCGTCACTCTCTTCCGCACGCTCCTTTGGGCGGTAGAAAACACTAGGGACGGACAACATTGACACTATCGTAAGCACCTCTTGTGAACACCCATACTCGACGCTAATCACTAGTATCTTGGCGAGCGATGGCGACATTGGGAAGTCGGATAGCTTACGTCCGAGTGGAGTGAGCTGTCCAGTGTTGTCCAGTGCGCTGAGCGTCCACAATTCATACTGACCTGTATTTCAATTCTAGTTAGATTTGCATAGTGTACTACTAACAACTTCACCCACTCTGTATCAAGTTCTCCTGAGGTGGCGGATCCATGAAATCGAAGTCAAGCAGACTGGCGACGCCAAGCGACTTAAGAAGAAGAACGGTGTTGCTAAGGTTAGTGCGCTGAATCTCGGGTATAGCGCTATCGAACATCTCGTTGCGGAAGGCTGACTCGGTATACAGTCTGTAGCAGTACCCAGACCCTGTGCGACCAGCTCTCCCCATGCGCTGATTTGCATTGGCTTGCGAAACGGGCGTTATCTGCAACGCATCCATACCTACGCGCGGATTATAAACTTTCAACTTGGAGTATCCGCTGTCAACGACATACATGATCCCATCGACGGTGAGAGAGGTCTCGGCAATGTTGGTAGCGACAATGCACTTACGTTCATTCGCCCGCTCGAATATCTTTGACTGTAGGTCTGCTGGCATCTGCGAATATATTGGCAACACTAGCAGTGGATCGGGGTTGTCTAGCTGGGCGAGACGCTCAGTAATCACCGCGCACGTCGTCTCGATATCCTCCTGACCCGTCATGAAAATTAGTATGTCACCGGGTGGGAGAGTCAGATGGATCTGCAGCGCTTGCTTGACGGCGCCATCGACGTAATCATCTATAGGCGTCTTGGAAAAAAAGGTCTCGACGGGGAAAGTACGTCCCGGAATGGTATAGCATGGAGCGTCGCCGTAAAAGGAAGAAAATTTAATTGCGTTCATGGTGGCGGAGGTGACTATGAGCTTGAGATCCCTCCTTCTGGTGACAATCTTGCGAAGTAAACCCATCAATATGTCAGTGGACAAACTACGCTCGTGAGCCTCATCCAAAATAATTACGCTATATTTGTCTAAATCACCCTCATTCAAACTCTCCCTGAGGAGAACACCGTCTGTCATGTACTTGATCTGTGTACCAGGAGAAGTGCAATCTTCAAAACGAATAGCATATCCGACCTTATCACCCAGCTCACAGCCGACTTCCTCACTAACTCTCTTGGCGACACTCATCGCGGCTACACGACGTGGCTGGGTACAACCAATCAAACCATCACCACCGTAGCCATCTTCCATTAGAAATTGCGTCAGCTGGGTAGTCTTACCACTACCAGTTTCACCAATGACGATAGTGATCTGATTTTCGCGGATAGTGTTCATAAGTTCCTCTCTGCAAGCAAAAGAAGGGAGATATTGGCGTTGTTGGGAGATAGATTTACTGCCGCTGAAGGAGGATTGAGATTTGATGTGATCGGCAAACTGCGAGGTGTTTTTATCTTTACTATCGTCATTTGCTTTCTCTTCTTGTTCTTTTTCAGAGTCAGACTTGACACCGATGATGTTACCGAGTTGAGTGCCGCCGACTTGAGCAACTTCAGCAGCAGCCTGGTTGGGAGTTAGGAGGAATTATGAATTGAATTAGAAAACTCACACGCTGTCTTTCAGCTTGAGCGCGTTTCTGGCGTACGAGAGAACTACCTTTGCGTGCAAAGACTGCTAAATCGGAGGATGGATCTTTGAGAGGGTTTATAGGGTCTAACTGTTTAGTAAACACCATTCTACCGTCTAAGAAGGGAGGTTTGAGGTCGTGTACGAGGACGTGTACTTTTGATTGATTTTCATCATCAAAGTCGAAATCGAGGTCAGGACGAGATTGTAAGCCAGACTGAACCAATCTGTTAGTCTCCCAAGCGTCGTTGTCTTTGTTGAATTGGTGCTGTTTAGCGGATAAACGTTGTTTGCGGGTAGTTTGAGTGGAGGTGTCTAGATCGTCGTATTGAGAGAAGGGATTGTGTTCAGAGTCGCCAGTGACGCCACCTTCTTCACCCAAATGAGAATACCAATCTCTATCCAATCTCAGTTGCTCTTCTTGATATTCTTTTGAGTGAGCGAAGTGGCTAGGTGTTGAATCCCAAGAGTAAGAAGGGAGTGGTGTACGACTGGGTGTATAAGATGGCTTTGAATATTTCCTAGAATAATTATCGTTATCATCTCTATTAGCGCGTTTCTTGAATTCGTTGAATGAGTTTGAAGTGGATGCCGTTGGTTGTTGTTGGTGGTGTAAGCCACCTTGTCTCTTCCTCCTATAATCAGCTAACCTATTGGTCGCAGTGGAAGATAGAGGAGTATCAGGTACTTTGAATTTAGACATTAGATGATGGTCGTAAAGGGATAAGGGGTATGTTACTGTTAAATACAAAATGCTCAGGATAAACCAAGTCCTAATAGGTCTCTCAACAATTTATTCTCATTCTCTAATTGAATAATCTGAACATCTTTATCAGACAATTCAACATCATCAAGTGATCTAATTGAGTTAATTAGTAAATTACTGAGTTTATTGAATAGATTATTATAGTCAATCTCCTTGTTAATCTCATTTTTACTAAAATTGTCAAAATTTTCACCTATAATGGTTTCGAAGTGTTTAATCAAGTTAAGTTCATGTACTTGAGTTGAATAGGATTCTTGTCTAAATTTATCCATAATGATATGAATAACTTGTTCAAATTCCTTGACAAGGCTTGTTAATTGCTTGTTATCCAGTTGTAATAATTGGTTCTCCTTAATCAATTCAGCGTTAAACTTTTCACACTCGAACTCGAATTGTTCAGTTGAAATATCTGTGTTATATCTTCTAAGGGTGAATCCACTAACTGTGTGTACAACTTGGTCTTTCAATTGATCAACTTGGGATTCCAATGATTTAGATAATTGCCTATTATTACTTAGTTCCACTGATAACCTCCCAATCAATTCCACTAATTCCTTTACTTGATTTGTATTTATATCTGAATTATTTATCATTCCCCTTATAATCCTCACCGTCAACACTCAACAATAAATGCCAAATAATTTAATCAATTTTCACTCTCACATACACTTAAGGCAGCGTCTAATAATCTCTACACTCCTTTCTAAACCAATTAGAATTGATTCCATTCGTAGCAACCACTCTAATCCAGGTATCACTGACTACGAAGCTGGTTTCTTAAGACTCCTTGAAAAACTAACAAATGGTTCAAAAGTTGAAATATCCTACACAGGCACTTCAATCCTCTATCAACCTGGTTCTCTCACCGGTGGTAACATATCCCACTCCTGCTCTTCAAAGTCTGTTGGCTGGTTCTTAGAATTTATCCTCGTTTTAGCTCCTTTTCTTAAACACCCTTTAAATCTCACTTTACACGGTATAACCTCTGATCCCAACGACATCTCCGTTGACTCTCTCCGCACTGTCTCCCTCCCGCATCTCTCCCTATTCGGCATCTCTGATGGCCTTGAACTTAACATTAAAAAGCGCGGTTCTCCTCCTCTAGGTGGTGGTACTGTCATCTTTAAATGTCCCACTCTCCGTCAAATTAAATCCCTCAATTTCCTCGATCCAGGTAAAATTAAACGTATACGCGGTATTGCTCACTCTGTTAGAGTCTCTCCTCAGCTCGCCAATAGAATGGTTGACGCTAGTAGAGGTTTACTCAATAGATACATCCCCGATATCTACCTCTACACTGACATTTATAGAGGCGATGAAGCTGGTAAATCTCCTGGTTACGCTCTGACCCTTGTAGCTGAATCTACAACTGGTGCTTTACACTCCGCTGAAGCCGTCTCCCTACCTGGTACCACCCCTGAAGATGTCGCTACACGTGCTTCTTCTGCTCTCTTGGAAGAAATCGCCAACAAAGGCGCTATTGACTCATCTCATCAGTGGTTGGTTCTCCTTTTAATGTCCTTAGGTAGTGAGGACGTTGGTAGATGTAGAATGGGATCTCTCACTCCACATTCCATCCAATTCTTACGCGATTTACATCAATCCATGGGCGTAGCTTTCAAAATTAAACAGCTAGAACAATCAAATGAGGTTATCGCTAGCTGCGTTGGTATCGGTTATACTGGTCAACGTAAAGTTGCTTAGTTAGCTTCTTCTTTATCTTATCAACATAGACATGTACTAATTTATTATCCTTAACAAAATTCCTCTGCGCATAAACCTAGGCCTAAACCTAGGCCTTCAATAGTGAATCTACTATATGCTGCACTCGTAATTGTCTTAGATCCGTATATGTCTTTTATATGTGGTGTTAGTTGGCGTCTTTTTAATACACTTCACCCACTTGTCCACATCCCACAAATAGTATCGGTTGGCCTGTTATATATGTCATACTCAAAGCCGCGCCAACTTTATCATCGATCGTGTCAAACTTGGTGAGTAACATCCCATCAATTCCCCTGCCACTACCACCACTACCACCACCGCTAGAGAGATCTTTAAGAGCACGATCAAATTTAACAAGCTGATCCGTCGCCTCATTCCCGACCAACGCCTCACCTACAAAAATTATCTTGTCAGGCTCGTTAACGGTGGTGAGTTTAGCCAGTGCGCGCATAAGTGGTTCATTATCTTGCATTCTTCCCGCAGTATCTATCAATACCACATCGAATCCATTTTGCGCACCATATCCCAAAGCATCACGTGCAATTCCACTCGCATCTTTTCCATAGCCACGCTCATAAAGCTCTACTTGAGCAGTTACCCCACTACCCAGTTTCAGCTTGTTAAGATTAGACACGTGCGTACGTAGTTGCTCAACTGCCCCGCTACGGAATGTATCACATGCCGCTATCAACACCTTGTACCTGTTTTCTAATAACCAATACGTAACTTTGGAGAGATTTGTTGACTTCCCAACTCCATTCACACCACAAAATACTACACTGTAAGGTGTCGTTTTCCCATTTGAAGTCGTCGTCTTCTTCTTTTGTGATATTTCGTAGAGTATATCGGTGGATGTCTTGGGTGTGAGTACGCGTGTAATTGATGTAGTCAGCGCTGACTTTACTGCCCCTTTTATACTACTGAATGATGATATTGTGCGTCCGACCAACTGTTGCTCGACTGAATCGCATATCTGTTCAGAAACGCTTGATGCTACATTTTTCTTCATCAGTAAGCTCGACATGGAGCTGAGTACTGGCTGTAGTGTATTTTTGTCGAGTTTCTTCCCTTTTAACACATTGAGAGAGGGGAGTGATGAGAATATTCCCCAAGATGTACCTTTCTGTGGTGTGTCTGAGAGTGCTGGTATTTCAATATCTAACAAATCGTCATCTTCATCACTGCCTTTCTCATTTGCATATTCTGCCAACGTGTACACCTCACCATCATGGCTACCCTTGGAGGAATCTGAGACGAGTGTTTGGACATGTTTATCGTCCAGCCCGTCATCCGCACCACCACTACTATAATCTAATTCTGACATCTGTTTTGAAGATATTTTATCGCCCCATGAACGCATTTCTTTTTTACCCTTCTTTGTATCGACTGGTGTATCATTGATTGTCTCACCTTTCACCACCTTCTTTCCACCACGCGCCTTCTTAGACTTGATTCTGTTTTTCATTGCTTCGACATTTTTGGAAATCTCCTCTGCATCAATGGCCTTAGGCTCGTCACGCGTGGGTGCTTGGTTGTGTGAGTGAAGAGTTGGGCTGTGATGGTAGAATATGCATACCTGATTTGTTCTGATTTGAAGTTGCGTTTCTTGTAGCCGCACCAGCGTTGCTAGACTTTCCTCGAATATTCTTCTTTTTCTGGTGAGAGCAGTTGTGAGAGGGTGTAAGTACAGCCAACGAAGAACAACGCACATCGATATCATTTACCAGCTGATCGAATACCTCATCCCAGCCTTTGAACATGGCGGGTAAGTCGAGATTAACAGCGTCATCGGGAGTAGCACCGCTTAGAGCAGCAATGATATGCTCAATCACGGGTTTGAATAGACTGACGAATAGAGCTTTGGCTGTCTCGAGTAGCTCATCCACCCATCCCAGTTGAATAATCTTCGAGTATGCAATCACAAAGATAAGATCGGTCTTGTTCTCCAATCCCCAGTGTACTCTGTATTGGTTTATGTCGTGCGGTGAGCTGGTTAAACGTCCTTCAATAACTCCCTCTTTGATGAGCGTGTTTGTCGGTGAGTGCGCGCTTTCTGCGTCGTGTGCAGCTTCTGGAGTGTAAGTGCGTGACCAGAGCACAGTACCACCTGTAAAATTGGGTAGTGATAAGCATTGTAATATCTTAATATCATTCACCCACCCTTATGAACTATTTCACAGATATCAAGCATGATGATGGTATGGGATAGAGGAATAATACATGTATTTTACAACATAAGCTCTGTTTCTGCTTGAACAACCCGCATTTCATCTATAGGGATATTCTGTGTGCTGCTATCGACCTGTGTAGCGTGTGTTAGACTTGTAGCACGCACGAAACCACGCACTCACCACACCCAACAACCTTTCCAGCTCTCTCTTCTCACTCTCACCTGCTTCCTCCTCTGCTTCCATTTCCTTGATGTTCCCCACCAGTTGATCCATCTCTCTACGCGCATCCTCGACGCGCTCATCCATTTCTCTATGTTCCTGCATCAGTACAGCTTTCCTCCTCACTCTGTAAGCGAGGAAAGGGTCATTGGCGAGCATTTCCCCTTTCTTTTTGAAGTTGGTCCCTTTGCTCCGTTTAGCACGCTGTATCTCCTCGAGCATATCGTCAAGACTGTTAAGCGATTCGACGACGCGTCGGCGCTCGTGTAATGCAGCTATAGAGCTTGTCACACTCGCTTCGAAATGGTCTTTGGTCTGCTCGCGCATACTGCTCAGCGACTCCGGTGCATCTTTTGCAATAGCGGGGAACGACTCGGCGAAATTGTCATATGACCATCCTTCTACTATGTGATTGAGGGCCATTTGGACTAGTTGACGCGTCTGTTTCGCTCGTTTGCCTAGTTTTTGTGGTTGTGGTTGTGGTTGTGGTTGTGGTGTGTTTTCTGATGGATTTGCGATTGCGCTTGTACTGGCTTCTACTCCTGCATTTGCAACATTTGCACCATTTGCTCCGTTCGTGTCGCGTACGCCCTCAGCTTCATCTCGCTCAGCTTCACTTCCCGCGGGTTCTGGGTCTTTGATTTTGTTTTGACCTTTATCCCCGTCATTTCCGCCCTCCTCGCCATCCACTATACGCTCAACTTCCATATCTGTGTCGTCGCTCATCGCCGTTGTTGGTGAAGAAGATAAGGCGCGTATAATTACCGGAAATATCGATTGCAGCGACTAGGCTGGCTTATAAGACTGTTTCTGATTGCTATCTCTCTCCTCTACACCGCCCCACCCTTCATCTCGCCGTCTGTATCGTCGACATCTCCCACCCTCCTTCGTTTCGAACGACCAACATCCTTATCTCAGATGGTTCGCGTACGCCAGTCGCCGCGCCGTGAATCGAGAGGCGATCCTGACAGCTCCAGAGATTTGGATACTAATGCGCGAGAGAACACCCAGATTGATAACACAGAGGGGCAAGATACCAGACAGCATCCAGAGCAGCCAGAAAACACCGAACAGCCAAATGAAAATGTAGAAGCCAACAAACAAATCTACCATCTTCCCCCTGATGGAGAAGTAGCCGACAGTCTCTATCCTCTGCTATCGATTCTGAAGAAAAGTGGGTAATTCTCATCAACCACGATGCACCGACTCCTGACACCCACAAGGCAACACATACCCGCTTTCTAAAGAAAAACGTGAAATCACTGGGCGCACTTTCGCAGCGATAAACGCGCGCGTCATGAAAGCTGGCTGTAGCCCAGAAGAGATAGCGGAGGCAGTGGAAGTTGCTCTAAGTGGTGACATGAGTGAGTTAATGCACACCTACAGCCTCAACACCTCACACACACCTCCAGACAAACAGTGCAGCAACAAGCTATTCACCTTCTTGCACCCAATCACCACCGTCAATGAAAACACCATTATCTCCATTCTTGGTTCTCTCGGCGCTAGCAGACACAAGCTCGCTGATACCACCACTCAAGCTGCCGGTCTTAAATGGCTAGTGGCTGTTTTGGAGTGGATTGATAGTACTGCGCGACGCACGCTCGGTAATATGTATGCCGTTTTGTGGAATCATCTTGGTATAGAGACTTTAAGGTACGCCGTCAGCTGTCGTTATGTTGTACCTGCATACTCACTTACCTCTCTTAGACCACACCTGCCTTATTTGCTAGCATTATTGACTAGACGCGAGCACGTCATACCGTTTAGAGTTTCGTTCATGTGCGTTTTTTTTTTTAGTTCTCACTGTTCGCTACTAAAATTCTCGCTCCCAAACAGACTCACTCTACAGGCACGCTTTCCACTAGACCCTTCTCTCCCCGCTCTCATAAACGTTTTCCGCTCATACCACCCTACACGAATTCCTCCAGGTATCGGTCGCGCAGCTGGCAAACGGCCCTACAGAGTGAGCAAGGAGCTATGGACTGAGACACACCTAACATAAAAAACCAGGTCAACGCAAACTGGAAGCAGAAGTCACGCGCAATCAGAGAAGGCACAGTGGAAGAATATGAAGAGCAGCTAATCCAGAAACGTCAAGAAAGGGCCGAGAGAAATGCAAAGCAAACAACTTCGGAGATTTTGCAACAAAGCTTAGTACCACAAAAGAGACAAAGGATAGAGTATGCAGCGCCACCATTGTCAGTCATGCAATCAAGGGGCAGCATCATCACCATTCAAGACTGTCCCACTTTGCGCACTCTCGGTAAATACTTTGATCGTCTCACTATGCCGTCTCAGGTGGCTGCTCTTTTGCAGAATAATTTCGCAACGTGGGCCTATTTGGCTCATCCGACAGGTTGGTTGAGGTGTTAATTGTCTAAGATATACTCACCAATACTGCCCATTAGACAAAAACACTAGGCAGCTGAGTGCATGGCTATCGCATGCCCTAAAAGACGCGATCGTGAGCTCTCCACTTACGCAAGACAATTACGAAGCTTCTGAGGAGTTCTTACGCCTTGTTGTCGCTCATTGCAGATACACTAAGGTATTTGGTGGATTTTTGATTAACTGAACAACTCAAACTGATCAAACCTACCAGCAACTATCACCATTAATCGAGGCGTTTGTTGTCGACTTTCTCGAGACATGGGATGGCGCTATCTTCCAAACTGAGATATTTGAACTTATTTCTTACTACCCTCCCCGACCTTTTCAAGGTAGATTAAGTGCTACGGGGTTTAAGTCTTACTAATATCCTCATTAGTGATCCACGAGCTGGTTCTTCAGCCTCTCGCGCGTCTCTCTGCATATTCTGGCTTGGAATTTCGCATAAGAGTTGTGAAATGCTACAACGCACTACTGAGGCAATGGTCTTGCTATAATTGGAGTCGGATGCGCCAAACTTACATTACATTGGCGGACGACGATGCGAGGATTAATTGGCAATATGTAAACACGCTGATGGTCGAGCATGTCGAGATGCTAGGGGAGTTGATATACAAGGTAAGTTTCTTTTTTTGTGATGGTTAATTGCATCTTATGCAGTTGGCACTCAGGATCATCCCAATAACGCGGCAGTGCACCACGTCATATTGGACACGATCGAAGCTACCACACCATTAATGACAAGCATTCAAGATTGCAGTATCAAGCTACCCAATACAGAAATGTTCTTTACCCTTATTCAAAATGGTGGTGTTGAAGTGATATCGCGTTTATGCGCCCAAATATGTAACTGGCGTGAGATAATGACGGTACATGGAGATCTACTCAAAGAAGGTCGTGTAAGTGAATATCCGCCAGCTTTCAAAAAACAATTCCACGAATGGGTTTTGGCTACTTGCGAATTATTCTACCGTATGAAGGCATTCGATCCAATATCACGCACTGGAGAGTGGGTTTCAGGTCTTGGTCGAGATGTACTCGAACGGCTCCACAAAAGTTCTCAGGATCTCGAGTGGGGACGATACCAATTATCGATCAAGGCGGTTGGTGACGTTGCCTTTAATCCTCGTCTTGTGCCTCTGTCGCAGAGATTTCTGGGGGAGTTCCAGGATTACTTTAATGTAACGCATCCAGAACGTTACGAGGGCGCCGTAAGTAATAGCGCTTTAAAGGGAAGCTCGCTAGATATGCACGGGCTGAATATACGAGCTAATTACGTTGAATGGCTTGGTAGACAGGGTGTTACCGGCTTACCAATGCTGCTATTTACTACTGTCAAGAGTCTGCAGACTTTCGTGCGTGGTCATGAGTCGTCGTTCTTGCAGTCGCAGTCACAAGAGAACTTGAGCCCACGTAAAGAGCGGTACGAAGCGAAGAAACAAGCCGAAGTGATGGAGATTGAGCCAACGCAGCAAACTGAAGACACACGGCTAAGTCGATCGTCGTCAGCGTTTGATCGTGTTTAAATGGTTTATGACGTATTTAGGATTTAGTTGAATTGATGAAATAGTAAAGATGTAATACAAATCATACACTTTTATTGTGTCTGTCCACCGTAACCTCTAATACCCTCAGCGAAACCCCATTCAGTGTCAACAGACATGCTTTGGCTAATTTCAGAGCCCTCCTTTGTGATTGTAGCGACTTGGAATTTGTTGAGGGATCTAGCGTCTCTGTAAAAGAGAACTTTCATGCAAGTTTTGATGATATCCAAAGCATCTTCCTTGTTAAGAGGCTCCTGACGATCTTCGACCAGTCTCCTGAGTAGAGGAATGGCAATCATTGAAGCATAACCAGTACCGATAGTTGGAGCAGAGTAAGTAGTACCCAATAGATCAACGTAAGCGAGAGTGGATTCACCAGATTTTGGATCAACACCACCAACAACGAAAGCATTCCAGAGAGGATTGAGCTGGCTGCGACGATGGTACATAAGAGTGCTCATATACTCGTAAATTTGAGCAGGTCCAAGGGAATGACCGTCATCGTGGCAATACTCGTCAGTAATGAGAGTGTCAAGTTGATGTTGAACGTGCTGGAAGTCAGACATATCGCCAGCAGCGCCAATGATTGTATTTGAACCAACGCCATATAGTCTCTGGATATCCTTAAAACGAGCCAAAGAGCCATAAGAAGCAAGGTTATCAGCAGCGAGCATGATACCGTCTTTGAATTTCAATCCAATGACCGAAGTGCCGGTGACTATGGGCTGTTGAGTCTTCTGTACGCCTTCAGAGAACTTGTCATCGGGGACAGTCATCTGCTGCGCGCCGAGCTGGTACCGCTGTGTAACATCACCACCGTACATGTCCATCTTAGCGTCAGTGAAAGGGCTAAGGAGATTGTAAGTTGGTTTTATACGCGCATAAATCTAACTCACCGTCCCCAAGAAGTGAAATTATTTGACATATTCATCGATGTTTGTGTTGAAGAGATGTATGACGACGCTCTTTATAACTCACGTCCATCTTTTAAAATTCAAAATGGCAGATAATTCGAAGCAAGTACATCTCAATAACGAACAAAATCAACGCTTCAATCTGATTACTCGTTCGTTGCACGAAGTTCTCGGTGCAGATATCGTCAAGCAGAAGATCAGTACAGGCGAGCAATTGAAATGTTATTGGGGAACAGCGCCCACGGGTAGACCACACGTTGGCTACTTTGTTCCTCTCGTTAAAATTGCAGATTTCCTCAGAGCAGGCGTTGAAGTCAAAGTGCTTATGGCTGATATACACGCTTTCTTGGATAATCTCAAAGCCCCATTTGAATTAGTACAGGATAGAGTCAAGTACTACACTAAACTCCTTCGATCCATCTTCATCAGCCTCGACGTTCCTGTCGATAATCTCATCTTCGTCGTCGGTTCTTCCTATCAACTCACCCCGCAATACTCCATGGACAGCTACAGGCTCGCTGCCATGACAACTGAGCATGACGCTAAAAAGGCTGGCGCTGAAGTCGTCAAGCAGGTCTCCTCCCCTCTTCTCTCCGGTATGCTCTACCCTGGCCTCCAAGCTCTCGACGAAGAGCATCTGGGCTGTGATTTCCAATTTGGCGGTGTTGATCAGAGGAAGATCTTTGTTATGGCTGAGTCCCTTCTCCCAAAGCTCGGCTACGCTAAGAGGGCTCACTTGATGAATGCCATGGTCCCTGGCTTGGCCGGTGGTAAAATGTCTTCTTCAGACCCTAACTCTAAAATTGATTTCCTCGATTCTGCTGCAGATGTCAAGAAGAAGATCAAGTTGGCTTTCTGTGAGGAAGGTAATGTCCAAGAAAATGGCTTGTTGGCTTTCTTGAAAGCTGTTGTACTCCCAATCGCTGCATATAAGCAGCTTATTAAGGGTGCATCGCCTTTCGCTGCCCAAGATGCCGCCAATGACTTTTTATTCTCGGTCACCCGTCCAGAAAGATTTGGTGGCTCGTTGCACTACAAGGATTACGATAAAATCGAGCATGACTTTTCAACCAAAGCTCTCCATCCCGGTGATCTCAAGAAGGCGGTTGAGGATGCCATTAACACCCTTCTCGATCCAATTAGAAAGGACTTTGAGGCTGATGAAGAGTTCAAGGCAGTTGAGAAGGCAGCATACCCACCACCAATAGATCCTGCCGCTGCCGCCAAAGAGGCAAAGAAGGCAAAAAATGAGGCAAAAAAGAACAAGACAAAGGCTTCGGCTGCTACATTCCAGCAGCAGTCTGTCGATAGCGTCGCCGACCAAGTGGAGAGGGTTGAGATTCCAAAACAATAGAGGAAATTAGGAAATCAGCAAAATAAGTGTATTTATCAAATTTATAGAGTTTCTCCGCATCTTGCTCTCACTTTGATGGATTCTTTCGGCCAGGATGGAGCTGGTCGAGCTCTGCCTGTGTGCGTGGTGGTGGTGGGAGGTTCACACCTCTGGAACCGAGCTCTGAAGTTGGGTCGACTCTGTCTCTTGGCAAATCGTTCATATTCGAACCCTCTTCGTTGAAGTCTCTGCCAGGTGACTGGCCGTGTCTGAGCCTATTGCTAGAACCTAACGCATCTGGATCGGTGGTGCGCGTCACACTCTCTCTGATGCTCTCTGGTAGTGGATCTGGAATGGTGCTTGAGCCAGGCACTGACCCCGAAGGTTTAACGCCATCCAAGTTGGCAGCTGGGTAGTTTTCCATACCTACAGCATCATTGGTTGGGTATGCTGAAGATTTGCCGCTGCTCTCAGCTTCAGCACTAGGCATAGCATGTACATAACCACCTCTGGCACCACTGTGGACACCCTCTTCTTTCGCGAGTGCGTCACTGTAGCGAGCAGGTTTGTCGACGTTGTCAGCGCCATGCAGAGGCTGACCAGTGGCATTGCTGTGGTGAATATGGCCAGACTGCGCATTGTTAGTCTCCTCTTTGGGCTCGTTTGCCTTCTTGTTGAGGTGGCCAGTGGAAGAGAATTGGCGTGCGAGTGTAGTGTATGTTCTGCCCTTTTTACTCTCATTATCCGAAGCTAAGCCAAGAGCCTTCTTGAATTTATCCTTTAAACCTGGCTCTGGTGCATCAACCTTCTCACCAGCGTAAGCATGTCCATCACGCTTTCCGCCCACTTGATCGGCAGAAGCTGAGCCTATTGACTGCTTAGTCTCTTGGTCGTTGGGCTTCATCCCGGGATACTCCCCACTCTCCTCACCCTCCTTTATCGTCGCTTGCCATGGCGAATTGGCGTGTGAGTCCACATCTTCTGCCTTGTTGGCGAGTGTGCGCACGCTCGTGGCGATGTTGCGCGTGTTTACTTTTGCAATTCTATTAATCATCATGACTGTACAGAAGACTTGGAAATTCTTTGGAAATTCCTTGGAAATAACCGACGTCACTCCATCTGACGTCAGTAAGTTTGCAACGATGAGCTGCGATAGGTTGGTTGATTCTATGCAGCTGCCCACCTGCAGTGACAGTCGTGAACGCTCTCATCGCCACCAGCGAATCGAGTTTGATCGTAGGCCAGCGCGTAGGTTTGGGTTGGTTCGCAGTACTACAACTGCAGACATAGTCCGTTCAATAGATGTTACATGGCTAATGCTACTGTCTTGTCAGAGGCGGCGCTGGTCTCATTCCGTGAATTCTCCTCCCTCAGCTCTTGTTCCTTGACGGCAAAATGTGGCTATGGAGCAGACGCTTATGATTTCCTCAGGTATTACTGTAATCAGGAATAGCTCAAAGTCCAAATCAGTCTGGGAATATTTTCACTTGTCTCAGTGCGCTTAAACGTGGTAAGCAAAAACGTCACTATTCTAGGATTGTGTGGCTTGTGAAGTATAACCAGGGAAGTATAACCAGGGAAATAAAAGTATTTCTCTTGACCCATATCGTTAGCGGATCAGAACAATAATGCGAAGAAGCGTGCTAGGCGGGTGCATCTGCATTCATACATAGACGAAATATGAACATTTTAGTAGCAGTTCGCAGACCTCAACAATTTGCCTTACGGATATGGGAATTGACCTCGTGTATTGCAGGAAGTACGTACTCGATGTGAAATACAATTAGGATAATTGGAATAAATCAAGTGAAGGAACCATTCAAAAATACTAGCAAGAGTTCTGGTAGATTTGTGATTAGATTTTAATCCATAACGCTTCTTGTCTTCCTTCTTATTTGCAAACTATCAGATGTCCGGGAGAAATACATCGAGATCACCACCGCCTAGAGCATACAGGGGCTATGAATTTGATAGAAGACCACCGCCTGCGCCTCGAAGTTACGGAGGTGGCTACAGGTTAGTCTGATTCTGAGGCGATTGGGTTACTCATCCTGATAAGCACCACAGCGATAGAGGTGGATACAGCGACAGAGGTGGATATGACAGAGGCGGATATCGTGGTGGTGGGTTTAGGAGAGGCTTCTATAGGCCAAGTCCTGGCTGGAGAGACGACCACTTGAGTAGGAACAGACCACCGAGAAGCCCGCCGCGATACATTCCCTCACGCAAGCCATATAGTGGTGGTAGAGGTGGTTATAGAGGTGGCGGCGGCGGAAGAGACTACGATAGCTACCACTCGCATTCATACAGTCACCCAAGCGCACACAGCCTTAACCACAGTCATAATCACAGGCCACCGCCTATAAACACATCTTATGACTCTCCTCTCCCATCACCTAGCAGCGTCACCCGTGAAGTGATTACCAGAGACCACGATGATGGCGAAGAGGGTGAGCTGAAAGAGGAGACAGTCATCGAACCATCCCCGCAGATAATCCATCCTCCACCAGCTAGGCCTCGTATCCCTTCAATTAATTCAAATTACCATCAACGCCATTCTAGCTACTCGCCTACAACTACCTCACGCAGCCCTCGCACGCCTGAAGTTACAGCTTTCGACGATAAGCCTGGGAGATTGCACACAAAAACGCGCATTTCAAATACCAGCATTACAAAGGAGATAGTTTATCCAGACAGCCCGCCAAAACCAGCTCGCGAGCCAAAGATAAGAGGTAGCGCAACGGTTGAGTTGGATGATCAGCTAGAGAAGTTGAGGTTGGAAAGGAAGCAAGCAGTGGAGACTGGTAGATTGAATGCAATTGCAGCCTTACACGCTTTAAATGAGGTTAAATTGTTCGACATAGAACTTTCAAGTCAGAAAATGAAATCAACAATCTGTGACCAGCAGTGTTTAGCTGATTGAAATGTAGCATTATTGCGTTTATTGTATTTAATATCATCACTTGTATACGTTTTACTGTTTTAGCCTGCTCTTTAGTGTATACAATGAGGCTGATAACTGAATCTGGTAAAATTATTCCAGTCAGCGACAAGCAGGTCATCGGTAGAGACCTCTTCAAGTCCAAGATAGTATCAAAAGCCCATGGACTACTCTGGGTGCGTCATCGTAACTGCTGTGTGAATGACATCAGCTTATTGTATCGCAGCTTGAAGGGAATTCAATCTTTTACAAAGATACAGGAAGCTTGCATGGTTCATTTCTCGTCGATTGTATCACTGGGCAAGTCACTCAACTTACCCCTGAGCCGGTCAAGATTGAAAGCGGTTTCAAATTGCAATTAAGCAAGCGCCTCAAGATTCGCGATAAGATTTTTAAGCCTGTCACTGTCACTGTCAAAGCTGACTCGCCATCCAACGTATTCTCTGCGGACTTGAGCGATATCAGTGAAAATCTTGATCATGCTGATAATGAGCGTGAAACTAGTGTGAATAACGCAACTGGAGGTAGCTTTGACGATGAAGAGAGCAAATACTATGATTATGATGATGAGGGAGAGCATGACGATGATTATGAGGTTTACTATCCAGAGCCAAACCAAACAATCAGATCAGGTAATGATGTTACCAATGAAATTCCCTCTGAGTCATCAACTATTAACCCCAACAGCCTCAAATGTGGCTCTGATTTACTTCTTCGTTCTCAAATTGCACACCTTGAAGACCAGCTTACAGCACAGTCTAGCACCCTCGATTCACTAGCATATGACCTTAAAGAAATAAGACTGGAATCCATAAAGAGCGAAATTATAAACAAGAGACTCCAAATCGCTAAACGCAAGGAAGCGTTCAGATTCGCCAGGATCAGGACAAACAAGCTCAAGAAATCAAAGTCTTCAAACTTCACTGACAAGACGGTCAACAAACCACCAGCTGAATACAAGCAAAATCTCACTGCTGGGATTGTAGGTGGCGCTCTAGGTGTCAGCCTGGGTGCGGCAGCGACGATAACCTTCCTCTTGAATTTGAATTGACAGTCCCTCAATAGTATTATTAATATTTCTCTTCATTACGAATTTTGTATTACTACACATACACTTTTTACAGTAAGAATACAGTGGAACAATCTTGTCTAGATGATCATCATCAATAAGACAATGAATGTAGTCACAAAAAAGAGCATAACACTTCCTTGCAGTAGAGCTCCTCTTTCGCGTTGATTAGTGAGACCGTGGCTAACGGCTTCCACTAAGACCTGTTCAAATTTTTCGCCTGCTCGTTTGAGAGTGAATAGCTCCTCAACTCTGGCTTTGCAGCAACTAATGCTCGTCTCTTGATTAGATGATGAGAGCATATTTTTCATCCTATGTGACCATTGTAGTGGATCAGAAGGGAGCAAATACCCCGTTTCACCATCTTTAACACTCTCAACCGGACCACCTGTATTTGTAGCGAGAACGGGCTTCCCACATGCCATCGCCTCGACAGGAACAATGCCAAAATGTTCATTGGTGGGAGTGTAAAGAAGTGCAATTGTAGAGGATGAGTTGAGTAATGTTTTCTTGGTTTGTGTGCTGATATTCAACATGAAATAAACATCGATACCGTCGTTGGGATTTATTGCATTTGCTTCGTCAATAAACGAACACACAAGTGAATGAACCTTGCACAACTTCTCCAGGTTTTGTACGCAGTCTACGTTAGATGGTAGTCTAGCATCGTATCCGCCAGCCAATGCAAGACTCAAGTAGTTTCTTTCTTGTTTTCCAACATTCTCGATGAGCTTAGCGTGTGCTTCTATAGCCAAGTTGACATTCTTTTTTGGTTCAAACCTATTGATAGATAGGAAGATGCGCGCACTTGAGCTATTTTAGTAGTTGAAAACGTGTAAGATAGTCACGCACCCATTCAAATCACCTGCGCTTCCTACAAGATCAGTAGTGTCTACTGAAGGGTATATAACGATAGGTGAGTGGGTTATATCGACAAACGTATTCTTGATAACATTGCTTGTAAATTGAGAATTGGCGATTAAAGCATCAGCATCAGCGGTAGAGAACTCCTCAAACCTATCCATGGGTATTCTATATAGCTGCTTAAGCGTGGACATTTGAGCCGGGTAAATGGTCTTGCCATCGCCGCTAACAGGTGCTATAGAGCCACTTGCGAGTAATTTGTCAGGGAAGTGACAGTAAAATACGACTGGAGTCTTTAGCCAAAGTCTGAGTAAGGGAATGGCTGCAGAGAGCTGATCGACCAAGATAACATCGTATCGCTGTGTGGGTTTATACCAAACGGAGAAGGACATATTAGGAGAAATGATGATTGAGAGGGTAATAGAGATCATAAGCAATATAGCTAGATGTATCTGTCGTACGATTGCGGATACTATGTGCAAATAACCCCAAAAAGAGCGCGGAAACCAATCGCCGAGAACGTGGACATTAAGAGTACCATCTTTGGTCTCGTTGAATGCGTGACAGGGATCGTGGTAGCTTGTGAATATATCAACGCTGTGTCCCCTGGATTGCAAACTGAGCGCTGCATCGACGATCAGTCTTTCTGCGCCGCCTGAAAGAAGAGTGAGAGATGGGCGTATAATCTAAAACCATACAAACCAATTCCTAAATCTGGGTGTAAAATTGCTATCCTCATGGAAGTTCAAGATGAAGAATCTTCTTGTGCTGTAACCACCATGTCGTTTCACACGCTCGAGAGGGAAAAGAAATTCACAAATCCCTCGGCGAAAGGGAATAATTATCCAATTCTGCAGGAGCTGGTAAAGCCTCACGTAGACAGCTTCAATATGCTCTTCAAGGATTCAAATGGCGATGAAGGACTGCTCGATAAAGCTCTTAGAGATATTCCTTCTAGAGTTGTCATCGATGATAAACACAGGCTTGAATGTTAGTCGTCGTTTTATCGTGTTCTTCTCGCTCATCCATTTAAGTGACTTATAAGCAATTAAACATTGCCAAACCTATGGTACTCGATAAAGATAAGAATTCTTTAGATAGACGAGTTTTCCCATTCGAGGTGAGCTTGATTCGTTTCAAAATCTTCGAAACTCACCTTATTACCTACACTACAGGCAAGAGAGAGACTCACAACCTACAAATCACGTATGAGCGTTAAAATTCAACTCAAGGTTGATGGTCAAGTAAAGACAGAGTTCATTAGAGAGTGCGGATCAGTTCCTGTCATGGTTAGATCAGAAAGATGCAATTTGCAGAAAATGTCCTCAGCAGAATTAGTAGCAAAGCACGAAGAATCAGATGAAATGGGCGGTTATTTCATTATTAACGGTAATGAAAAGTTAATGAGATTGCTCGTCGTTCCGAGAAGACATTACGTAACTTCAATCATTAGACCTAGTTTCGCTAATAGAGGCCCAACATACACCGAATTTGGTGTACAGATTCGTTGCGTTAGACCTGATCAAACTTCAACAACAAATACTATGCATTATCTCAGTAATGGTGGCGCTACTCTCAGATTTGCATGGAGAAAGAACGAATACATGATTCCAGTTATCATGGTCATGAAAGCACTCAGCTCTGCTTCTGATAGGGATATTTTTGAAGGAATCATTCAAAAAGACTACGATAACACTTTCTTGACTGATCGTGTTGAACTTTTGTTAAGAGGATTCAAGCCATTCAGACTATACACCAAAGATCAATGCTTGTTCTACTTAGGATCTAAGTTTAGAGTCGTATTGGGCTGTCCAGATGATTGGTCCGATATTCAAGTTGGTCAACACCTCATTGAGAGATGTATCCTCGTCCACCTTAAAACACCTGAAGACAAGTATAGAATGTTGCTTTTCATGCTACAAAAGCTCTACTCCCTAGTCAGTGGTGAAAGTTGCGCAGATAATCCAGATTCCCCTCAACTACACGAAGTACTCATGCCTGGCTTTTTGTATGGTCAAATAATAAAGGAGAAGTTGGATGAGTGTTTAATAGCTGCCTCTGCTCAGATTAGACAAGACCTCAGACGACAAGTTAGCTCGACCAATTTAAGCGACGACAAGTATGTCAACAAAGTCATACAGAGAACGAACTTTGATATTGGACAAAAACTTAATTACTTTTTAGCTACTGGTAATCTTGTTTCACCATCTGGTTTAGATTTACAACAAGCTACTGGTTTCACAATCATGGCTGAAAAGCTCAACTTCTACAGATATCTCTCACACTTTAGATGTATACATAGAGGTGCTTTCTTTGCTGAATTAAAGACAACAGCTGTTAGAAAGCTCCTTCCTGAGGCTTGGGGATTCTTGTGTCCAGTACACACACCAGATGGTGCTCCATGTGGTCTTCTTAACCATCTTTCCAGATCGTGTAAAGTTACAACCGAAAACCTGGAAGAAAGTGCATCTAAAATCCCAGCACTGCTCTCAGGTTTGGGTATGATTCAGCCATTTATATTCACAGTTGATAGAAGAACACACGTCGCTATACATCTTGACGGTAGAGTGATTGGATGGGCCAACACTTCAGACGTCAAGCACATGGCAGAGGCCCTGCGTATCTGGAAGACTGAAGGATTACATGACGTGCCGTTGAATATGGAAATTGGTTTAGTACCATCGTCTAAAGGAGGTCAATATCCAGGTCTCTACCTGTTCACCTCAAGAGCTAGAATGATGAGACCGGTTAAGTACCTTGCCAACGGTAAATTAGATCACTTGGGTTCATTCGAACAGGTTTACATGGACGTCGCTTGTGTTCCAAAAGAGATTGAGAAGGGAATATCTACACATGTTGAATTTACACCAACGAACGTTTTATCGGTTGTCGCAAATATGACACCGTTCTCCGATTTCAATCAATCACCAAGAAACATGTACCAATGCCAGATGGCTAAGCAAACAATGGGTACACCTTCAACAGCTATAATGAGAAGAACGGATAACAAGTTATATAGAATTCAAAACGGTCAATCACCAATCGTTAGGCCAAACCTGCACAACAATTACGGTATGGATAATTTCCCTCAAGGTGCTAATGCAATTGTTGCCGTATTGTCGTATACCGGTTACGATATGGAGGATGCTATGATAATCAATAAGTCAGCACATGAAAGAGGATTTGGTTATGGTACAGTGTACAAATCTCAAATTGTGGATCTCCGTGAGATGAGAGGAGCAAACAAATCAAAGTCAACACCAAGTCTGCACTTTGGTTTGGGTGCTGACGCAAAGAGGGAATGGAGAGAAACGCTTGACGACGATGGTATAGTGCCATCCGGCGTCAAAGTAACTTCCGGCGATCCAATTTGCGCGTACATAGATGAAACCACACAGAGAACAATGGTTGAGAAATATAAAGGAGATGAAGATGCCTACATTGACGAAATTCGTTTGCTGGGTTCAGACGGTGGTGACTCTGAGTTGCAAAAGATTCACTTTAAGATCCGTATACCTAGATCACCTGTTGTTGGTGATAAGTTCAGTTCTAGACATGGACAAAAGGGTGTTATGTCACAGAGATGGAAGAAGATTGACCTGCCATTCTCAGAATCAGGTTTGCAGCCAGACGTTATCATTAATCCTCACGCTTTCCCATCTAGAATGACCATTGGTATGTTTGTAGAGTCCATCGCAGGTAAGGCTGGTGCATTGCACGGTTTGGCGCAGGATGGTACGCCATTTAACTTCAACGAAAGCGATACGCCTGTCGAGTACTTTGGTGATCAGCTGAAGGCTGCTGGGTACAATTATCACGGAAACGAACCAATGTATTCCGGTGTAACTGGTGAAGAATTCCCTGCTGATATATATCTTGGATGTGTTTACTACCAAAGATTGAGACACATGGTTAATGACAAGTATCAAGTTAGAACGCTCGGGCCGGTTGATCAGCTCACACGTCAGCCAATTAAGGTGCGTTGGGCTTATTTTAAATTATTACCCTGGCTAATAAGTACAAAAGGGACGTAAGCGTCACGGTGGTATTAGATTGGGAGAAATGGAGAGAGATGCGCTTATTGCTCATGGTACATCTTTCTTGCTGCAAGACAGATTGATGAATTGCTCCGACTACTCAACAGCATGGGTATGCAGAGACTGCGGTAGTTTAATTTCACTAGGATACACGGATGAGAGAGACACAAGAGCGTCACAACTTCCTCAAGGACCAACTGGAGAGTATTGTCGCGTATGTCGTCAAGCTCAACAGGAGGAGGACAAGGGAGAAATGGATGGCGAGGCAACTCAAGTGAAGAGAAAAAGTGATATCATACTGCCATTGTCGAAGGAGTTGAACATTGGCAAAGGTGGTAACATGGACGTAGTAGCAGTTCCATACGTGTTGAGGTATCTAGCGTCGGAACTTGCATGTATGGGTATTAGAATGTCAATAGAGCTTTCTTGAAGGTGAATAGACTATTTATATAAAAAATAAAGTATATGCATAAATACAGATCTTTTGAAGTTATTGGGTTAGATATTATGTGCGTGTAGATTCTCTGCGAGTTGCATCTTGAAGTAGTTGAGTGTCGATTGATTCCGAAGGTAGCTGGACGTATCTAACTACAGAGCCTCTAATGAAAGTGTTCTTTATAGCCATCTGAAAGTCTATTAGGTGTATGCTTGGTATAAATCTAAATAATCTCACCATATGAGGATATCTTTGTTCATCGAGGACTTTAACGTTGTCTAGCTTGATATTTAGGAACTGGTCCACAGATTTCAGAGTGCCAATCAAACACAAATCATTCTTCAATTCAACTTTACTCATAATCTCAGCCATTTGGCTAGGTATCAACACGCAACACTCACCAGTAACCGTCTGCTCTGTGAGCGTTTTAAATACTGAGAATATCAGCTGACGTGACTGTGAATATCTGATATATATCATTCGTTATTCGCTCACCATATCAAATTTCTTATCGTGGAAGTCAGCTGACAACCTTGATTTTATTGGATATGAATTATTTAGTTGAAGCTTGGAGGAAAGCTGGCAGTCGTAAGTACATTTCATCACAGATGCATTGTCACATGCTCCGACTCAATTCACTATGTACCGATGTGGCAAGTGGAATTACAAGTCAGAGACGACAAAGAATGATGAATCTGTTGCTTATTATTATTTTCATATATGTATATCGACTCATTTTAGAATATTTTCTTACTCTGCGCTATGCTTGCGCTACGCGTCTTTGCTCAATCGAACAACACAAATAGGACTAACGGAAAGAATTTACGCGTAAAATAAGAAAATATATTAAAGTATGTATAAATTACGCGTTTAATTTAGAATCTAAACACTTTCCAACTCAGAATGCTCGAAGGATACACTCTAAGACTAAAGCACCTTTTCACGCCAACACCTAAGCTTGACAAGCAAGAATCAAATCCCCACGATATTCTCATGACTGGTGGATCTAACAAAGAAGACACATATCATGAAATTCCAATTGCGTCAATTAGCGTGAGTTCAATTGCAACGCCCAAACTCAACTTGATCTAACAAACTTCCTTTCAAGGATACCAAAATGTCGGTGATTACTATTATTATTAGAAGCTGCCAGATGGGTAGCAGTCTGCTCTGTTTGATCATGTGGGCTGCTACTGCCGGATTTCAAGCTAAATGGGAAGTTGGTCCTTCTGGATTATCTGGGTGCGTGATATGCAATAACAACAGAAAGTATCCTTACACAGATCAATAGATTGTCTTTAGCAGTCAGCTTACTTTTGCTGATAATGTCGACTGTTTTATTCACGATACCAATGCTTTACGTGAAGAGGAATATGCTCAAGGTGAGTAGACTTTTCTTTATCCTTCGAAGACGCGTAATTGACGCGTTATTTCCTTAGAATGCAGACCTATTTCTCAAAGAGCGCAGATCTGCATGGGTTTTGAACGGCGCTGGTGTCTTAATCTCCCTACTACTTGCAGCCATAACCACAGGATCTGCCTTCACCACACCAGGATGTGAGAATCCAGATGACGATCCTCATGAAGGCAAAGGTGATGATTTCAAGAACGCCTTGTCGACCTTCTGTGGTACGAAGAAGGCTGCAGCTATTCTATTCTGGATTGTATTCTTTAGTTGGATGGGATCAATCGCAGAAATCATGCTTAATAGCAAGACTCTGATCAAAAAAGGCAGAAAGAGTGGCGTAAGAGATCCACCATTTACAGCTCCAGATATGGATGAGGAAGCTGCAGCAGGAGGCTACGGCTACTCAAAGGAAACGTATCAACCAAATACATCGAGACCATACGATGACAGCTCAGAACCTCTGACGAGCGGTCAAACTATCAATCCATTCGAACCTGAACCAGGTAATCCTTACGATAGAGTGTCGATGGAGGAAAACCACAAGGATCCTTTCAGCCATCCTCAGATGCCTGAGCCAGGATTTGTATATAGGCCGGGAATGTACTCAGACGGATATCAGTAGAAAGCATTGATTCATGGGTATAATTTTTGTATATAAATGTATGTGTATCAGTTTCAATTTAAACTATCAGATAAAATGAATCAAGTCTACCAATGCAAAGTGTTTAATGTATGCGACAGAAACAAGAAAGTCGAAATAAAAGTACAGACAATTACATATATCAGGGGGTTAATTAGTAACCAATGAGCCATACTTCACGGGCTAATATGGTCATCTAAATCCAGTCCGTTACTTAAAGGATGCTCACTATTCAAACACCAGGCTTCAAAGTGATGATTGAGGTTTTGCATTTCGTGTACACCGTACACAGATCCGCAGCCACCTGACGACGTAGACTTTTTGAGAAAGTAAATATCCCTAACTCTTGAATGTACCAAAGCCATGGCGCACATCATGCACGGTTCATGAGTGGAGAAGAGTGTGAGGGAGGTACATAGATATTCAGCGCCATTTTGACAAGCGTTTAACCCTGACAAGGTGGGTGTATTGTTGGCAGTGGTATTTGGTTGCGTAGAACTGCTGCGCTTCTCATTGTCATTTCCGTTGATTGTCGTCGTTTCGGCATCCGCCTTGTAGCGCAGTTCACCAACTTTGCGCACACAATTAAAGATAGCATGGTTCAAGGGATTCCCACTGCTACATCTTGTATCGTAACCCAAAGCGGTCATGTTAGGCGTCGGGGGTGGATATCCTGGCGGCACAGGTATCTCTATAGGTGGAGAAGAGACGTGAGCGGCAATTGGAAGTTCACCACGAGACTTTGCTTCATAGGCCAATGATTTCGCTTTATCTAAACCGTTCATTACCCAGTCTAATTTGCGAACATCCCAATAATCGTAGGTGAAACCATTAACGAATTGAGCTTTTGGGGTAAAAGAAACAGGCCAGTATTTCTGACACGCATTGTACTCCTCACCAGTAGTCGCCCTCCTCGAAGGAACTTTAAGTATGTATGGGTCTAGATCTGTGACTTGTGCGCTGGTTCGTGAGAGGAGCTGCTTAACTTTATCCTTGGTCAAGTCAGGAGTGGCTTCAGCGAGAAGTACACTGATGCAGTAATCAAGGCCAGGGAGGTTTGAAGTGGCTGTGTGTGGGCCACAGTCGACATTCTCGTAAGGAAAAGCCTTTCTAATTCTACGGAGATGCTTCGTTCGTTCACACTTTTTATCCTCAAGCCTGTGATGAGTTGAAAATCTAATAAGGTCACGGGTTTGAACTGGAGAAGTGAGGTTAACAATCCAAGCGTTAACTTGAGTGATAATGAGTGAGAGAAAGTGTATAAAAGACATAAAACATACATAAATAAGGTTCATTATTCTCGTCTAAGCATGTTGGTTCAATGACGTTTGCGATTCGTTGAAAAGGTAAGCAATCAATTGGAATGAGATTTGAGTAGTTTGTAGATGACTTTGTTGAATTTGTAGATGTTGATGGACTATCAGATTCATACGTCACGACATTCTCATTAAAAGTCATGCTTAATTTATTTCAACCGAGAAGACACCAACAGGGAGACCAAAAACTGGCATAGAAGATGCAAATTTTATTTAATAGAAATACATATCAATGACTAAAAGTAAAATGCTATTGTTTGTAACAATCTAAACAAATTTGATTTTGGTGACTGAGTAGTGTTAGTGGGTAGATAATGAGTAAACAAACTGACTCTTCAATAATACAATTCTTGCATAGAACTCTTGAGCATCCTTGAATGACTAGCTTCATGGTATCTTCATTGATCGATCTTTTACGCGTTGATTGCTCACACTTTGAGTTTGAGTTGAAGATGCCATTACAATTACGGGAGCAGATCAAACATGCAGGTGAATTGCATCTGTGAGTGGATTAGAAGGTATTTAAATGAATAATCTAAGTCCTGCTCACATTGCACAGATATTACCCGATATCGAGCTTAACTTGAAATTGAAGTTGCGTCTACAAACAACGCAATTCTGTAATCCAATGAGATTTTGATTGAATGATTGTTGGTGCTGTTGTTGTTGTTGTTGTTGTTGTTGTCTCTTGATAACTTTTTTAATTCGTAATTGTTGATCTATCCCGTAAATATATCAATATAACGACTAAGCAACTCCACTGTATAACTCACCAGTCACATTGAATTTCCTCCTCTTTGAATCAATAAATGTCATTTAAATATTTAGCTTCTCCCTTCTAGATGATTGTTGGCTGTCAACCTAACCACCAACACCAACCAGCACCCACACCAACCACCAATGTCTGATCAACCTCAAAAGCAATCTCATGCCGCTATCAAAAAGCAAAAGAATACAAAATTTCCCGTCGCTCGCATAAAGAAAATTATGCAAATGGACGATGAAGTTGGTAAAGTTGCACAAGCAACGCCTGTACTTATTTGTTAGTATTCAGCTTTATCGAATATTCACTTGGCTTATTTGTCAATTTTCAGCTAAAGCTTTGGAATTATTTATGCAAGCTCTCGTCGATGAGACTATCAAAATAACTCAGGAGAAGGGCGCTAAGAAAATGACGGCACAACATCTCAAACAGACAATTTCAAATACTGAACAATTTGACTTCTTGACTGAAATCGCTGATAAAATACCTGCTCCCTCGGAAGACACTGCAACAAAGAAACGTAGAGGTCGCAAGTCTAAGACAAATGAAGATAAAGAGGATTCTGTTAAAGATGAATCTGCGCAGGCTATCCAAGAAGATTCTTTACCAGCAAAGCAAGAAGATTCTACATCAACCGATCAGCAACAATCTGAGCATCAACTTCCTACACCTGCCGAGCAACAAGATCCTCCTAATGTCAAGGCTGAACAAGACATCACACAACATGAATCTCAACCACCTCAGCAACTCCATGATACACTATCGAATGAATAATTTATTTATCTACGCGCACTCTTGTACTTTTGCTTCCTTCTCTATCTAATTTTTACTGCCAATCTGCTTACCGAATTGATCAAATTTACGCACAACAGCCTCACATCTCACTTGCTTGCACAATTCTTTAGCTGTAGACTTGACGTTGTCGTTAAAAAGCATCAAACCGGCATCTCTCTCGACTTTTTCAATGCTCTGTAAGAACGTAGGAAGTGGTACTTGTTCTGGAATAGCCTGGTTAGGAAGCACGAAAGCTGCAAGTGACAAATCCCTGTGTCCTTCGTCCTTACTTCCCATAACCACTTTACCGAAATGTGTTGGTACACTGATAGTAGGTGTATCACTGAATGGATCACCTAGAACCTCATACTTAACTCTCCATTTTCCATCTATTTCTTTCGTTGGTAGGTAAAGTGGCAGTGTAAACACATAGACGTGTCTGAAATCTTTGGTGAGATTTCGACAAAATGTCTCGAAATACGCCCAATACTCTCTATTAAAACCTGGACCAACTTGTGGTGCAATGTTTGTAAGATAAAATGTCTGATCCATTGCATTTTGGCCTGATTTAGCGTCTGCAGCTGGAACCAAGTGACCTCTGTCATAGCCACTTCTGAAGTAGGTTGACAATCTCGCTCTAAACTTGTCTGGAATTGCATTGTCTTCTTTGAATTGACTGTTCTTTCTATCTGAAGCTGGTGCTGACTTGTCTCTTTGAAGTGATTCTGCGGTCAAATGTTGTGCTGTCTATTGAGAAAGGCAAGTAAGATTGATGGGTATTATCTGCTGTAATAAAACTCACCCATGCTGGATGTCTCTTTGTTCTATCATATGAAGTAATGTACGCCTCTCGACGCATAAGGTCTGATATAGGGCCTATAAGGCAAAGATAAGTAATATTTCAAGCATACAACGTCGAACAACCTGGGAATCCCATTTTAATAACATCTTGAGGATTGTGGATTGAGTTAACCGGTGTTGGAGCTTGTGTAGGAATCGAAGCAGTATTTGTCGCAGGTACAGGCGTAGGTGGAGACGCGCTCAATTTAACGCCTTCAACACTTTTGCTACCGTAATAATAAGCACTTCCTGCACCTAGAACAGCACCAGAAGTAAAAGCAGCTATGTGAATTGGTGAAAGTAAAGGCATAAGGGTGTTACTATCAAATTTCAAGCTTATTTTACAAAAAGAATCTCTTCAAATTACAATCTTCAGAGTCCATTAAGCGGACGCACTACTTTCATGCCTATTTCACCCACACAGGGGAAGAAATTGGCTCAAGGCTTGACTCTAATTATGCTTGTTTATCTCATCATGTTGTAATTTAAGAGATTCTTAAACATTTTAGATGACTGAATTTGTTTTATTCAACTAAACCCAGACAGCTGAAATCTTTTTATCATCGTAGTTCTTTCCCAGGAGAGAACGTGGTATAGTGAAATTTAAATACTCTTGAAAATTTTTATTATTTATAATGCCATTGTACTTCTACATATCCTCTTCATCGATTGCTATCTCATCTTCATTATTAGTTCCTCCTCCCTCAACTCCTTCACTATCCCCTTCCTCGCCTGTACCGTCCTTCTCCTGTGTTTTCCCTTTGACGAATCCTGGTATATTTCTCTCAACGTTTGCCATTGGGTCATTAATAGCAGTCGCCTCTTCTTCCCCACCATCTTCGCCCGACTTGCTCGCGTTGTTGTGCAGCGATTGCGCTGCCAAATAATGTGCCTCTGTGTTAAATGACGCCTGTACCGATCTACGAATACGTAAGAACTCTCTGAATGTATCCTCGCTACCGTGATCAATTTCGAATTGGTTCCACTCATTCCAGAACTCCTTTTGAATTCTTGTATCACAAAACTGCGAAGTATGCGCGTAAATTGATCTCGCTCTGTCAATCTCTCCGAGCTTCCTTTCAAGATTTGCGAAGCGTAAGCCCATTACTATCGCAGACTTATCCGGTAACTCTTCTAAACTCTTTTCGTAGACAGGTCGCGTAGCTGCGAGACCAAAATTCATAGCTACTTTTGCAATCAATATCTTGTACATCTGCGCAACTGCTGTTAGAATATTATTGTCATCTAGTGTAATTGCGCACCTCAAACTTGTCTTTATCCGAGACCGCTTGTGTAGCACGTTCATAAACTCTAATGGCTCTCCTTGCAAGTCCATATTCCTCTTCTAATTTACCAAACATCAGAAATATTGGTTTGGCGAATTTGCTTGGTATTCCCTCAACAGCTTGTTCGAACAAGTCACGCGCCAGTTCCAGCTTAGATCCTCCCTTTTAATCTTGTTAGTATACTATATAATTTGTCCATTCACTTACATAACGCTTCAAGAACTTTGACAAGTATACGTTCCAAAGCTCAAATGCGACAGGGTAAGTGAATGCGTCCACACCGCGTTCATAGACCTTGAAACTGTCATCGAAGTAATCGTTTTCCTCCAAAAACAAAGCATAGTTGATGATTATCTGTGCATTGGCTATTTTTAGATCCAAAATCTTATCATAAACTGCTTTGGTAGATTCAACACTTCCAATACTCTCCATAATATCGACATAGAATGACCACATTTTCAACGATTTGAATAATCGCCTCTGTGGAGACAAACTCTCATCATAATAGTCCACCTTTGTGTTTTTTGGTGTAGTCGTTGCTCTTTCCATCACCTTCACCGCTTCGTTAAAGTTATCATGTCGCAATTCCATCTCTGACCATTGAATCCAGATTTCTGCGAGCTCGTCGATACGGCGGTAATTTACATCAATTGCCTTTTCAAAGATTTGACGGGAACTACCTATATCTCCTTTGGATTCGTAATACTTTGCGAAGTTTGCATAAAGATCTCCAAATCCGACTGCTTGTTTGGGTTTTATGGTGAGTATAGCATCTGTGTATGTATTAACAATCTTTTCGTCGTCATTGTCGAACAATGCAATGCGCTTCTGCCACTCGTTGACATCGTTCGGATTACGACGTAACATTACATCGTTTACTAAAATTGGTCGCCTGTCCATTAAATGCTCGAATGATTGCATATTACTATCCAGGTCTTCCTCCAGATCATTTTTTTCATCATCATCTATATCTGCTAAGGCGTCCATTAAAGATGTTACTAATTGCTCATTGAACTCCGCATAAGCATCAAACACTTGCGTGAAATCTCTGACTGTGACCACTGACTTAATCGCCGTTTCGAACACTTGACGAGCTTTTTCGAACTCTCCACGACGGATCCAGTATGTGGCCAATCCAGTCCACAATCTACCAGCTTGGTCTTTGTATATTGACAAACCATCTTTGCGTACCAAATAATCAACATCTAATTTCTGATCATTTGAAGGGTCAATATCAGCATCAACATTTGAATCAATACCAGCCGGCTTCTCGTCTTCGGGTTGTTTTGAAATGCTTTCTGTAATTTTATCCATTTCATTGTGTCGTCCCCCGACTTGTACCGGTTTCAACGCAGTCGCCTTTTCGACATCAACGCCGACAATGTCAGCGTACTCGGAGCAAACCTCCAACCAATCATTAAGTAACATGTAGGGACTTTTACCTTGAGGAGACACATAGTGATTCTCTCTTGACAATCTTGAAAGTTTGAGCAGAAGCTTACAAGCCTCGAGGGCCCTACTCGAAGGCTTCTCGCCATTTAGTAAAAGTTGAATGTAGGTCTCGATTGGGTATGGATCAACTGCCAAATACCTTCTCCAAATGATGGTCAGACAATGTCCACCCATCGACTTGGCCCAATTGAGATAGGCTGGCCAAATACGCATATGTAGCGAAGGGGGAAGGGTGCGCAGCGCTCTATCGAACGTACGCCTAGCATGTGTGCGCCCTAAACGGGGTGGGCAGGCCGGATTGCTGAGTAGTGATAAATACAACAACCATATACGTGGCATCTGTTTGGATATGTTACAGAGGAATTAGATTTCGATACACACCCACGCTCTGTAGCCATGATAGGCATCTTTCAAAAACGGCAGCAGTGGCCTTCCACTCAGACTCGCCGATCAATCCATCCAAGTAGTTAGCCTCAGACACCTCCTTCCAAGGGATCCTCTCGTCACCTTTCTCCAAATCGATCAACGGCTGCCCTCTTACTAAGCGTCTTCTGTTGTTCCTCAGCTGGTTGATATCGTCGTGGGTGATGTTTTCAGTTAAAAATGACAACCTCATGAGCAGGTAGGCATACCACAGCCGATAATTAAATGGAAATACGCCGAGAGCTCTCTCGTAAATACTTGTAAGAGTCTGATAAATGGTGCGTCTATCTGGCGTTGCGAGCGGTCCCAGTAACTCCTTGGTAGACGTGGATATACTGTCATCCTCTTCAATTGGGGTCAATAATTCAAGCTTGGAGTTCACGACGTCGATGTAGCTGAACCAGACACGCAGATTGGTGGGATTTTTCGATAACTCTTCTTCGAATTGGAGATCAACGATTTTAGAAAGAGGTGTATTATTAGACGGTAAAGGCAATGGCTTTGTGAGTGGGAATATTCCCTTTAGTTCTTCCGCGGACATCTCGGTGGTAATGGTCAGAGATTGAGAAGGCACAGCATGTAGATTTGGCAGTGTATAATGCATAATTTAATTATCAGAGAAAATAGGTTTAAATTCTAAGTGATTCTATGTGTACTATGTAATCACCTCCAGCACTCTACTCTCATTCTGAGAATACGTTGAGCTTCGACGTGATCGACTGTAAACCGTCTGTCCTCGAAATTACCGGCACACCCCACCATAGCCAGATCATTGAGATGTAATTGACGGCACCATCTGTTGTAATGTGTTGAATCATCCTCCCATGCGTATTGCATCGCTTTCGACAGCGTTCTCTCCTTCAAGTTCTCATCTGTTTGTTTGGAAGGTAGACTGAGTAGAATGAGGCGATCTATCAATGGTATAAACGAGTTGAATGTTATGTCTGAATGGGGTGTGTTTAGTTTGGTAAAGTTGATAACGTCATTTAAGAATTGTTGGCTGGAGGGATGAGAAAATTGTTGACGCAGCTCAAATATACTCCGTCGAATCGACTGCATCACCGTATTTGATATCTCTTTGATCAGCACCTTTGTTACAATTCTGTAACTGTAAGATAGCTCTTCATGTATCACAACTAAGTGATGCTTCAAGATACTGTAAGATTTTGACAGCTCCTGACTATATTCGTCTTTTTCAGGTTGTATGTCTAGATTCCACAGTCTCGATTTAAGATAGTCGTCGAACGAAAGCATTACTGATGAAGCTGTATGGCCAATCAAAATGGTTTGGGCGCGTTGGGATAGAGTATTAAACATGCTCGCGAGTTCTGAAAAAATGGTCTTCTCAAATGTACCGTTGTCAGTTGGTGAGGAGGCTGTGAAATGATCCCACAGTTCCAAAAAAAAGATATCTTCACCCAAGTCAGATATTACTTGACTAAAATATTGCGCATTTAATATGATTTTGATAAGTTTAGTGAGGGTGGACGATCCTAGTGAATCTTCCTGATTAGATTTATGCTTCTCTCCAAACGAGCCCGGTACACTTGACATTGCTGCTATGAATGTAGATGAATAAGACTCAAATGCGTCCAGAGACATTGTCAATTTGTTACCGTATTTTTCTATCAACGGAAGCTGCACTTTAATTAAGAAATTGGCGCGCTGTTGGAGCGATGGAAGTGGTCTGTACCTATCTAGACTTTGTTCAGAAGATGTTATGTTGCTTAGGAAATACTCACCCGTGATTGCCTCAATCAGATCCAAAGTTTTCTGAGCTGAAACAGTGCAGTTGATAGAAGATTTCGTATCTAGAGAGAAGTCATCTTCATTATCACTGCAAGACGTCTGCTGAATAAATGACCAGGCATTCGTTGAACTGATAATGGATTGGAACGTGTCGTTCGCGAGCCTGGTTTCAGAATCCAACCAGCTGTTGAACCAATCGCCATTATTCAAAAAGGCATTAGAGATAACAGCATTTGTGGATAGCTCATGCGAGAGAAGGAATTGATCAAATTTCAGACATTGATGGATAGTGTGAGTGAGTATATTCGGAACACCGAGCATAGAAGGTATAGATCTGACAAACTTGCCCTTAGTTAGTTGAATAAGCTGATCGACGTAGCTATTCAGGGTGTTATCATGCGGGGTGAGGTGCTGTATTTCGGAAGAAAGAAATCTCCTATGTTTGATGATGTTGTCAGTGATATAATTGAGATAATATTCAGGTTTATTGAGCTTGCTGGTGTATAAGTTACTTTCAAAGTGGTAAGCGAATCTAATTCTGATAGGTTCAACAAAGGCTTGAACGACAAGGCATCTGTAATCAGTATCATCAATTTTGCACGTCTCTATATCAAATTCATTCAATCTACTAAGGTTGAGAGTAAATGAAGGGTAATTTTCAAGGTTTAGGGGTCTGATTTCATCATTTGGGTATCCTAATCGAGTAAGATCATTAACCAAGCTTGAAATCAAGTCATCTTTGATCTTATTGAACGTGTTTTGCTTGAGTTTTGAAATATATTCATGGTTATTGTACTTTCTCAGAAGCTCAAGCTCCATCAATCTGATAGAATTGTATTTATTGATATCAAAATTAATAGCCAAGTCATCGAGTAGTTTCCCCAACTGAATCAGATCTAATAGCCAATGATTATAAGCCTTCAGCTGCTTCAATTCAATCAATTCAGCTTTTAAATCATAAGTCTTATCGTGCTGATTATAGTTTGATAGTAATTGATTGAATTGATGATTCAACTCTACATTTGACAGGCTTAAAACGCCTAATTTGCTGGTGTATTCACTAAAATCATTGAAATCCTTAGAAACATTTAAATCCCTCAATAATTCAGATTTCTCCAACTTGCGTATCACTTGATCTTCAACGTCCATTTTCAAAGCATCCATGGTGAGTGCTATCTGTGTATTATACGAAATCTGACCAATTATTAGTCTAATCTGCCGAAATTAATAGCCCAGGTCACTTTCGGTGCTAGCAAAGCCTTCGGGAAGGCATTCATGGAAATGGGTCGGCAAGCAGTCTCTAACGCAACCCACAAGCCTGATTTGAATGAACCTTCTCAACAGTCAAATGATAAAAATGCTTCACAAGCCAATCCATCTCAGCACGCAACAAAGCAGCTCAAGATGACGCTTGATGAGGCTCATTTGATTTTGAATGTCAAGCGAGAGGCTAGTTTAGATGATATTCAACACAACTATGATCACCTATTCAAAATGAATAGCCCTCCTCAGCCTAAGGTAGATCCGAAAGCAGAGGCCCAACCAAAGAAACCTCAAAGAAGAAGTCACTTAAACAAAGTCAAGCCAGATACACAGCCGTACAGTCATTACTTGCAATCAAAGGTCGTTAGGGCCTTTGAGAGAATACAAGCTGAACAGAGTAGTAGGATTGAAACTGAGAAGACGGAAGATGTACCAGGTACAGATCAAAATGCTAATCAAGATGCCCAGTCGAGTGACAAAGCCCAAAATACTGAATCATCCGACAAAACGGAGAAAAAGGATTAAAGAATAATTTACATATATGTAATCACCACTTTATAGATAAGTTATTGAAGAATGAAATTATACCTCGAAAGTAAATGCGGAATTGCTGCTAGCTGTGGTCCATATCTACCTGAGTTATCGTATAGTTCAAACACAGGTATCGCTAAAAGCTTCATGTTCCTTGGAACGGCGAACACTTCTAAGAGAAAGTCAGATTGCGTCGATCCAATAATAAAATGACTCACTTCGCTCCGGCAAGTCGACGACATACATCTTTTTGCATTCTTTTGGTTTAGTCACGTGTGCAGGAATGAATGGATACTTGTACTTGTCAGTCTCGGCTGCTTTCGGCAACGACTACTCACCATGAATGTTTCAAAGTTGGGTCTCCACCACTGAGCAAGACAGTCTCCAATTTCCCAGTCATTAAGCGCCCCATCCTCCGGCTCAAACATTGTTGGATCTAACGGTGCTAGTCTGTCATCCAGCCTCTTCTTCAATCCAGGTTCATCGGTCTCTCCGGGGGTGAGGTAGTCTCCAGGCAGCTTAAAAAACGCGTTGGCGATCTGCAACATGAGAATATGAGGGTGACCATGCTCGTGTACGACCATTATACCTTCAACTGTGCGTCTCATACCTGAAATACTGATTAACTTGGCGGGAAACATCAAGTAGAAGCGTACCGAAATCCTCGTAGTTGTTTTGCAGCCTTTGTAATCTAGCAGCAACGCTATATAATCGATCAATAGACATCCACGCTCGCGTATCAGACCATACCTTGCATCTTCTTCCGGTTGAGCTTCACGCGTGGTAAACGTATAATTTTGCAGAGGAAATATATTTATCGTGTTACTCCTAGGCCAATATAAATTTTTGAAGAACCTATTTATGATCTGATTCTTACATTTAATTTCCCGCCTAGAAGTTCGAGCTCAAGTGCGCTGATTATTTAGTTGAGTCTTGGTCTCAAACTCTCACAACGTAAAATGTCAACTTACAACAAGCAAGACGACGGAAAGCGCTCAAACGCTGGTATCGAGAATTACAACAACTTCTGGCAAAAAGATTCTTCGAACGACTCAGAAACCGATCGTCAAAACAGGTTGGACGTCTACAAAGATGTCGTCAACGGCTACTACGATGGCGCTACTGAGCTCTACGAGTACGGATGGGGCACTTCCTTCCACTTCTGTAGATATTACAAGGGTGAGGGCTTCTATCAAGCTTTGGCCAGACATGAGCATTATTTGTCCTCAAACATCGGTTTGAAGAAGGGCATGAAGGTCTTGGATGTCGGCTGTGGTGTCGGTGGCCCTGCCAGAGAGATTGCTACCTTCTCAGATGCCAACATTGTCGGTCTGAACAACAACGCTTTCCAAGTCGCGAGAGCAAGAAAATACACAAAGAAAGCTGGTCTTGAAGATAAAGTTGATTTCGTCAAGGGTGACTTCATGAAGTTGTCCGAACAGTTCGGTGAAAACTCTTTTGATGCTGTCTACGCTATCGAGGCTACCGTTCACGCTCCAAACTTCGAGGGTGTTTACAATGAAATTAAGAAGATCCTCAAGCCAGGTGGTATCTTTGGTGTCTAGTAAGTACACTTTCAAGTACCCTCCTCCATTCTAATTTTTCCACAGCGAATGGTGTATGACCGACGAATGGGACCCACGCAACCCTGAGCACAAGAGAGTGGCTCACGGAATTGAAGTCGGCGATGGTATACCAGAAATGCGTAACGTTGAAAATGCCCGTAACGCTTTGAAAAAGGTCGGGTTCGAGATTCTCCACGAGGAAGACCTTGCAGCTAGACCGGATCCTATACCATGGTACTATCCATTAGAAGGAGATATCAGAAAATGTCAAAACTTGTGGGATATTTTCACAGTCTGGAGAATGACAAGCGTTGGTAAATTTGTGACTCAAAATGGTATAAAGGTACTCGAGAGGTTCGGCGTTGTACCAAAGGGTACATTTGAAGTTGGAGAATCACTCAAGGTCGCTGCTGATGCTCTCGTCGAAGGTGGTCAAAAGAAACTCTTCACCCCGATGATGTTATTTATCTCCAAAAAACCAGAGTAAGCGACTCGTTCTGACACAAATAGATTTTCTACTCTAATGGGACTTCATACTACCTTTTTGATTTGTTTTATTGTCGCGTTCCTGATTTGTTACCCTTTTATACACAATATGGTTTGAATTCCACGTTATATATGCATTAAAAAGGCTATATCCAGCCAATACTTAAGAATTGGCGACGTACAAAGGAAGCTACAGACCAAGCACAACTGACCGAGACGGTTGCACTCCTTCCCAATTCCGTCTTTGATATTGTCTTAGCCACTAGACTATCGACATCACTAAGTGGTGACAACCCAAGCGTCAGTAGATCTGCTGCTGACAGCTCAAGCGGTCTATCATCGTTGATAACATTGTCACCGTCTATTTGATGGTGATCTTCATCTCTAACGTTTTCATTGTGGTCATAATCTGGCTTTAGTGCCAACGCGAGTAAACTAGCAAGAATCGCATTAGAATAGTTCTTCATGAAAGCTGCTATAGCAGGTGACGGGTTGAGGCTCTTCCTTAAAAGTCTGACTTCGTCATCTTCATTTGTGTTTGGTTCGTTTTCTGGGTAATATTCACTCGGTGTTGGCGATGGTATACTCATTTTGCTATTGGCCCCAAAGATAGAGCTCCATATATCCGCAAAGAGGTCCGCAAACCCATAAGGCGGTGAAGAAACGAGAGTTTGAGAATCAATTCTACTTCTCAGCTTCCTCCAGAGGTTTAAATCAGCAAGCGTGTAGGTCTGCCTAGTAAGTAACGCGCCCTTTTCATGTGTTTGTGATATGTATAGGGAGGGGTATTTGACTTTGGGTGATAAATCTATAATTGCGTCATATACCTGGGGCTTCTCCAATAACAACGCGTCGGTGGTAGCTAAGAAACCGCATTAGTGATAATTTAAACTGTCGTACTACTCACATGCTATATAGCCACGCTTTACACTCTCCAAACGCTCTAAATCGGTCAAACCAACATTACCAATATAGCGAGTTCTAGATTCACTGATAAGTCCATCATCATCATTGTTGAGAATTTCGGAGAAAGATTTTAAAGCTGCGCTAATCCATCCAACTCCTTTTCCTTCGGTAGGGCGAAAAAATATCACTACTCGCTTTTGTGCAAGCAGCAATCTGAACAGCAGAAGCAGCAGCGGGCCAAGTACATCGAAAAGCAGCGAAAGTGCTTTAGGTGATGGTGATTGCTGGGTAATGTGATCATTGTCAGATGATTGTATTGGAGCAAAAAACATCTCAAGCAGAACATCGGACGGGCGGTTTGTCAGTAAATATAGAGAGAGTTCCTCTAGTTCCGGTAAGTAATCATATGGTGTGTAAGTGCCTCTCGTGATCACCCCGACTGAAAACATCTTAACACCACGCTCATGTTGATCGGCTGAAGGTATCTTTCTATAGATAGCAATTCCATGGTTGTCGCCTTCCGTAGTGAAATATATCTCGTCGGAGTTCATCAAATGCATTCCAGATGGCATAGAGGTGTACTCCACCCCATCCATCTCTGGGTCCTCGTCATTGGCTGGAGCTGATTAGTGGGTGATATTAAGTCAGCATGTAGCTTACAGGGATTTTTGTATTTCCAAATAATGCTGTTACCAACGCCAGGCTCAAAAGACGTTACAAATAGACCCAAAATTCCTTCTGGTAAATTCATCACTTGATTGTCGGGAAACACGAATCCCTGATCGGCTTCAGTAATGTAAATAATTCGCCGTAACATGTTATCTTGCTTCACATCCCTAACCACTAAAATAAAACATTTGCCCCGTATCACTGATGACCTCAGGTCGACATGATGAGATAGCAGGGTATTTGAAATGCTAAGTCCATCATCATGGGTTATCTAATGCAGTATCAAATGGCTTCTTGGTTTATGTTGCACTATTTACGCTGCAAAATGGCGAAGTAAGCGCTAAGGCGAGCGCAGTGTTTTTAGAGAATGACAATCTTGTGACACCGTCATCCCTATCAGCTCTACGGGACTAAGAATAAGCTTTTAAAACGTATATCTCCCCAAAATCCTCCAAATTGTATTATCTAATACACTTGCTTAAGCTCTAATGGATGATTTGCGACTTATGGAAGTCTCCAACGAACATGTTTAGGGTTGCTCTGGTGGAGACGTAAAACCACCCCCAGTTGCGGAGCCTGTCGAATTTATTCACACCCTTCAAGCTGAACGGAGTTTACGGTCCAGCATCACTTTGAAGCACTCAATCGAGGGTATATCGGGTCGATCATAAGCTTTTAAATGTACCTAATTCATTAGGCCAAAGGAGTCTGTAATTTTCCCTATACAATACGATGACAAATATTTCAGGAATTAGATGCTGTGGGTCGGTCGTATCAAGAGCATTTCACGTCGTTCTTACCTTGATTACACCAGTTTAAATAAATCCTTGCTCTACGTGATTCATTTTATTGATCAGAACTGCAATGCAGCGACTCTTTGAAATGTTTATATTGGTGGGTAGTGTGAGCTGAAAAATAATGGGGAGGGAGAACCACTTAGCCTCAACCTTAAACATGAATAATTACAATGCTAGATATAAAGATCGGAGGTACGAACTAGAAATATATAATCCAACGCATTAGCGAAAAGAAAGCGGGGAATGCGACATCCATCACTTACTGGAAGACGCTTGGCACGCAACCAACTCCACCTTGACCCGATTCTTTACAACTTAAATTAAAACATTCTGAATTGCTGAAAAAAGCCAACTACTTTCATCTCAATTCCGACAACGCCTTTCTCCTGAACGAACAACATTCACGCCTTAATACTTTGAAGTATTGAAAATACTTCCATCTTTTCTGCTTCTTTGCTTTACAAGCCAATCTTTAGCCACTAGTCTGAAACTCACAAGATTTGCTTAACTGCTCATTCTGCAATGAAAGATATTGTTCACAGGCATCATCAACGAAATATTAAAAATAATGGGATATATGTATGTGAGTGATATAGCTGACGATAATTGATGCTACAAATTCACACCCTAGTCAAACTGTACTAGTGCTACCAAAGAATTTGCTACCAAATCCAACTTTAGGTGTGTTAAGTTCCGGACTTTTGCTCGAGGAATTGCTTTTACATCGAATATAAAAGATGAAACATAATAATTTAGTTTGTTTACAGTAGTGAGACTGTCGTACCTTGGAGATATACAATGTGAAAACATTCTCGGAGGTTTGGCCAAGAATGCGGCGAGGGAGAAAATAAGGAGAAAACCTCAAGATGCGTAGATGAATTTCATGAAGTGGGGGGTGTTTAAAGGATGCTTCAAAAGTGAACGAGTAGAAATTCTGGTCAAAGAAAGGATATTAAGTCTTGCAGAGTAACGAAAGCACCGGTGTGACGTGAACAATGTTTACTTAGATGATTGAATGAAAGAAATTTAAGGGTAAAGTACGCCAGTGACTACTTAGTATTGAAGCTCTCAGAATTGCACTATACCGCAAGAGGGATAACATAGAAAAGCCCAACACTTGGACAGTTGTAACTCTGATGACATAAATTGAAGGCGAAAATGGAAATTGATCGACAGTTGATACTAGAACTGGAAAAGAAGCAAATCTACTCTAAAGATAAGAAGGCCGTCGTGTCACTATTGACATCTAAGGAGCGTTAAAGATGTTATTATTATGCAAAACAAATCGAAGACGAGATCTAAACATTTGTAATGAAAAAGTCGAATAGATTAAGCATTCGCGTGAGCTATGAGAATCGCATGTTGTAGGGACACTTATATCGAGGTCTGGATTGCTTTTACATTAGAAGACAAGCTATGATAAATTTAAATCATGATTCTTCATTTTCATCACAAGAAGGCCCAGACAGGAAAAAAAACTACACAGACGGGAAGTGATACTTTTTAATTAATGTCTCTAAAAGTTTTAATTTTTTAATGTACAACATTAAGGTTCACTAATTGAGACTTAGCCAGAGCCATGTTTAAGACCTCAGAAACCCCTTCATTCTACATATTCGATTTTTTTTGCATTCTTCATAATGTCGACCCTAAATGGAATGAGCAGTGAAATTCTAAAATAGAAGCTTACGGCTAAAACTGGCTTTCGTAAATATCATTTCGTCATTCTCATTTGATATTTACGAAGTCACTCTTTTGTGACTACAAGTGGCAATTAGATTGAATCACGATGTCTAAGGCATTCATTTTCCAAATTTGATAACCACGATCATATCAAGGAAACAGAAGCTGGCAAGCACATTCATGGCAGTTAATCAGCAGTAGGGGTCCTATTAGCATTTTAGATGGAATTGAAGGCCATATTGTTTAATATCGCTCCTAATTGAGTCTCCTAATCATGATCGATCCAACGGAACTTTTATTTCCCTTTTGACAAATTTCGAATTAACAGTTAAACTATTTGAATTTTGCGTCCAAATTTTTCTTTTAAACTTTATAGATGTATGCTGCCAAAACCTTGCTTTTCTTGTTGTCAAATTGTTCATTTTTTTTCTTTGGCTTAAAGATAGTTTTAGTCGCTTCTGATACATTTGAAATACCATAGGTAAAAATGTTCTTTAGTTAAATTCTGAACTACAATCATAACCTATTTTACGATTACTGAGTCCTTATCTTGGTAAAACAGTTGTGTTTGTACAAAGTGTTAAACTTAGTAGTTTGAAATCTGAGAGAGGCACCTATGGCTATAACTTTGTTATGATGGAAAAGGCATGCTTATCGAATTTAGCTCAACCGAAATGCAAACATTGATATGTTTTATTTTAACTTGAGTTTACAATAGTTCGCGCGAATGCTTAATTTATACGACTTTTTTCACTACAAATGTTTAGATCTCGTCTTCGATTTGTTTTGCATAATAATAACATCTTTAACGCTCCTTAGATGTCAATAGTGACACGACGGCCTTCTTATCTTTAGAGTAGATTTGCTTCTTTTCCAGTTCTAGTATCAACTGTCGATCAATTTCCATTTTCGCCTTCAATTTATGTCATCAGAGTTACAACTGTCCAAGTGTTGGGCTTTTCTATGTTATCCCTCTTGCGGTATAGTGCAATTCTGAGAGCTTCAATACTAAGTAGTCACTGGCGTACTTTACCCTTAAATTTCTTTCATTCAATCATCTAAGTAAACATTGTTCACGTCACACCGGTGCTTTCGTTACTCTGCAAGACTTAATATCCTTTCTTTGACCAGAATTTCTACTCGTTCACTTTTGAAGCATCCTTTAAACACCCCCCACTTCATGAAATTCATCTACGCATCTTGAGGTTTTCTCCTTATTTTCTCCCTCGCCGCATTCTTGGCCAAACCTCCGAGAATGTTTTCACATTGTATATCTCCAAGGTACGACAGTCTCACTACTGTAAACAAACTAAATTATTATGTTTCATCTTTTATATTCGATGTAAAAGCAATTCCTCGAGCAAAAGTCCGGAACTTAACACACCTAAAGTTGGATTTGGTAGCAAATTCTTTGGTAGCACTAGTACAGTTTGACTAGGGTGTGAATTTGTAGCATCAATTATCGTCAGCTATATCACTCACATACATATATCCCATTATTTTTAATATTTCGTTGATGATGCCTGTGAACAATATCTTTCATTGCAGAATGAGCAGTTAAGCAAATCTTGTGAGTTTCAGACTAGTGGCTAAAGATTGGCTTGTAAAGCAAAGAAGCAGAAAAGATGGAAGTATTTTCAATACTTCAAAGTATTAAGGCGTGAATGTTGTTCGTTCAGGAGAAATGCATTGTCTAAAATGCTGTTAAAGCGTGAGTTAGGTGTTTACACGACTCAAACTAGTAGCAGTATTTGGGTATAATTAGACCATGCACTTGAGTCACATTCCAGCTCACATGGTTCATTACCATTGCTTGATTTACATTTCTTTTTGGCATACAGAATTTTTCCTGATTTCATTTTACATATAAGGACCGAATGGCTTCTTCTTCCTGTGGAATTTCTTTGTTAACCGGCAAGATGAAATTAGAAGCATTGATGGAGCGCGTTTGCGGCCCTTTGTCCTTTTCTAGAGCAGTCATTAAATCATGTATAGTGCTAAGAAGTTCTAAATCACATTATCAACCGCTGATCCTGCAAACTGAGATGAACAAGAGAATATATACTAATACACAAAGAAATTTATAATCAAAACAAAGAGACGAAATTAGAAGGAAAGAGAGTTTTTCCAGGGAGGCATCGAGCCTCATCAGTAAGCTGTCCGGTCCACCACCCGTCTTCGGGTGTCTTTGTAACAGCAATCACGTCGCCTGCCTTGAAATCAAACTCTTCGGTCGTCTGTGCTGCATAGTCGTACAGTGCTTTGACATGGAAGAGGATAGGTTCCTTGCTAGGACTGGCAAGCGGCGAAGGTGAGTGTTGTCTATACATTGATGTATTTGTGGCGCTGTGTATTTGTGGCGTGTGAGAGAGTTGCTGCGTTTGAATTTGTGGAATAAAAGGTGTTTGCTGGTTTTGCTGGTGTTGATGTGGCCCCGGTGTTCCATTGTATATAGGCGTTGGAGATGGGGAGGGTGCTCGATGTTGCTGTTGGGCATTCATAATTGGGCCACTCGGAGCAGGGGTAGGCGCTGGTGCCGGCGTACTGCTTGGTGGGTATGGGTTGTATCCAGGTCCTGGTGTCGTCGTCATAACGTATGGTTGTTGTTGTGGCTGTCCATATGGATAATACTGGTATGGCTGATAAGGATGCTGTGGTTGTTGTTGCTGGCCTTGACCTTGGCCTTGCTGAGCCTGTTGAGCCATCATCATTTGGTACTGATAGTATGCCTGAGCCTGATGCTGCTGTTGCATCTGCATCTGCTGCTGTTGATTGGCGAGTGTGTTAGCAGGTGCAGGAGTAGCAGATGGTGCAGGTGCAAGCGCTGGTGAAACAGAACGTCTCTTCCTGTACTCCTCCGCTTTTTGATCGTGTGCTACCTCTCCAGATGCATTTAAACTTATACCTAGGGGGGTTGCGGCACGGACCGGTGATGCATTGCTGACAGCTGGAGAAGGCTGTCTGCTACCGTAACTAGCACCAAAACCACCGCCAGCGCCAATACCTGCAAAGCCTTCTCTTGATGGTGATCTACCCGTCGATGAGGGAGGTCTGGAGATGTGCTGTTGAGTTTGCTGAGTCTGATCCAAACGCGAATTTCGATGACTTCTTTCGTGGGGCAGCTGTTGATGGTACGTTGTCATCACGTCTTCAACGGGTCCGCCCGCATTAGATTGGCTCGACGTTGGACGCTGCATCATGGCAGGGAAAGGAGGGGTGGTGTGAGGTGCATACTTATGTTGAATTTGAAGTGCCTGGATTTGTGAGGCGTCCATCCCTTGATAGATTGGATTCTGAGGGTTGAATGGAGGTCGTTGAGGCTGTTGCTGAGTTTTAGTAGGAGATACCTGTTGTCCCGCCGGCGCTCCTACCTGTGGACCAGGTGATACAGCTGAATGCTGTGATACAGGTCGTGAACGTGGCTTCTTCTCCGCCTGTGCTGCGACATTGGCGCGAAGGTTACCCGTTGCTGGAGGAGCGTTTCTAAGTTGAGCAAGAGCGGCGGCAAGTTCATCCACATCCCCTGATTCTTTTTTTGTTTCAACTTTGTCCTCCTTTTCCGGTCTAGGTGGAGCTTCGTCAAACTTTGGAGCTGTTTGAGGCGCGGAAGCAGTATCAAATGAAGGTGGTTCGACTTTAGTCGGAGGTGGTCGATCGATATTACGAGCAGGAAGTTGAGGTACTTTGAAAGGTGCGTTTTCATCATGAGAAGACTCTTTTGGTTGAGACTTTTGAAGTTTGGGTTCCTCTTGAACGACTTGCTTCTTTGGAGATGATGGAGGTGGATGATCGAGAACCTCATGCTTAGGTGGTTGATTGTGAGATTGTAATGGGCGGTGTGAGTCCCTAGGCATATCGAGCGGACGAATGCTGTTCCTATGGAAGGTAGCGTACCTAGGAGCGGGTGATGGAACTTGAGTTTCACGTGAGAAATCAATAAAAGTAGGTTGGTCTGTATGTTTGTGAGCAAGTATTCTGTTTGTACTAGAACATAACTGACTTGGAAGAATGTTGCCAGTCATACTCTCATCAACAAAGAATTCAACATCCAGCTCGGGGTCAACTTGTTCAAGAGATTGTCTAAGTTTCTCGCACGACTAACGGACGTCAGTTAGAATGTAAACCAACGAAATAAACTCACTTCATCGTCTGCAACACACACGGTTGAAACTTCATTAGCGTATGACCACATATTTGACTTTAAGAATTCTATCCTCTCTTCTTCTTCATCCTGGCATAGATCGCAAAACATACGCCAGTCAGCTTCCCAACGCTTACGAGTATCAGAAAGGGCTTTAACAAAGTTTTGATAGTCACGCTCATTAGCGCCAACAACACTTTTAGCTTTCTCGAGTTTAACGTCAACTCTATCAAGGTCTTTGCCTTGTAAGAGAGACTTTTGTGCGGTGAAAGTGTTGATAGAAACGCAATTGTCAGTATATTTAGCTTTAGCCTGAGGAAAAAATGAGTTGATTGCATAAAAGAGGAAACAAGACGGACCTTATCAACATAACTTTCTTGAGTTTGGAGAACTTTGTACTTCTTTTCAATAGTCGCAAGGGAGCTCTTCTTTAAATTGGATAAACGAATAGACCATTCATTCGTTGGTCTCTCCAAGTCCCTATGGATAGTTTGACAAAGATTGAAATGATTCTGTGATGTTTGCTCGAGTTCCGTACTGAGAGTATCGAGGCTATCTCTAACTGCTCCAGTTTCACCAGTTCCAACCAAAAATCGCGATAATTTTGCCATTTTTCTGGCGTATTCGTCCTCAATTGCCGACCTTTCCTTCCAAAATAACTTAAGATCATCAACAGTTTTTGAAGAAGACTTTAGTTTATTTGTAAGAGTATCAAATCCATATCCGTTACTATCTACTCCCCAAAATGAGTTACAGAAGTCCTTGGTGTTGATATCGTTGGAGGTGTAGAATTGTTGTGTTGGTTGCTGCGATATATGTATATCTGGCTGCGAAGAATGCTTTTTTCTGCTTAAGAATGATTTTGCAGGTGAAGTACTCAAAATCGACATGACGGTTGATAATGAAAATAGAAAGTGATTGGACACGCGTGGATAAATTTACAAATAAAGAAATTGAATGGATTTGGAATAAAAGTTTTAATTCGTTTTACTTGATTGACGCGATTCTACGCGTTTAAACGCGTTTACTTTGTCTGAGCTAAGCGTAACTTTCCAGGTGCTTTGGGATTGTTAGCTTGGAGATATCAACCAAGGCAGTCAACTCACAGTGGTAATAGTTTGCAGCGTATTGCTTTGTTTTAAACTTTGGGGAACGTGGTTTTGAAACAAAGTAATCCCAGCCTGTTTCTTGTTAGAATGGGGGGATTATATTCATCTTACTCACCTTGCTTCTCACAAAAGTTGATGGCATCTTCCTTTGATTGGAATTTGACGTTTGTTCCTTGCATATGATCAGCTCTATAATAACTTTAGTTGAGTTCTGTGATAACCAAATCAAACTCACGATGAAGACCAGCCCATCAAAGGATGCTCCCATCTACCACCACCTTGTAAAATATCAAAATCTACTCTCCAGTGATGCGTATTGTGAGTACCAGATTGCATAGTATTCTTCGTTGGCTTATAAATTCTAACTTGGCGATGTTGAAGTGTTTCTAAGCGAATTATCAACATTCAAGTAAAATGAAAAGTCTAAAATAACCAACCTGGAGCGCCTGATATAACTTCAGCTGTCAAAACGTCCTTTGGTGGATGTGGAGTTGTTAAGCCTGATTCTCTGTGCTCTTTGATTTGTTCATCGTGCGTAGTTTTTTGTGGTACAGTTTGCTTATTTGAGTAGAGCCTTTTAAATGGCTGTAAATTTAAACTAAATTTTGATCTTTGTAATGCGGCTGAGATCATTTATGCGATGGTGGTTAAGTCGTTAGCGGGTTCGGAGAATAAAGGAATGAATTTGATTAGAAAATTGATAGCATTGACATCTTTTATAATAATAAGCTTTACTATAATATTAATACACTCAATAAAACCCTTCAAAGTCAATCTTTTATCTTCAAATTACAAGAGCTACAAGTTAGTTTCAAGTAAATTCCAATAAAAGATCTTTAACACATCTATAGAGCTGAACTAGGCCACTCAACTTGGAAATTCCTCCATAACTTGACTTTTAAATTTCCCGAGGTTTGATGGAGTTGTGAGGATGTTATTGATTTTCTAACTGGCTTATTAGAATCCAACTCCAGATCAATCTCAGAAGCTTTCCCAATTCTTTTACCTGTTTAGTGAGCTATATCCCTGCGAGGAATGTAGTCAACACTTTCAAAACATTCTACTCAAGTTTCCACCTCAGGTTGTTATATATTTGAAATTCATTGCCTCTCACTTAATATCTACACTCACAGACATCCTCAAACAAAGCTGCCTCTGATTGGTTGTGCAATATGCATAATTTAGTAAATCAAAGGCTAGAAAAGCCTCAATTTGATTGCACCACTCTATCAAATCATTTTGATTGTGATTGTGGTGTTCAATCTGAAAATGATGAAAATCTTCAATATACAATGGATAAATAGAGAACTCAGACCAAATAACAAACAATAAAACAAGCGTTCAATAAATTAAGTCAGATTGTATAATTATTAATTACTATACCTTTTATGTCCAACAAAAATCCTTATCAACTTACCCTCATGACGACGCCAAATAAAAGGAAGAATTATCCGCCAATTCCAACGCCAAACAGGGCTAGAGAATCTCAGCCTCCAACTCCTTCGCGTCGTACACCACGTGGTACGCGTATTTTACCACCAACTCGCGCTCAACAAACTCCAATTCGCGTTGAATCAAACTTCAATTCAACTTCCGATCGTGAAACTCCGCGAAACTTACTAAGAATGCTGACCAAAGGTATATCAATAACAACCAATAATATCCCTCTAACCACTTTATAGCTCCCGGTGTACCAAAACCGTCACCACCAGTCGAATTACCCGCACAAACTCAACAAACTCCAACTTCACGCCGTCAATCAACATCATTTCGTCATCCACCTCAATCTGCTCAATCCGCTCAATCCTCACACACCCCTCAGCAATCTTCTCCTAACATTCCTCCAACTGTAAGGCGATCCTCTGCATACAGAGGTATTAAGAGAACTTCTATGCCACCACCGCCAACTCCTCACTCTCTAACTGACTCCCCTGCTTCAATCGTCACTATTGAAAGTCCTGTAAGCGTCAATGAGTATTGGCAACAACACCGCCCAATCTCACGCTCACCATCAAATACCTCTGCTTTTGACGATACAGAAGCTCCTGAATTGGCTCGACGTGAACGTGCTCCAGCCGACTTCAGACTCAGTATGGTCAATAGATCTAGTTTTGGTATGGGTTTAGGCGCAGATATGAAAGATGACTCTATCCAGCTAAATAGTGGTGATAGCCTGATGGATGACCCATCTTTACATCTAGATAACACTTCAACAAGAAAGTCTGCTCAAATTGATAAAAGCAGCTTCTTCTATGGAGATGATAAAACTCTGGAAATAGGTAATGAGTCGAGCTTGGCTCAAAGACAGCCACCTGTTATGCTGGATGAGGTCGATGGTGATGACATATTGCTCGATGATAATAATGAAAATGAGTTGACTGAGCAGAGGAGCAATAGCACTCAAGATGATTTACTGACAAACAGCTCAAAGGAATCCATGAGATCCAATAGCAGAGAAGAGAGGAGATCGTCCATCGAAAGTGCACGGCTTTCGGAATCTAGACCTCATTCAACGGAATATGATAGGGATTCTACCGAAAAAAGCCTCAGTCAACACCCCTCTCAAAGCCCTCATTCCGATCAATCCTTAGAAAGGCAAAAGGTATCGCCTCAGAGCTCTCGCCCTAATGAGAGTTTATCTGACAAGAGTAACTCAAGTTTGCTCAGTAGCAGAAGTAGTAGAGGTAGTAAACGTCCTCGAGAGTCGGACGGGAGTGAAAATGCTCCTAGTGCTCGCGATAGATTCTCACTTCTCAATCAAAGTCCACAAAATAGAGACACACAGGAGAGGTCTTCAATTATAAATGAAAGTCCACACGAAAAAGATATTCAAGACAGATCTTCAATTCTGAATGAAAGCCAGCGCGAAAGAATGTCCCAAGATAGATCATCAATTTTTTATCAAAGTCCACGTGAAAGAGACACTCAGGATAGGTCTTCAGCGGCGATAGAAGATGAAAAAAACAATCAGGATAGCTCACCTGCTATTGAAGATGCACAAGATGAAGATCCCGATCAATTTGGGGAACCCAAACCAATCGAGGGTGAGGTTCCTTTCGAGAATGAGATACCAGCCGATAATGAAAGCGATCGTGGAAGGGGTGATCAGGACAGATCATCAGTCATGAATCCTGGCGAGCAGCCAGAAGGCGAGGATATAGCCGAAGAGGAGCCTGTAGAAGACCTGGTCGATATGCTACCTACGAACGACATGATTGATGCTGAGGTGGCTGAGGGCGGAGAAGAAGCAGACGATGCATGGGAGGAAGACGAAGTTATGCAGCCGGGCGAAGATCTACCAAAAGATGACTGGAATTTAGCCGAGCCAGAAGCCCAAGTTGAAGCTGATGATAATAATGTCGAGAAGCGTGGTAACGTTGCCGACGACTCTATGGCTATAAGGCCACGCTCCAAATCTGTGGACGATGAAGCTGAAGCTGACGAAGAAGATCTAATTCTTGACCCGCTCTTACGCAAGCAAAAGGAGGATGAGAATGAGGAAAACGGCGAAGATCCTGACGTGTGGGTCACTCACACCCCCGTACTTTTCTGACTAACAACACACAGCACAATCACACAATCCAATTTTAAGGGACAAAGAAACACCGGTAAATCACGCAGCACAAACGCCAAGGCCAGGGGCGTCAGAAGGCGTTTACCTAACATCACACAAACGCTGATAAAGAAACACTTTGAAAGGTTCATGAATCAGAATCGTTCAGGCCCAAAGCTAGCAATTGAGAAGGGAACGGAGGAGGTGTTGATGGAGCGGTGCATGGAGTATATCGAGGCGTTGACGGATGGAGCTGAGCAGATGGGACGTCCGAATCGCATCACTGAGGGTGATATGATGCAAGTAATGAAATTACATGGATTCATCTCTGATAAACAGCCAGTCCAAACGGTTGCACGACGCATTCTGTCTACAGAAATGTCAATTGAATACGACAATTGGGCAATGGAGTGGAGCAGTAGTCTGCGCTATCAGGACAAAGAGGCGCCAGCGAAGAAGGGTAAAGGGGGTGCTAAACAGGGTAAGAAGTCAAAAAAATTAAAGCGTAGAGCCGAATATGCTGAAGAAGTGGCGGAGGAAGATGGCAATGCAGAATCCGGTGAATAGAAAGGCATACTGAGCACTATCACCAATACTTATTACTGAGATGTACAATTAGCGTGTATTTATATTATTTATATCGCTCTGAATGTATGTATCTATCAATAGAAAGGATATCATGTGTGTTTGGTGTTTGTGTTCTAGTATCAACCTCTCAACAAACCATCCAACTGCTTCTGCATCTTCTCTAACTCTTCATCATTCGCCTGCTCGCTTTCGTTTTCAATCTCCTTTGAGTTTGATTAGTATTGTGAATCTTCCAGCATAGGAAAACACTTACAGGCAATGGCTTATCAGTTACTGAGCCGACTTGTGAGAGTTTTCCACCGGTGATCTCAGTCAAAACCTTATCGACTTCTTCATCCGCCTCCTCTTCGACGCCATCCTCATCATTAGCTTCCATAGTATCCTGCAGCATCTCATCCATAATACCTGCCTGAATAATGTTAGCCAAGTAACAGGTAATATATCTACGCACCTTCATCATTTCCTCAGACATCTGGCTCATTGTGCTGGATAATTGTGGTAGCTTAATGAGATTTGAGGACAGTTTCATGACTTCTGTGCTCTTTTGAAGGCTGCCAGTAACTTTAATCGTCGAAAGCTGCGACGATAGCTGCATGGATATCGAATTAAGTTGTACTTTGCTTGAGAGAAGGCGCTCTTTCTGCTTATTAGATCTAACTATCTCGACTGCTAATATACGACATGATTTTGTGTCATTCCGTTTAGCAACCTGCTTAAGAGATGATTTGGTACGAGAAATGGCTTGATCGAGCTGGCGAATTTCGCGATCAAGTCCACGCTGCTCTCTTCGGAGATTTGACTGCCATTTACGCACTCTCTCTTCAGGTGAAAGTCCGAAAATGAAAGTGTTTATCGATTTGAGCATGATCGTTGGCGATAAGGGGCAGTGTGGGGTGATTTTGGATTGGAGAAAGGGTCTATTTGATGGCATAACTGGAATTGTTTATCCAATTACTCATTTTGAATCCATTTTACACGCTTTATACGCGTTATTACCCTCTCAATCCAATACCACCAGCAATATGAGTAAAAGCGCGATAAGAGTGAGATTTTGGTAGCTAAAATACTTGACACCAACGAATTACCTACACAGCAATGGAATCGCCTAATTCGTTTCACCGCTAAAGAAGACGGTCGTATTTACATCGGCGAGCCACTACTCTCAAATATCGATGGTGGGTTTTTAGCAGTTAAATTTTCACCCACCAATATCACTCCATATCAATTCAGTTGGCACAGAATCTCACATCCAGGCAGAAACTCTCGATACACGATCCGCTCTCACCGCCACCCGACACACAGGCGAAGTTAAGACAGTCTCACAACTGTTATCACCAATAGCTTCAAATGAGGTTGTGACATCACGCTTTCTCGGCCTGAGTAGGTAGCCAATCCTCATCACTTTTCATTCATAACTATATTTCAGATTATAGAGACCATGCGGTGTGTATGACATACTGGCGACCATTCCACTAAATCCGCATACAGGAAGAGTGTGGTATGCAGCTCCCTAAAGCCCCAATCTTATTCTACAAACCCTCAACGGCGCTGAGTGGTCCAAATGACGTTATCCCTATTCCACGCGTCTCGCAGCCGTCTTCCAAGTTCAAAGTGGACTACGAAGCCGAGTTTGTTGCGGTGATTGGCACACCAGCTAAGAATGTCACTGTTGGTGACGCTCTCAATCATGTGCTAGGTTACAGTCTGGGAAATGATGTTAGTGTACGCAGACACCAGGGCGCTACTAGTCAATGGGGATTCAGTAAGTCCTTTGACGGGAGTGCTCCATGGGGTCCATGTCTCGTTAGTGCACAAAGCATAGATGCAGATAATGTGCACCTAGGTGCGAGAGTTAATGGTAATGTGTTACAAAATGGCTCAACTAGGTACGTTTACAGTGAATGTATCAACATATCAAACTCACTAGCATTCCCTTAGCAAGCAAATTTTCTCCCTCGCTGAGACAATTGCATTCCTCTCTCAGGGCACCACCCTCGAGCCCGGCTCGCTCCTTTGGACAGGCACCCCGGCAGGTGTTGGCTTCTCACGCACACCACCTATCACGCTCAACGAGGACGACACAGTCGACATATTTTCCAACACGCTACGGGCTACGCTAACCAATTCGATTAAAAACGATTAAAAGGATAATAATACATATGATAATTTACAAATACTCGGGAGATTGTTCGTATATATGTGTTCGTGAAGGCGTCGGTCTCTTCTGTGCTGATGAACCGACTACCAATTTGAGCAAATCGTCTAGTTGAGGTTTGGGTAGATGTGAATGTCCGCAGCCATTATCATTATGAGTAAACTGCTGTTGAGCACTAGATATAGCGGCAGACTGAAAGAATTTTCTCTTCTGTCGCTGTAGGTTTTGTGTACGATTACGGCCATTAAGTCTATTTGATCTGTTCTTGTAAGCAGACTGATAGTCATCCTCCTCCATTTCAGGCTCTTCATACACCTGATTAATCTGATTAGCGGCTTTGGAGATCTTTTCATCTAATTCGTCGTCCGAATGATCACTGTAAGTCCATGGATCTGAAGGTACCTCACGCATCTGGACTGATGGTGCAAAGGGAAGGTGATTGAGATGATCGAAAACTTTTTGCTGTATGTCGTCAAGGTATTCCCGAGTATTGTGGTTCTCCATATTAGTTTCTGGAACTTCAAGTTTATAACGTGGGCCGTAATAGTCGAGATAATCGTTGAAGGGCAAATCTTCTTCTAATTGTTTGTCTACTAGCAAACCAGTTTCGTAAGTCCACGTCCTGCTCACATTCCTAACAGCATAACCACCACCACCGAGTACTATCATTGGAAGGTCAAACTTCTTAACAAAGTCGACACATTCAGCGTGACCTTTCATACTAAGATTGAAGACACCTAATTTATCGCCAGCTAAAGAATCAGCACCACATTGCAAGACAACAGCACCAGGTCTGTAATATTCCATAATACGTTGAATGGTGGGTTTGAAAACGGACTGATAAGAGTCATCGTCTATGCCGTCCCTTAGAGGGAAGTTGATGGAGTAATTTTTACCGTTATGAATACCAGTATCATCAGTTGATCCGGTGCCAGGGAAGTAGTCAGGGTATTTGTGGAAAGAGCAAGTGAGTACGCGATCAGTTGTATAAAAAGCTTCTTCAACGCCATCACCGTGGTGGATATCGATGTCAATGTAGAGAACGCGTTGATGATAGCGAAGGAGTTCAATGATAGAGAGGACGATATCATTAACGTAGCAGAAACCCGAAGCTTCTCTCTTCTTAGCGTGATGAAGACCACCTGCCCAATTGACAGCGATGTCAGATTCACCGGAAGTGAGTCTATTTGCGGCGGCTTTAAAGGGAAATAAGCTTAGAAAGAGGATATAAGAGTAAATAAGCACTAACCAATGCTACCGCCTGCAGAAATCGAGCAAAATTCGAACAAACCTTCAAAAGAAGGGCAATCTTCACCTGCGAGGACTAAAAAGAGTGAACAGGAGTATAATAGGGGCGTATAGACCAACAGATTTCATGATTCCTAGTTAAATCTGTTGCAGTCTCTGGAGTGACATGATGAAGGAAGTCAATGTACTCGTCGGTGTGGAATCGAGTCATTTCTTCAGGAGATGCGCGCGGAGGTTTTAATAAAGACATTTTACTATCTAAATTGTAATTCAAGATGAGATTATGTACCATTCTCATCCTATGAGGTTTCATTGGGTGACCAAAACCGTAAGAGTAGTTGCCGACGTCGGCTGTGAGGGGATTAGAATGTATCGTAAAGCCCAGATTATTAAACCCACGATCGTAAAAGTAAGCAACTTTAGAATTCAATTTTCTTTCTTTATCTGCCATGGGTGAATTGAACTGAGCTCCTTGAACCGCAACAACACCCAACAAATGGAATTTAAATTACCGAAATTATCTTCAAATGAAAACTTTGGTCCTCCAGTTAACAATAAATCCAACAGATTCAATGAAATTCCTTTCTCCCCGTACTCAAAATTTGATAAAATAACTCAAATCGCTGATTTTAACTTGGATTTGAAGGATGATCAATCAAAGCAGTCTAATAAGCAATTGAAACCTTTACAGAAATCTATATATGGCTCTGGTTCTGCCACCGCTTTCGGTTACATTCATGGCGAAGACGAGGCGTCTTTCAGCTTGGTTGATAACAAAACCTCTGCAAAGAGAACTGTCGCTTTGGGTAAACGTCAACAATCTCGTACTCAACCTTCTAGACCTACTCCTACCCGTACAAACACTAACCAACGCCAACAACAACAACAACAAACTCAACAAAAGCAACAACCACGCACTCACAGAAAGATGGGCTGGAAAGACTGGGATAAACCGAACAGAATACGTGACGCATCCGTTCAAGTTGAACCTGAATGGCAAAATATCGCTGAAATTGACTTCCCTAGGCTCAACAAACTCAATTTGGATGTCAATGAAGGTGAAGATGTTGAATCTTTCGGTCAATTATATCCTTATGATAGATCTTTCGATAGAATCAATACTAAAAATGAGAAACCTCTCGAAATTAAAGACCGTACACGCTACAATCCCTCTACTTCTGTCGACCCCGTCATAAAGAAACTCGCTCAACAAGATAAAGCTCAAGTTTTCGCAACTGATTGCGTCTTGTCTGTACTCATGACTTCTGCTAGATCTGTTTATCCATGGGATTTGGTCGTTGTGCGCAAGGGTAACCAAATCTTCCTCGACAAACGTGAAGGTGGTCCTTTCGATTTCGCTTCTGTCAACGAAAACGCAGCTGACCCCCCAATGGAAAATGATAAGGAGACGCTCAACACCCCCGCCAGTCTCTCTTTCGAAGCTACCTATGTTAACCACAATTACACAACTCAAGTAACCAATGAGGAAGGCAAACCAAAGCCTGTCGGCGAATCTAATCCCTTCCACTCCGGTGATGAGCCTGATCCACTTGCTAAGAATGTTTACAAGTACAGAAAATTCAATCTCGCTATCGACGATTCTGAAAAGATGGACTTGATAGTTAGGACAGAGCTAGATGCGTACGTTCCTAATCTCAAGAAGAAGGATCCAACTCCAACTCCACAAATTACCATTCGCGCTCTCAACGAATTTGATCACAAAGCTCAAGGCTCAGGTGGTGCACTCGACTGGAGAACTAAGCTCGACTCACAACGAGGTGCTGTTGTCGCTACTGAGCTCAAAAATAACTCTGCCAAGCTCGCTAGATGGGCTGTTCAATCTATTCTCGCTGGCGCTGACCAGATGAAGTTCGGTTTCATCAGCAGAGCTAACCCTAGAGATGAATCGAAGCATGTCATCGTAGGTGTGCAGTCTTATAAGCCAAAGGATTTGGCATCACAACTCCATATTACACTCAGCAATGGTTTCGGCATCGTTCGCACTATTGTTGATCTCGTCAAGAACCAGCCTGAAGGTAAATACATTCTCATCAAGGATCCAAACAGAGTGAGTAGCAGCTTGAGACGGATGACCGTTTTTTTTTTTTTTAACAACACATAGTCCATCATTCGCCTTTACTCTGTCCCAGCTGACTTTGGCGAAACTGACCAAGATGCTCAAGAGAAGCAAGGCGATTTTAATGCCAATTAAAACACATAATTAAACGTATTAGTTAAATGCATCAAATTAGTTAGTTAACAGACTCCTTAGTGTAGATAGGTGTGCTCAAGTGAAGAAAAAAAGTGTGGGTAATTATGTGCAACTTACGTTATTCTCCACCCATCGCCTTTTCTACGCTTATCAAGACCGCCAAACTCTTCTTTGATGACAAGCCACTAGGATTAAGTTAGTAAAGTTGTTGAACAGCTAAAGACGCCTACGCACCAAACCAGTACATGAAAGGATATCTTTGAGGTCTTCTGGAGACAGGTTGATGTTGGTATTTGGTAATTGTACACTTGGGAGCGGAAATGGTACTTTTAGCTGTCCCACTATCCTTGGATGATGAGGTGCCGGGTGGATAGTACCTAAATGAACCCTCTCAAAGTGTTTGGACAGCGCGTAGAATTTCCACGGCGTCTCATCGTCCTCTCTATCTATATCGGTGTCAATTGTTGAATTAGGTTTCGAATTAGGCTTTGAATTTGGTCTCGATGACTGAGAATGACTAATGGATGATCTTCTCGAATTGTCACCGGAAGTTGGGGTACTGTCGGTCTTTTTCTGCCACAAAAACCGTAGGGCATCATCCTCTATGATTTCATCATTGCCTTTCATGACGCGTTTGACATTCCATGTGTACTCCTCTTGATTCGGAGTTTTATCCAAAGCGCTACCCTTGTCTTTAGTTAACTTGAACAAGTTATCGAGGGAGAACTTTTTGGTAGAAGTAGTAGACAAAGTGTCATCAAGGACGCCCTCAGTTTCCAAATTAATGAGATTTTGAATATCGAGACCGCGTTTAGTGAACCTAGCGATACGGGCGTCAGTGCCTGCATCAGTGATGGCAGTAGTGAGAACGTTGTGGTATTGTAGATTGTACAATGGGATTAATTTTCTGCCACCGGAAGTTATCTGTGAGGTTGTGCTGTGAAGGCTTAGATTTGAGACCTGACCAAGGGAATGGTCCGAGTGTATGGAAGATGATCTAGATAGATCGCCATCGGATGCAGTTGACTGTCGATTAGACTTTGGAGTAACGAGCTGTATTTGGAGGTTCATTGGGTTGTTGGATATGTGTGGAGGTGGTCTGACAATCACAAGAAGTTCAGGAGCGTATTTCTTCCTTCTAGTTTTATTGGGTGATGCACTATCAGCAACATCATTCTCGCCTTTGTCGCCACGGCTGCCGCTCTTAACGGAACTTGGTGCATGATTCTGGGATAGTGAGTGACTGGATCTGTCCTCATTCTCCCCAGGTCCCGTTATTGGCGCATTTACGAGTGATTGCGAGATATCTTTCAAGTTCTTTATAAAGTCCATCGCTTTATTTATATCTCGACGTTCGTGCGAAAAGCCAAGCGAGTCTCTTCATATTCAGCTAATTATATCATCATACGATATTTATACAAAATTTATATTTTCAATTCTAGCGGTGTATTTGACGCAATTGAGTTATTAACATGGTGTATATCTTCTTCCTTGTCTTCGCGTGCCATACTACGCGTCACTCTGCGCTTGTCTGACTTGTTCTGCTTCTTCTGCGCCTTTTTTTCTCTTCTGTTGGTTTTTTTCACCGTCTGATCCCCCTTATCCTCCCCACTACTCTCTTCCAGCTCTCGCTTCGGTGACTTTGACGCCTTGTCGGTCTCAATCTCGGCGGCCTTACTTGACCGGTCGCCGAGGTGATCAATAGTCACTTCTCTGTACTCAAGTATGTACTCCACGGCATTTTCCCAGTTATTATCAAAGTCTGCGAGTATTTCCACTATACGCTCTTCCTGTGCTATAGCTTGTAGATCAGCGGGGATACATCGCATTACTTGATTCATGACATCTTGATTTTGGTCATTATGGTAATTAGAGACATTTTCAGTCACTCCTATTTGCTATATACAATTTCAGCGCATCCAAATAAAGGGAAATCCTAAACCCACCTCTTGTACCATAGGAGGACCTTTATGAGGACCTTTCTTGTTCCTCACGGATGAGTAATGCTCCCAATTGTGATAGGCTACGTAGAGATTAGGCGGTAATGTGTTATCTGCAGTTACGACATAAATTAAATTGGGTTGTATAACCTTAATTGAGTGTCTTGTTATATTAGCTAGCGCAGAAAGCTCTAAATGGCCACCATATGTTGTTGGGTCCCGCATATTATCCACGTGTTGACTATACGTTTGATCATCCTCAATGAAACCTGCGTACAAATCCTCGTTCTCTTCAAGGTAATTACAAGTGCTATTTCTCAGCTCCAAGTGAAATTTGTTGTCGCCGTACATTTGATCAGAAATGGCGTGGAACATACAGCTACCATCTGTCGGGGTATCAACAGTGTACAAGCCCATACTGTCAACTTGAGTCTTAAGATCGCGCTCGTAATCCTTGGTATCATCAATGACGTTATTCGTTCTTCTACCAGACTTGCGTGCGTTGCGTGGGTTACCCATGAATGTTGAAGAAAGAAGTTTATCAATCAATTACAAGTCAAAATCATCTTCATCGTCAATAACTTGCTTCCTGTTAAACTGCACGATTCTTTAACGCTGCTTAAAATCGCTAAATTCTCACTTACCGTTATTTTGGATGCAGAGGCTGATGGCACAACAGAAGAAACTTGATCGAGTAGCCCAACGAGCTGCTGCTCAGTCACTTGCGATCTAATCTGTCCTGATTTTGCCATTTTAATCAGCATATCCTTTATTCTCTCGCTGTGTTCTGGTTTTACAAGTGCGATTCTCGATACTTGTAGGCCTTGTGAGGTAATTTAATAATTATTACGTAGATACTCACATCTTTCCCTTCTATTTACGCGCTTCTTTAGCCAAATTGTAAACTCATACATCCACTCACGCTTGCGGTTCAAGAATCCTTGCCAAATCCATGTGCTTGGCTTCATCATTGGCGGATGCTGCCTCTGGATCTTTTCCACCAGAGCCTCCACCACCTTGCTGCTTGAGCTGCTGGAGCCTCGACTGTCTAATAGCTTCTAGCTCTTGATCACCCATCACCGTACTTTACAAGAGAATGGACATCGATAAGAAGGCGCGTCTATTGTTTTTCTAGTAATTTAATCTAACACCGCTTATTAGAATCTTGTCGGACCGCGCCTTATTAGAACTTTCGTCAGGACCTCTCAGCCGTACGACGCATACTCTTTTGATAAAGGTGTACCGCCGAAGGACGAATATGATGTGAGTTTGGTGTACTTGAGGCTGACATTATTAACTCATATCATTCAGATATTGGCTACGTTAGTCACTCAAAACTCAAAAGAAGACACCTCTTACACTCACAAAACAGCCGCGATACCACCATCAGAGAGCTCATTCTTCTTCTTCAGCACTCTCTACCAGAGCACCAACGCAATCCTCGAGCAATATACGGTCTCGTAAGCTTCCTTTTATCACAAATCAAACATCGCTGACAATGCACTTACAGAGGTGTATTTACGTCGATATGAAATCCATGTTTCATAGAGAAAGGGATTTAGGCCGTTTCAGTCTCTGTGTGAAGAACTATAGCGACAAATATGACGACGCCGATACACTCGAAGATGCACGCATCTTCCCAGGTGATTATCTCTCTGTACACCTCCATTTGCCAGGTCAAGCTCAACGCAGACCGCCTCCTCCGCCTAATAGCGGATCTTTAACTGCTGGTCACAGTGGTGGTTATGGTGGACAATCTATGTGGGTGTCAAACCAAATACCAGCTTTTCTGACTTTATTCTTAGGCGTAGACCTTTAGATAATGGTTGGGCGAGTAGAAGGTAGCGTTGGATGTGTCTTACTACTCACTGCATGCCTTTTCACGCGCACCCTTTAACTCTTCACGCTTTCTAACTTATATGTATATCAATCTTACTTTGAATAATGTAATTGACATTTAAAGCATTGTTAAATTTAATAAGTACGTCTGTTTCATCACTCGACAATCTGACGAGTAGTTTCTTTCTAACCGAGAATGGCATGCTCAATGACGTGTTTGTCATAGCACTGTAATTACTGCTAACGCGAGCAATATTAACATCATTACGAAGCTATTGATTTCGCGAATTATTCGAAAGCAGGGATGTTGTAAATATCGCAGTGATGTGCTCTGTACTACTTCAGCGAAATGTGGCATGTTTCAGGAAGTGTGATTTGGTATCTAAAAATATTTATTCCCAATAAAAGTCCTTCTGCAATTCTAACGCAGCCTCAATCACCTTCACACCCCGATGTTTTGATATCTCTGAATGCACCTGGTCGAGACAAACTCCTGATTTCGGAGTTGGACTGAACCCCACTTTTCTTTGAATTAATTGCAGTGAATAATTGTGCAATGACTCAAAATTTCCAAGCCTTTTTCTTGCTGCCAACATTAAGTCCTGTGGATGCTGAGTTTCCGAAAAAAAAAAAAAAGGAAATCGCGTTTAAAGGACGGAATATATATAATATTTGAGCGGTTCCAGCCTCTTAAAGTCAGATTCGACCTTATTACATCGAGTTAGCGCGTCAGTTACTCCATAACTATCCTGTAGCGTGCTTTAGAGCGATTTCGGGTCATTGCTTCCGATCAGCGTGCAGGGCACCCATTAGGAACTCCAGAGATCTAAATATGGTAAAATCATATTCGCTCCATCCAGAGCTATCATCAAAGCTTTTTTATTTGGAGATCATCAAAAGTCGTAAAACACCGTCTGAGATGAGATTGGTGGTAGTCGAGAAATTCAACTCGGTGGTTATTGAGCGCAGGGTTAAATTGAGGATGTTTATAGAATGTTGAAGATGCTAAGAAAATGGCGGTATTGTTAAATTGCTCAAATAGTCAGTATATGGTATTTCTGCGTTTGTCTCCTCACTAAGTTAGCCATTTGCGTGGTGAAATGAGTACAATTATGTCTCCCAGCTAATAAATACTTTTTAGAGCCGCTTAAAGTAATAACTTCTTCATGATATGCGGGTGTGAGATAGAATATACAAACCAAGTCGTATCCGAGATCCATCACAATTGATATTGGTTATCAGACTATTCATTTTAACAGTACAGCAGAAATAAATCATATTAGCATCATAGTCGTTAAGAATTGTAGTAAGTAAAACTTCTCATTTTCAAACCGATCAAAGCTCTTGTTTGGCAGAGTGGGAAGCCTTAGCGACCAAGGAAGATGCAGATGACGCAGCGCTTGCAGCGGAGGAAGACGCCGCGTCAGCCGATTTACCAAGCACCTCCGCCTTTTCCTGTGCGCGTTCAGCGAGTGACTGAGCCGTGCCAGTGAGGTATGCATAAAAGTGATCGATAGAATGCAAACCGAAATCAACATAAGACATGATAGTGCCCTTGAGAGATTCACCATAGCCCTGTGTTGCTGAGTAGCGCTTTCTCACCTCACTGATAAGTTCAGTGCGTGTCTTGTTGGCTGCGTTCATGTCTGGAGAGTGTGCTCTCAACCATCCACGCAATCTGGCATCAGTCCATGCAATGTATGGTGAAGCAGCTTGCGTTAACTTGTCGTACTTTTTGTGGGCCAACTTTTCCAAATCTTCACGCTTAATTTGTACATCTGACTTGATGAGGTTGTGCTCGATAGCCCATTGACGGAGGTCGCTTGTGTGCCAAGAAGATATGACAGTGTTACGGGATGTAGTAAAGTACTTGTCGATGAGATCGAGAAGTTCTTGGCGTGTTTTCTGTTCTCTTGACATGAGGTAGCCATTGTCGATTAGCCAGCTGCGAATTTGGTTGTCAGACCAGCTGTTGTAGACATAGCTCTTTGCGTCATAGTAGTTGTCCTGTATAGGGTTAGCTGGCGAACCACTTTTGACATCCCAACAAACCTTCATCAAGTTGAGTAATTCGTCACGAGTCTGAGCCGTCTTGGACTTGATGACGCCATTGTTCTGAAGCCAGTGTCTCTGCTTGAGTGATTAGTGGGTGCTTTTTTATGCATGATGAAACTCACGATGTAATTGTCTGACCAAGCAGCGTATACAGGGTCTGTGGCAGCAGCGTAGTAATGACGCATACTTTTAAGCAGATCATCGCGTTTAACTTGAACATTAGTTCGAATAACACCCTTTCTCTCGAGGAAAGAGCGCAAGTCGTTGTCATTCCAAGTGGAGTAAATGAAGTCTTTGGAGTCATTGAGCTCGTTAAGAACGTAATCTTGAACGAAATGAATATGATCCTTAGCGTATTCCTTGCTTGAATCGTAAGCGGACGCGGCATGGGCAGTTGCTTGAGCGGATGCAGAGGAGGCAGAGGAGCGAACTTCAGTGACTCTGTGTGATATAAGCTATTGAGTGAATGACTATATAAATACGCACAATTGCTTCACTAACACGCGCAATTCTTCTACATTTGAGCTTGGAGCAACGACGCCATTTTCGAGGAGGTATTGGCGTATTTTAGACTCATCCCAACTGTGAAATTGTGTGAGCTGTGTGTTGGCTACAATATCCACGCCCACCTATCAATCGTCTCGTCTTTCAAGTCATTAAGAAGACGTTGCTGATGGTTTGCTATAGTATCCCAGCTCTTGTGCACGGATCTAAGCAAATCATCCTTATTTGCGTTATCAGGGAAACTAATTTTGTTTTCCTTGAGCCAGCCTTGAAGTTGATCAGCATTCCAATCCTTTTAATCTAATTAGCCTTGGGAATACGCGTGAGAAGGCTGCATACCTTAAGGCTGTGTGGCTTGCTATCGAACCAATTGGCTTCTACGGCAGCTGTGCTAAGTGCCAAAGAAATCACCACTGCGTTGGTCTTCATTATTGATCGTGATGGTTTTGAATCAACCCCACTAAAGACGTCATCAATGATTAAATTGTTTATTTTATATTTTACAATTCACTCAGCTAGCGCTATTTCATTAAGACGCTCTGCTTCCTCTTCCTCTAATCCTTCAATGATTTGCTCACGGCGATGTCTTTCCATGTCCATTTCCTTATATCTTGATTGAAGTTCAGCTTCACGCTGTTGCATAAACGAGACCTCCTTTTCGAGTCTATTCACACGAATTGGTGCAGCTTCACGCTCATTCAGTGCCAGTTGACCAAATGCCTCTCTTTCAATAGATCCAATCTCATTCGCATTGAAAGCGTCAAGTAATCTCTTCGATAACACATCCTTACGTGCAATATATCCACCCAATTTCACCCCAAGCTTCTTTTCCTGCTTTGCTGTCTTAATCGCGTCATTCGTTAATCTTTCCTTGATACTGTTGAATCTGGCTTCATAATATTTGACCTTCTCAACCTCACTGAGCTCATTTACACTGACAACTGCCTTCTTAGATGATGAGTAAGCGAATTCACCTGCTGGTATAGCATCAAGTTGTCCTTCAATCGATACTAAAAGACTGCGTTTGACTGCATCAGCGTTGGCACCAGGTACACCCATCCTTGCTGCAAGCTCAGTATTCACAGCCGCTTTAGCGGCTTCAACAGCTTCATCTGGAAGCTGAGTGATTTCATCAATATCTTTGGCAGGTGTAGATCCAGGGAGTGGGTAATACACTGCATCGTGAACTACCAACCTGAGATATTCATTCTCTATCATCTCATCTACTGTCTTTTCATTGAGCGTTAGCGAGCCAAGAAGCTGGGCAGCATCCACATTAATTGGACGCGGTAGACTGAGTTTGATTGCGGATGAACGTCGAGATGCTATTTTGCGCTCTTCTTCAACAATAGCAGCTGCAATACGTGCATCACGCTCTGCTGCATCCTCTTTACGCGATATAGCAACACTATCACCATCCTCGTTCACCTCATCTTCAGGCATTTCAATTTCGAAGTTGTTTTGAGGTGTGGGTAGACTCTTAAAACCCATCTTCAGCCTAGCACGTTCAGACTTTTCGCTGAATTTACGCTCAGCGGGTGTTTCGAATGCTTCAGAGATACCATCTGTGCGATTGATTGAGAGTGTATCGCGCATAGGTGTTTTGAGTGGTGTAGCTCCTGGACCAACTTGACTAGGCGTGGCTAGAGGGTTGGGAGTGAAGTTTGGTGCGTGTCGTGGAGTGGCCGAATCATAACCTGTACCACCTTTCTGCTCATGGATCGGTGTATTCTCCTCACCAAGTAAAGGTGTTTGACTTGCTGTCATGTTTCTCAAATTGCGTGCTTCACTCATCACATTATCCTCGCCTTGTTCAGTACGAGGAGTGCGCAGATTTTGTACAGGACCAAGAGCGTCGTAGTCACTGAGTAAACCTTGAGTAGAGCCTTGACCATCCTCAACAAGCTCACGAGCACTTTCACCTGCTTGACCAAGTTTGACGATATCTTCAAGTTCCTTTTCACCCACTTGAGGAGTTGGTAGGTCTAATTTACGACGAGCAGATATTTTGTCAGCTTCTTTGAGTTTGGCAATTTGAGCTTCACGAGCAGCTTGAAATTTATCATTAGATTCTTTATTAGAAGTTTTCTGCTTCTTGCGACGATCATCATCACCTTTATCTGATTTGCGTTTACCTTCAGCTTCCATTCTTGATTTACCGATGGAGGAATCGTAAGTCTTTGCGCGTTCTTCACCAACATCATAGAAACCAATAGCAGGCTGTTTCTCGAAAGGAATATCCGCGTTGTAATCAACGCCCTTTTTCTTCTCACGTATCCTTGAAATGACACCTGCAGCTTTCAATTCACGACGCTTTTGAAGAACAGCTAAACGACGAGCTTCCTCAAGTTGACGTTCACGTGCTTTACGTTTAGCTTTCTTACCTTGAGTGTTTGCAAGTCTAGCGCGAGCTTCACTAAGCATTTCCTTCTCATCTTCATCCATATCGATAGGATCAGGTTTTGCGGGTTTGGATTCTGGGTCAGTGTCTAATTCACCAGGTTTTAGTTTACGCATGTCATCACTTGGACCAGCTTCATCGCCAGGGCCAGATAAACCAAGATCAACGTTCTCTTGGCGTTCAGCTTCGTCGAGGAGTTGTTGATAGCGTTCGAGACATTGAGTGGCAGTTCTACCAACGATAGGAGCAATAGTACGCCATTGAGTGGGCATTAACTTGGCCAAGTGGAGTAACTTCTCATCCTCGAGTTTTGACCACTCAGTCTTCTTTATTGAAGGATCTAACCACTCATACCAACGAGCTTTACATTGCTTTGGTGTTTTACGAACTAAGAGAGACGATATTCTAGCCCACTGATTCTTACCATACTTGGATATAGCAGCCTTTAATATTTCATCCTCGCTGTGGGCGTTGATGGGTTAGATGGAATTACTTCAAAGGGATTTAAACACCCACGTATTCTTCCAAACACCACCTTTTACCTGGATTTATTATTAAAATTTAAATTCATTTGAATAATTCAAGCAACTCACGATTATTCTCATTGACCTGGCTGTTTGATTGGAACCATCAAATGAATTCAAACTCAAACAAAAAGTCGGATGCTTTCGATGGTCTTTTAGACTTTAATGGAAATTCTGATAAAACTTTATTCGATTTAGACGGTCAGAGAAGGCAGCAACAGCAGGGAAACCAGTTGCTAAAGGACCAGCCGCAGCAACAACCACAGCACAACCAACAGACACACGATATTAATTGGAATGGTTTGGATTTCTTGGGTGGCACTAGTACTAGTACTGGCACTAGTAGCAACACCACCACCACCACCACTAATAACAACCTCTCAAACAACCTCCTCGGTGACGATACCCTTGTCGATGGCTTTAATGACTTTAGCGTCCTTGATTCCTCTAAGTCTCTTTCAATCAACTCCCCTTCCAATAATCCTGACGATTTCGATATCCTCGGTGATCTCGCTAAGCCTGTACACAGTCACCCACCTGAGACACACTCTTTACCAAAAAAATCCTCATCTCCACCCCCTCACCTTATCGGTCAGCTCGTTGAGATGGGTTTTAGCGCTTTAGATGCCAATCACGCTCTTAAAAGCGCAAATTTTGATGTCTCAGCTGCAGCTACCATCCTTATTAGTCACTCTAATGCTAATCAACAAATTGATACACCACAAGAACCTCCTGATACCCACAAACCCAAATCTCAACCACCTAAACAAACCCAACACTCCCCTCAATTACCTCAATCTGACCAACTACTTCAACAAGCTTCCACGATCGGTAACGATCTCTTCTCTAAAGCTTCTTCTTACTGGTCTGTTGGGAAGAACATGGCTCAAAAAGCTTTAGAAGATCAACGTTTGCGCGTAAATCAGCAACAATCTGATCAAGATCGTTTAAGAAAAGCCAATGAGAAGCGGGAGTATGAAGAACGAAAAAGACGTTGGGAGGAAGGAGAGTCTAGTGGTTTCAAAGATGATGATATACCTGTACAACAGAGTTCATTTCTACCAACCAAGATGCAACAATCTCAGCAGCCCGAGCAACGTGAGCAGAGTTCTCAGCAACCGTCTAGACAGTCTTCACAACAATCTTCTGGCAGTCTACTCGATGCATTTAAACCCAAGTCCTATGTATCTCCAGCGAGACATGCCGTTCGCAGTCGCACAGGTACGCCCGTAGCAGCAGAACCAAGAACACCGACAAAACCACCGATAACATCACCTAAACCAAAAAAATCACGTGTGAATCCTCCTGTATCACAAGCAGCATTGGATCAATCAGCTGCTTTGCGCATTCAAGGGAATGAAGCATTCAAGTTAGGATCATATGCTCAAGCTGTTGAGTTGTATGAGCAAGCAGCGTCGGTTATACCTCCCAACCACATACGCTGTGCTGTAATCAATACTAATCTTGCCGCTACGCACGTGAAGAATGGTGATGGTGATGGTGGAGTTAAAGCTGCGTCAAGTGCAATTTCGATCGTAAATCAAGATTATGAACCTAGTGATGGTGTTAATGTGTTAGAAACAGTCGCCAAAGCATACAGATCTCGTGCATCTAGTTATGAAATGAACGAAAAACATACAGATGCACAAGATGATTATGAAAAGCTGATAAGCATATCAACTAAACTTGCAAGTATACAGAATCAAGCCATAGAAGGGCTTAGACGGGTTAAAGAAGCTCAACAGCCGAAGAAAAGGATGAATACACCCACCAACACCAACACCAAAAACAACACAATCAAAGCAGCTGGTGAAAAGGCCGCAAAAGCAGCACTTGAGCGTTCAAAAGCTGCATCGTTACAGGAAGCAGCGGAGGATTCAGAAAGGCATGCACTGAAAGATGGAGTTGATGCACAACTACTACAATGGAAAGCGGGTAAAGTGGATAACATACGTGCACTGCTATCATCAGTAGATACAATACTCTGGCCAGAACTCGGACTGAAGAAGTTTGGTATGCATGAGTTGGTTAGTGATGCATCTGTGAAAAAGGTTTACATGCGTACGGTGTCTAAAGTGCATCCAGACAAGGTGGGTTGAGGGTTATTGAAACGAATACAGCTAATATACTCAGATAAACACCAAAACTAGTTCATTGGAACAGCGAATGATAGCACAAGGAGTGTTCGCAACACTAAATGAAGCATACAACAAGCATCGATAAAGTAATGTACATACAAAGAATGATTAGATGTTGTGTTGAGAGATGAAAGAATCAATTTCGCTGATTTGAGAGCGTTCTTGTTGGTTGCGCGACGAGTGAGGGGTGTATTGGGAGACTTCCAAACGCGGAAGTTGAGATAGTTGGGGAATGTGAGGGAGGGAAAAGGTGTGTGAGTTGTGTATATTATTTGGGATTGTGGATTTCAGGGTGTGCTTGATTAGGTCATCGATGATAGACCGCGTTTTAGAATCGTTGATGTCTAAATTATCAACAAGAGTATTATAGGCATGTTTATTACCCTTATTATGCCTAGTAATAGTATATTTACTAATAAAAGTTAAATCCCTATTACGCTACTAGAAGACGCGACTTACATGATAGAATTGAGCTTTGCGTCTAGAATATCATCGAGAGATTTCATAGAACTTGAGGCTTATAAATTTCAAGTTCAACTAATTTTTATAAGCAACTCACCGTCGGCCCATTTTCTAACGTAACCGTCGTGTTGGTAGTATGGGACGGAAGAAGAGTGGAAATGAATTGCCTGAACAGGTTACGCTGTTTGATGATAAGAATTGCTTCAAGTTGCTATTAGAGGATACGGACTTAGATGATTGCTTACACAAGATCAATAAAAAGCTTGAATTGAGGGGTTTATTTGATATTTCACTCGTCCTCACTAGAAATGGAAAAGATATTCAACAAATTCGTAATGGTTAGTTCTGGCTTCTATTTACTTGATAATCCACTCACCCTTAACTTAGAAGACGATTTCAACGCGGCAAAGAATAATTCAAGGGGCTTTCAAAAGTTTAAATGTAGATTTGAGTTGAGTTTGAAACACCCTCAAACTCCAATTCAATCCACTTCAAACGCTGCGACGACGGCGACGACTGCAACAACAGCAAAGAAACATCTATCCACTAATCCTTCCTTCTCCTTACTTTCCTCTGACCCCACTTCCCCTATCACAAAGCAAGGAAGACGCATCGCACAACCAAGATCTGCAATCATGTCTAAATCCACAGACTCACATCCACCCATTGAAGATTACTTTGCTCTTTTTGTCAAGGAGACTATTCAAGAGTACTTTTCCCTTCAATCTCATCAAAATTCCTATCAAAATAACTTGAAATCCATCTCAGACATTCCTCAACTCAGTGCTATGCGCTCTACAATTATCTATAACAGCGACGATAGCGATGATAAAGGTAAGAGACAAGTCACCACTCCTTCTGACGTCGATCAGTTACAATCTTCACCTCCTAAGATATACTCTAACAGCCAGCCACCAACTCTAGAAGGCTTAAATGAGCAATCTGATGAAGAAACTCAAACTGATCAAGATGCTTTCAAGCAATTTGATGCAGGTTACAGTTCTCCTATTGAACAATTTGATCAGGACCATGAATCTCTACCTCCCTCCCAAATTCCTCCATCTGCTCAGCCACATCCCTCAAACCAAGTTGATGATTCAAGTGAACAGCAAGAGCAGTATGAAAATTCTGAGAAGCAATCTAACGAGGATGAGGATCACCCTGTAGATAAGTCACAACAACCAACTGAAACACCACATAAACAAGAAAATTCTCATCAAGAGCATGGGATGGAACAAGACACTAAACAAGAGTCCCAAACACAACCACAGTCACAACCACAGTCACAGCCACAGTCACAGCCACAGCCGTTACTACAACCACAGCAACAACAACAACAACCTCAACCAAATTCAGAAGAAGTGGCAAGAGAAGAACCTTCTGAAATACAGCTATCCTTACCATCCACTCAAACGACTAAGCCAACTTTCTCACAATCACCGCAATCATCTCCCTTTAAACACCCATCGTTACCACACGAGAGGCAAGTTCAAGACGAAGAGCTCGACCTATCTAAGCTATTCGGTAGCTCAACCCAAGTACCCAAACAACCTCGTCGCAGTATCCAAGCAGTACTTGGTGACGAAAAGGACGATGAAGCAACAGAAAAGTTGATTGATGGTGCAAAAGACGATGACGAAGTAATGACCGACTATGAGAGTGATGACACCCAAGACCGCGAAAGAGAGAAGACAAAGTTGAATAAATCAACAAATGCAAATAAACGTGGCTCGTCTGAAGAGAACAATGACAATTTTGACGATATCTATCAAGATGAAGATGAAGGCCAAGGTGAAGGTGAAGTTAACGAGGATAATCAACGGGAGCAGCAACAAGAGATGACAAGAAATGCACCTCCGGTTGTACACTCTACATCTAATCTCGAACCAGTTCCAGCAGGATCTCCAACTGCGTCTGAGAGAGCCGTCTCTGCACAGGTAAATTCATCTATGACTGCCAATCAGAGTTTTGGTGGTGATTTAAATATGCTTCAAGGTGCCAGAGGTGGAAGGAGAAGCGATGTGTCGATGGCTCAGCTTGGAACACAGCCTGAGGGAACTTTCCTTGGAGATGAAGTGCATAATACTAATGCTGCTACGCGGAATGAGATGCAGGCTGAACGGAGTGAAGCTCACACCGAGCCTCACCCACCTACTCATACAGAATCACCACAGAAGAGTCCAAAAAAGGAGAATACAAAGGTGCATGAAGGGGAGCGAGAAAAGGAGAATGTAGAAGAATCGCCACAGTCACATCAACAATCACAGACACAGGATTATACACAAATTCAAGCTGCGAGTGATAATTTTGTGCGTATTTTGGCTGCGCAGACGAAGACGCTAATGAATACTCAGATGAATGCCCCCATGCAGGCACCCGAGCAATCTCAGGATACGGTTATACCCGACAGTCAGCCAGCAACACAAGAGGAGAATCGACCATCGCTCAAAAGAACGCGTGAGGAGAATACATCCGACGAGGACGCCGAAGCCCATGAACAAAAGACAAAGCGACAACGCATGGAAACTAAGAATAACGGTATACAAATCCCAAGTAATAATCGCCCGCGTCATTCAGAAGGAGGCATCATAGAACCACCGCGCAAAATAGCAATGCCACCACGTCTGTCGATAAACTTTGATGATCTTGTGAAAAAGTCATCGAAGAAGCCTCAATCAGGTGGTAGATCGAGTAGCTCATTCCTGCCACTCTCGGAGATTGTCAAGGATAAGACGAGGTATGCGATAGAATCACCAATGGCCTCTCCGAGAGCATCGCCTGCTTTAGAGGGACGACCTCGACCAACAGTACAACGCGTTAGAACATCAGACCCCGACGAACCGTCGTCGTCATCGAGCGAGAGTGAAAAGTCAGAAAGCTCTGATGAGGAGGAAGCCAAGAAACCACGTCGTAGGAGTGTAATGCCAGCGCCAGTGAGTAAGATAGCGAGGATGAATGAATCTGTTAGGAGGGCGAGCGGGAGTGCCATACCGGCTGAGAGAAGAGCCGGGGCTAGCAACGTTGCGCCTACTCGCGTAACCAGATCCAAAGTAAAAGCAGGAGGTTTAGCAGATATGTGAGGAGTGAAATGTAGAAGCTTAAATTATTGAAAATTATCATTTTGTTGCGAGACTCAAACACAAATGTCTTTGATAGTAAACAGCGATGAGCACATCTTCGAAATACGCTAATTTACCAGATATAGTGGGTGACTAGCGGATTATTAATGGATTTTTAACTGTATTAGGACACAGCGCCAGATGTTTACGAGACTGAAGAGCCAGTGCCGCATTCTTCACAAGCTGTGCGCGACGATGCTCTATACAACGCTCATTCTAACACACAGCAGCTCTCAGATGAAGATGATATCCGCGAAACTCAACAGAACGCTTCGAATGACGCTGACGCGATTGACGCCGCGAAGCTCCCAAATGCTAAAAGCACAAGCCGTAAGTTCAGGCGTCGGCGATTCAATGGCGTGAAAGGGCAAGGTGGGCTGGAATATCAGTACAAGCCACACAGGCTCACTATCAATAGACTTTTCTGGCTCAGTTGCTAGACTAGGCGTGATTGAATCCAGCGGCAGCGATGGCGATAGTGACGAGAGCGAGCAATTTAGCACTCAGCGCTGGAAGGGAATCAATACACGAGACCGTCTCCATCTCATCAATGCTGAGATTGCAGATATCGAACGCGGCGTGAGCGGTGGTGACCAGGATGACGATATCGATGGAATATTAAAGCAGTTGATGGAGTACAGAACTCGTATTAGTAGCATTGGCAATAGACGTGCACCTCCACTTCAATTGCGCGAGAATGTGCCTCAGGATCGGGAGGGACGTGAGCACGCAGAAGAGACTAGTGAAGAGCACCCTAAACAGCCTGAAGAACGATCTAAGCAACCTAAAGATTTCTCTGAAGACACACGTTTGCTTACTCTTGATGAAAGACTGCGCGCACTCGAAAAGAGCGTCGGGACTGACACAGTTGGTGTGTCTACAGATGTGAGTAGAAATTAAATACATTATGACGCTCACAAACCCAACCTAGGCAGGTGATACGTTCCCTTCCCCGCTTGTGACAACAATTAGCAGGCTAGAGCAGCAAATGTCGTTGCTGACCCAACCTCGCCATCTCGACGCTATTTCTCGTCGTCTCAAACTGCTCAACACGGAGATGGAGAAAATGCATGAAGCGAGACGGCACAAAGATGATTCAGACACTATACCAAACATCAAGATGGACGATGGCCAAGGCGAGAAAATAGACAGACTATTCGATTCACTCAAGCGCATTGAGCCACTTATACCACTCACTCCACATCTGCTCGACAGACTAAGAACATTACAAGGGGTCCATAGACGCAGTGCGGATGTCGTGGGCGAGATTGACGATTTCAAGGCAAGACTGCTATCGACGTCATCTAATGTCAAGACACTTAGTGAGGTTACTAGCACGCTCGAGGCTAGTCTTAAAGAAAATGACGAGATAACAAAGCGCAACATTGATGCTGTGATGGAAAGGATGAATGATATACAGAAGCGGTTTGCTAAGCTGGAAGCAAAGTGATATCTAAAGCTTTCTTTATTTTAATGCATTGCTATACGATTATATCAGTTATTAGAATCCAAATGCTGACATGTCGAATTGATCAACATGCTGCGAAGACTGCTTAGGCTGGGATGCAACGATGTTAGTTTTGGGTTGTGCGGGCGTTAGAGTCGAGTTGTTTGTATGCGATTGTGGAGCTGTGTTTGTGTTTCTTTCCAAATTATCCAATCTTTCCTTCACACCGCCAAACTTCCACTCAGATAAGAGTTTAACAGCGAGTACATGACATCCATCTCTAGCAAGCTGATTAGCGCACCTCATCGCCACTTTGCCTTCACCCTCAATGAAAGCTTTAGGGATGGCGCTGTTGTTATATAGTCCGACTAGCGCGAAATCCAAATCGCAAGGATCGCCGAGCACTGTATTAGCAAAGAAATCATCTCTCAAGGCACTCTTCATATCAAGCAAGCATTTTGATGCCAGCACTTTACGGTCCAGTTTGATTAGTGCAGCGACAACCAAAGCCGTATCACCATGTCGAACAGCCCAAAGTGCCATATCTTTCAAGACAGCGTTAAAGAGTGTATTATCACCACTTGACCTTGCAACACACAATGCCAACTCGTAGTCTGTGCAGTGCTTGATGAGAATTTTCGTAGCATCAGCGTGTTTATGAGCGAGGACAAAAAACGCAGCAGCGTAATCTATATGCTATGTAAGATGACGTATGTATACCTATAAAGCACGACCCACCATAACGACGTTTAGACAGCAGAACGTAAGCGTTTTTGGTAGCAGCCACCCTGTTTACTTGGGCCTGCTCACCATCGCCGTTGAAATCTCTACTGAGAAATCGCACAACATTTTCACGCTCTTTATGTCCATAAGCGTATTTCCATAGAGTTAGTACCGATGATTTCTTCTTGAGGGCGAAATACACAACTGAGACAGCATAGCGGCTAGGATCGATGGTGTCTTCCGTCGTAGTAGACATCTTCTTAGCAATAATCTCCATTTTACTTTGATAATGTTGGTCTGGAAGCCATATGCTAGGGTATGCAAGCAGTGTGGCTGCGTCGTTCGGCAGTACGTCTGAGATGAGCTGCTCGTTCTGTGACAGAAGCGCGAACAATGCGATGTGAGAGTTGAGTCGATTAGCAAGAGAGGCATAGTATACCGCTTTCCATGCATACTCGTCGGCTTTCGTGCAGTTATCTGATGCTAATTGTATGCTCCTGATGATATTGCTGAGGGAATCATAAGCGCTACTGCCGATGAATCCCTTGACAGTGGAAAGAGCGTTTATAAACTGCTCGTCTATGACAGGGTATCTGCTATCTTCATCATCTTCCTCGCAATCCTCTTCATCAGCTAATACAAACGCATTGACAAGTTTGCTCATATCGTGGTGCACGATTGCACGTCTTAATCTGCGCAAAGCCCCCCTGAGCATCTCAGTGTATCCTAGATCTACACACCTAGCCATAAAACCAGGATACCATTCCTGGACTGGGCCCGCAACAAGAGCGACGACCTCATAAAGTGAAAGCTGTCGGAGAGGCTTTTCAGACGCTCCAATAAATCCGTCCAAGTAAGGAGAGAGAGAAGTGGACAGAAGGTGCAACACCGACTGGATGTGTATGTTGGCGTTAGTGACGAGCGCAACAGTACCATTATGGAGGAAAGTAGCAGCGGTAATAGCTGTTGATTCATAAGCTGGCAGAGTCAGACGCGTAAGCTCGATCCAGCGTGTCGATACATCATGCGTAGACACCCAAATCCGAACCAAATTGGATTCGTTAACTAGCAGGAGCACGCCACCTTCGTAGTCGGCAAGGCTGAGAAATTCCATATTTAGGGTCAGGCTTGGTGCATACTCGTGCTCGAGGATATTGTGATAGTTGTATATCCTCACTTTGCCATTTGCTGCTACGGCAGTGTGGCGAGAGTGTGAACATGACGCAAGAAGGTCTGAATTTGTAAATTCTTCAATGCGTAATGTTGTGTCTGACGTGTGAGTTCTTAACTTATCTTCTATCTTCACAAAGATCACCCTACCATCCTCATTCACCGCTAAAAGGAGGGGATGGATATCATAAGTAACGGCTGACTTGGGGCGCGAACGTGACTTATACGAAGGAATATTAGCTTTGGTGAGGTACTTAGTGGATACAGTTGCTGAATGTAGTATTGGTGACAGAGTCTCGCGGTGAACGACGTCACAGCTGCTCAACGCAAGCCATGTCACTATCATGGATGTATCATTATGCTCTACTACGTGTAGGTGCTTGGAATTGCTTGTAAACAGCACAGTCGATGCCTTAAATGGAAGTGACCTGACTAAACTACCATCTTTGTGCACCTCTACTCTATCTTGAAATGCAATTGCGAATACTTTGGCTATGTGAGTGAAGCGTAAAATGCCAATGCAAAAGTGACACACCATTGTGAACGTGTATAGATGCGTACACATCTTGCAGACCATCAAGCGAAGCCACACTATTTAAGATTCCGAGTTTATGCATGGCATTTGAGGGAGTGTCTACGACATGCCAATGAATAAGTTTTCCGTCTTGATGAGAGTAAGTCGAGAGTGTTTGACCGAGTGGATCAGTGGTGATGAAGCGGATAGCGTATGTGTGCTGAGCGTGATCAGCGTTGCGTAACCAGTGAATGGGTGGATGAAGGTTAGTATCAGGGACAGGATCAAAGATAGAAGCCGGGTTGAGCACGCCCACCAGCAAACCTCTATTGGCATCCCTGAGAGCTATGATATAGATGGGAGAATGAGAGCTACTGCAGGTGAGGCGTATATCAGTAATATCGTTGGGAATATACTCGTTCAACTTGAGTTGTACGATGGGCGAGGAGCGAATGTAATTACAAGTAGAGTGAGAAGTATCGTTGATAGCGTTGATGGACAAGTTGTAGCCGTCTGAGGAAAAGTTTAGAATGAGATCGCGCGAGAACTGGCTGATTTGAGAGACGCTCTCGTAGCGCCTAGTCGCGATGAGTGAGGAGAGCGGGCTGTTTTGATGGAAGAGGTAGTTGGAGTCAGATAGAGCGCGCCTGAGGAGGAGATCAGTGGTGGAGGGACCGAGCCAGAAAGAGCGCAATAGGCAAGGAGAGACGTAGATAGTCCATGGGTCGAATTTGGTGGGAGAAGATCGTATGTACGCGTACAAGTCGTTGTCAGAAGTTTCGACGATGAGGAGGGAGTTGTCACGCCATTGGAGAGAGCGTATTGGGGAAAGGTGGGGAAGCGATTGGAACGGGGAAAGCGAGGGCGTGCGCTGGAGGAGGACAGTGGAGGAGCCCAAGTGAGACATTGCCAGATAACAAGAATCAGGCGACAAGGAAGGAATGTGGGGGTTGGTTGAGGGCGCGGTGGAAGACAGAATGAAGTTTTGGTACACGGAGACAGAAGATGGCGTCATGAGGATTGTGTATGCGTGATTGTGAGTGAAGTGAAGAATGTCCGAAGCATGTAAAGTGGCAGCAATAGTGAGACAATCGCTATCAAGGAAATCAAAGACATCGATCCTGTCTGCAAATTGAATAAACAACTTATCCGCGTAAACCAGCAAATCTCTGGCCCCGGAACCGATCCATTTGAAATTTAGTAGAATAAAGTTGAAATTGAAAAATAATAAGTAATCATTATAAATAAATATAAAATAGTTATTTTTGAATCTTATTTTTAATTCCAACGCGAGCAGTTGGTCGGTGTTGTCCATTGAGGTGTAATTGGTGCAATCCACTCGATTACGACGTACACGACGCAAATGCTGAGTAGGTTGGGTGCGTATGGCTAGACGGTGTGTCCTAACCACTCGCAGACGTAAAGGACTTTGCATACAACGCCGACGACGATAGGTATCGAGGTGTACATGGCTCTACACTCAACTGCATAAAATGTATGCTCTACGACTTTGAGCCGGAGAACGATTCGGAGCTGGGCGTCAAGCACGGCGAACTTGTTTTCATCGTCTCAGAGTTCACCGAAGGTTGGGTGGTTGCACGCAGGTTCAAATATTTCAGCAAAGAGAGCTACGAGTTGGAGAGCGTTGAAGGCATAATACCCTTCACTTATATTGATTGGGAATGGAGCATTTAATCATTTACACATTGCACATTCCAGTCTAATGTCCTTTTTCATCAGACTAGAACACTTTTCACTTTCTAACTCTCATGTCTCGTATAATAATCTTGTTGCTCTTCGTCTCTCTTGCTCACGCTATTATCCCGTACCCTCAATCCTTCGAATACGCTGATAATTTCCTACTCCTCGGCCCTTCTCCTAATGTTAACTCTCCGGAACATGTTAAAGATACTGTAAACAACGCACTCGATCAAATTCACAGCTCCCAACACAGAAGACTTTCCATCGCTTTGGGCGGCGAGGATGTTGAATCACTCACTGACTCCACTCCCGTAATCACCTCTGTTGACGTCAACATTGAAAACGATATGCCAATCCAAGACATCTTCAACCAGCCTATCGACGACCGCGATGAATCGTACTACCTCAATATTCCTTACATGGAATCTGACATCACCGCTACTATCTCCTCTGCAAATGTCTTAGGTTTGCACCGCGCTTTGTCTACTTTCCAGCAGCTCTTCTACAAGCACCCTTCTCAAGATAAGCACTACCTTACAAACGCCCCAATCACCATCAACGACGCTCCTGAATTTGGCTGGCGCAGTGTTATGTTGGACACCTCACGTAACTACTACAACAAGGACTCCCTCCTCTCTCTCATCGATACCATGTCCTTTGTTAAGCTCTCTGTCTTCCACTGGCACATGACTGATCAACACTCATGGCCACTCGTCACCGATGTTCACCCTGAGCTCTACGAGCAAGGCGCATACCCAGGCATGCTCTACACACAGCAAGACGTTGACGACATCATCAACCATGCTCGCTCAAAAGGGGTCGATGTAGTAATTGAAATGGATCTTCCCGGCCACACGCAATCGGTAGCTGAGTCACACCCTGAGCTCGTCAGCTGTATTGATCGTCGACCATGGTCGCAATACGCTGCTGAGCCACCAGCCGGCCAGTTAGACTTGGAGAACGATGACGTGATCCCATTCGTAGAGTCAATACTCGACGATCTCCTTCCACGTACTCAATCCAAGTATTTCGGTACGGGCGGTGACGAGCTCAATCCAGCTTGCTACGATATGACACTTGAGGAGTTGGCACCGCTCGTCCGCTCCTTCCAATCAGCGCTCACCGACAAGCTTTCCGAGTACAACAAGACTGCTGTTGTCTGGCACGAGCTGTCAACCGAGTATGAGATGCCGCTGAGTGATGGCACGCTTGTTATTAACTGGTCCACCGCAGACTTTACGTCACAAATTCTCGCATCGCAACCATCCAGCGTTGGCATTATTCACGCCGCGTCTGACTACATGTATCTCGATTGCGGTACAGGTGGTTGGCTCGGTGGAGCACCCGATGGTACTTCCTGGTGCGATCCTTTCAAATCATGGCAGAAGATCTACTCGTTCGACGCTTACGCCAACATGAACGAGAGCGACAGAAACAGAGTCGCTGGTGGTGAGACTACGCTGTGGTCCGAGCAGGCTGACTCTGCCAATTTCGAATCTCTTATTTGGTGGGAATTGTTGTCTATTTTCTCTATTATCTTACTAACTTCATTTCTTAGGCCTCGTGCTGCTGCTGGTGCGGAAGTTTTCTGGACACATCCAGCGCCAGAGACACGCACTGCTAATGCCGACGACGCTCTCTACAGGATGAACGATGTTAGGTACAGATTGGTCGACAGGGGCGTGCATGCCGCTGCACTCCAACCATTGTGGTGTGCTGTACGTCCAGGTAAGTGTGATATTTGAGTGCTTTGTATTGTATATATTATTATGTAATGAATAAGTACAAATCAATATCATTTTAATCTTAATTACATGGCTCAATGAATTATCGCAGCCGTGGTCTCCACAGCGGAATACTGTTAAATCTATTTACTCCAAAGCTGCTATCGAATTCGCTGGACGGGTAGACGGCGTGTAGTTGTGGGCGTGCAGTGTTCTCGATGCGCTTGATAATGCTGCTCCCGCGTTTATTGTGGTTATTATTAATATCAACCTCCATCTCGCGTGCTGCATTTTCATCCAAGCTATAGCTCAACACGGCTTGTTTGGGTGTGTGGGTGTTTATGTTAGAGGTCTGAGAATTGATCTTGTTTTGGTTGTTTTCCTTATCCTGTGTGTTTTGCTCATCCTGCTCATCCCGCTTATTCTTCTCTTGATCAACCTGCTCACCACGGCTCGCTAAAAGCTCCCGCTTCTCATTCTCCGCGTCGCAATGAACACGCTCGACATCGCTCTCAAACGCAGCACGAAGGCTTGCGAACGTAGCGCTTGGTTCGAAAGTATAGCTATCGTCGCGAAAGACTGTATCGTAACTGGCGTATATTTCGAAAAAGTCCTGGTCAGGTTGAGCCATTTCGACCTTGCCATGCTTGAGGGTAGGTGGAGTGGGTGAGCGCAGGCCATTTTCGAGGAACCGCGGTGTATCAGTGCCTATCCCAGGGTAAGGAAGGGATGAGTGGGAGCTATTCTGCGGCGGTGCACTGGGCACAGGCGGGACAGGTGGAACACCCGCAGCCTCCTCTTCTCCATCCTTGACCCAGAGACTACTAGGACGCGAGAAGTTACGCGGTGGGCGCTGTGGCCGCTCAACGACATGCACTTGTCCGTCGTCTAGTGTCGGCGTGATTGGCTCTCTTCCGCCCGACTGCGAGTATCCGCGGGAGATGTAGTGGCCAAGATGCGCGAGCGACGGCGACGGCGACGGGAGCGTCTGGCCGAGAAGCATAGAAGGTGTGTTGGTGCTGACTGTCAAGTCGACGAGGCTGTCTTGATATTCCTCACTATGATTGCTATGATTGCTCTGATTGCTCTGATTGCTACCTCTGCTCCCTACCTCGCCCACTTGGTGCAGATTCGGCATGGACGGGTGTGCCGCGCCTGCAGGCAAGCGCGTCGTAAACGGCGTCGGAGGGGTGGGGAAGTTGAAAGCACCCGGGGATGACATGACGCGTTCTCTCGCGAGGCCAGCCACTCTTCCACGCGGCACGCCCACCCCCAAACCTACATCTACGCCCTCTCCCGCTCCGGTGAGTGCAGCCCGGATGACGTCTTTGATGGGCGCGTGGCCACGCGTGGTGATCATTCGGTGCGTATAGCTGACACCTGCGCCCGGCCCCAGAACGAATTCGGCGCCCAGCTGCTTCGTATCGCCGGGATGCGTGGGGGTGAGTCTCGCAGCTACAGATACGCTCTCCCAGCTGCTCAGACTGTGCGTGTATCCACCGACATCCTTGACTGTGCCTGGATTCGTACTGCGCAGCTTCACGCCCAGCGCCTCGTATACCCGACGCGAGCTGTCGCTGTACACTGCAAATGGGATACTAAGCTGCTTGCGATACGACGCAATAATCTTGTGGCTCGTCGGCGTGACAAAGACGATCGGGAGGGTGGGGTCGAGTTGTGCAGCAGTGCGCGCATACGCTTGGCACAGTGAGCAGTATGCGTGTCGGAGAAGGATCACTATTGTGCGGCGGGTGCTGTACAGCGATCCAAACGCCACTGGCGTCCCATCCTCGCTTACAACCGTACAGCACGACGCGTCGAATAGCTGCTTAGGTGTGGGTGGACGACGTGCGTAGTCGAGCAAATCAGCTGTGTTTGTTTTGTTAGCCCACCTTCTTTGAAACTGCATTCTACAACTCCATACCTACCTTTCCTCGCCATCACTTTCTGTATCGTCTCCTCGGATTTACGCAGCTTCTTGCGGTCGCGCAGTCGCAGTCGCGCTGCTTCCTCTTTCGCCTCTTTCTCGTCTTTCTCCGTTTCTCCTAGCTTCTCGTCGCCTTCCAGTAATGGCAAGCGCTGCGCAGAGGAGCTCGCGTTGCTGCGCTCGTCATGCACGCTTTGCCTTAGTGTCAGTGCAGGCAGGCTGATTACGCGTTTCCGCGCACTGAGTCTGTCCAGCAGTGAGAATGAGCTGTGAGAGCGCAGCTGCGGGTCTTGCTTTGTGACCTTGTCCTTGACCTTGTGCGTGGATGAGGTGTTGCTTTGTGTGTTGCTTTGTGTGTCGTTGTCTTGATCTCGTCTGAACGTCGTGTCATCGCTCACATTCCGATGACCCGCGCCGTGCTCGTTCTCGTGCTCGTTCTCATGCTCGTTCTCCTTGTCGTGGTGTGAGTGTGACTGTATCTGTGAATGTGTCCTTGTCTGTGTCTGCGTCTGCGTTTCCTTGCGCTTAAACAACTTGTGCCCAATCCTCGCTCCTAAGCTGGCCTCTGATTTAGCTCTGTTGCGTGTGTGTGCTGTGCGTGGGTGTTTATCGACCATTTTTCACTATCTTGGACACTCGCACTCTGTCCAATCTTTGGATTGAAAGTAAAAGATATCAGCACAAACTACGCGCGCGTATCACCCTTTTCAGCCCAAATAGGCAAGTAAAGCCTAAAAAGGTAGGTGGCTGATGACGCAGTGAAAAACTTCCTCTATATACAAACAAACACATAAAATTAGCCTAAAGTATATCATGTTATCCATCAATCTTATTTCCCCCTATTAGCTACCAGCTCCATACAAAAAAGGATGCATCAGCGCCTGCTGTGCATTGAGTCTCTTTGTGCAATCGAGATGCATAAGTTTCTTACACAAGTCGATGGCGTGGTAGAGCTCCAACTCAGGCCATGGCTTAGCGAATTGCTGATTAAAGCTATTGAAAAGATTCTCTCCAATCTCCTTTTCGAATGGCTGGTTACAGAGTGCAAAGATGTTGGTATTTTCAGTATCCATGACTGTCTCACTATTATCTTTCCCATCACCCCGCAAACCCTGTACATCGCCATGGTGCCATGCTGACGGCGGTCGCGGGAAAATGAATGGGTTGAGTTGGTAGAGGAGCAGATGAAGGTGTTTACCGCCATGTTGAACGTGAGGAATGTTCGAGAGGATAGATCTGTTGTGAATTTCACCGCACTTGATCATCCTTTTCAGTCCGTATATCGTAGTCAGTTCTACCAACGCCTCGTTATCGTCGTTGCTGTTAAAAAACGGAAAACGGCGACTGAGAAAGGAGAGGAGAATAACGCCAGCGGACCACATGTCGATGGCTGGATTTGAAAAATGTTTATGTTAGTGGGTAGCAACCAACAAATAAAACAACACGCACCCGTCGTCTGGTCTTGACACTTGAGCAAAACTTCGGGCGCTCTGAAACCACGTGTGCCAGCTCTATTAGCTCGCACTATTGGTCGTTTCTCATCTGTGCTATACCCTACGGGCAATTTGGGGTCATTCATACGACGATCAGCCTCGCGTACGACATCAGCAGTCCGCTCGACTGCTCTTGTATCCTTCTCAGAGCGTATATCCTTCATAGATAACTTGTTCTGTCCATGGGGATGTTCGCGGGAGGGCTGAGTATGATGACAATGACCATGCCAGCCGTCATCCAACGTGTATTGCGCCAGACCGAAATCGCACAACACCCCCTTCTGATCTTGCAGCGAAAACAGGAAGTTGGCAGGCTTGATATCGCGATGAAGGATATCCATTCGATGGACATCGCGTAAGGCTTTGAAGAGTGATTTGAAGTATTTCTTCACAGTCTTGTAGTCCACATGTCGATAATACTCGCGGAAATCGTTGTTAGGGTGGTATGGCATAACAGCAACAACTTGGTCTTTATGTCTAAAGGCGCTAATCATTGTTGAAACCCATTTAGATCGCCTGAGTGAATGTAACAGCTCGAGTTCATTCTGTATTCTCAGTGGACACGACGTTTGGTAAATTCTTTTCAAAGCTACATAAACCTTTCTACCCCTATGCTGAAGCTGTCGCGTATCTGTTTGCTCCTTGGTGAACCAATACTTGTTATCGTAATCGTGGTGCTTCAAATCAATCGCCTTGTACACAGCTGAAAATGTACCCTCACCAAGCTTATCGACAAGCTTGTAATTCTCCCCAAATCCATCGACGCTCTTGTACAAATCGCACATGTCGTCGATGGCGTGTAGACGTTCTTCGCGTGGCAGTCGTCGCAGCTCCTGACAATCTTCTTCATCAGCGTCGAGGCCTAGCTCTGAGCCAGACGAGTATTCTTGTACGTCGTCGTGCGCGTGTGTATCATTGTACGCGTCTGTCATGACCGTTTGTTATCAGGATCACGCATATTTCGAAATAAAATAAAATAATCATAAAATACAAATAAAGCATGATAAACAACAAAACTCTAACGTCTGTCGTTGGTTCCCATCTTCCTCTTTCCAGACATCATCCATTTTGGTCTAGCAGTTTGTATGTGTCTGTCAGATTCAGAAGCCTTGGAATGTCTAGCAGGTTCTCTAGAAGCCAAAGCTCTGTATTTCTTAGCCTGCTCTTCATTTGCTCTACTACCAAGACCTTCAACGGCTCTATTCTTCTTAGGAGCGCGTGGATGAAGTGGTTTATCAGCTGCAGCGACACCCTTAGATTTCTTAGATGCCTTATCTTGATCCACTTCCATTCCTTCAGCATCCTCACTACCCTCATCAACCTCCTTCATCTCAACGTCATCATGCTTACGCTTTCCAACCAGTCCCTTAGCCTTGGCGAGTGACATGGCCCTGTCCTCAATCTTGGATGCGTCTATACCCTTAGCAGTTAAGTCAGCAGTCATATCATCCAAAGTTCTCGTTTGGCGGGTACGTGGCATCATTGCGTTCTTCTTCTTTCTTGTTTGATCCTGTGACTTTAATTTGATGAGGTTGTTCTCTTCACGAATAGCTTGAGCATTGCTGCGTGTTTCTTCCTCTTCACTGTCTAATATCTCCTCATCAGAATTATAGAAACCATCAGCCTCCAATTTATCCTCTTCACGCTCAAGAGCCTCAAGCTTCTCTTCGATATCAGGATCAACAAAGTCAGCGACGTTATGACCATTGAGGAATTCAGGCATAGTGTCTTTCTTCCAGTCATCGTTCTCGAGGAGGTAGTTCTTGTGAAGATCAACGCTGTAAACACCAGTACCACCATTAGCCTCCTCAATATCACGCTCGAGAGTCTTCCTTTGTGGATCCTCCTTATCGTAACCCTTACGTTGTTTGACAATATCTGGAACTTGAGCAGTACGCTCGACGTCATCACGGGGTTTTGGTTGAGCAACGTGAATTCTGTTGACCACAGAGTTGATCTTGGAACCACGCATTTTAGTGTCTACGCGGTGTGCGAGGAGAGTTTCACAGACTTGGTTACGTACGTCCATAATACCTTCCTCAGACATACACGAGAGTTGCAACTTTTTCACATCACCATCAGCGAGTACCTCCTGAACAGCCATCTTCTTTTCATCAGTGAGATCATCAAAAGTAGCAACATCAATCTTGTTAAAGACGATAGAAACGGGCTTATTAGCGAAGAGAGGTTTGATGGAAGAGAAGAGTTTACATTGAGCTTCAACGGTGTAACCACATTGCTCAGATAAGTCCATAAAGTAGAGAATAGCAGAGCGTAAGTGAGCCATAGCGGTTATAGATTGCATTTCGATGGTGTTCATCTCTTCGAGTGGGTGATCGAGGATACCCGGGGTGTCAATGACTTGCCAGCGGAGGTACTTGTAGTCCATGTGACCGACGAATAAGGACTTTGTGGTGAAAGCGTATGGTTGAACGTCAACGTCAGCTCTAGTGATTTTATTGATGAAAGAAGATTTTCCAACATTTGGGTAACCACAAATGAGCATAGTTCTGGTAGTAGGGTCTATGGAAGGAAGACGAGCAATGTGTTGTCTGACTTGTTCGAGGTAGGCGAGAGGATCCTTCTGTCTGCGCATGACGGTCGCCATACGGCCCATAGCAGCGCGTTTGAGCTGCTTGCAACGGTAAAGGGAGTCACCAAACTTCATGAGACGAATGTAGTCTTTTGAGACTTGATCTATGAGATGGCGAGCGGTGTTCAGCTGACCCAAAGCGAGCTTATAATGATTCTTATCGTATAAGACATTCATAAGGGAGGATAAGAAGGGGTGGAGGTTGTCTAACATCGGGAATTCGCCCAAGATAGCGTCTAGCTTCTCGTTAAAGCATTCCTGGGTGAATTTAACTTTTCTCATGTAAAATGATCTGATACGCGATATCTTGAAATTCTTATGGATCACCGTCGGTGTCTTCCTTTGAGTTTTAGATAGGACGACTGGGGGTGGGTGAGCGACAGAAATATAAATAGGGATATAACTAACTATCCAAGAAGTCATTGGCACTCGGTACAGGTGCAATACTCTTTAATGATTTTACAGGTGCAGCCATGAGTGTCGTGAAGGAAGCGTAAGGTGTAAAATTTATTCAACTTAAAAACAATTACAAGGAGAGGGATTTACCCATAAACTTGCGTTTGTTAAAGGACATCCAATATTTGTCTGGACTTGTATTTGATTGGGCGTATAAGATGGGTATAAGTCGGTTCACAGTTTCAACGCGAGCTTGAGTGAGGTAGCTGCGGAGGGTGTCTATAGGGTGTTAAATGGGTTTATAAACACGTATATAACTCACCTGCATCCATTTTAGATTGTGGTGGCGCGTATAAGCTGTTTAAAGGGAAACCAGCTTCACCGGGGAGCGAGAAGCTATCTACAGCGAGCGTGTGTAGTTGCTTCATTGCGTCACCACTATTTACCTGTCCTCTGCTCAACTTGGCGATACAATCCGATATGAATAGAATCAAGTAAATCAACATTCTATCACCGCCACCTTTGATTTCAAAGTTCCTGAATAAACTATTGGCTCTGAATAGAATTATAGATTCTGATATGATATCGATATACTCCGGGTCATTTGGTGGTGTGGGTGCAATTCCCCTGTGTTTTGAACTGAATGGGAGTATTGACACGTTTCCGATGAGTTTTGATTGTTTATCGTCGTTGAAGTTGCTGTGATATGCCTGGGAGTGTTATGTACCTCTCTTGAGCCAACTAAAACTCACTGGCATCGTCGTCGTCGTCGTCGTTGTTGTTATCCAACCACCATCATGATCAGATCGAATTTACTTAAACAGCAACATTCATTCTTCACTGGGAGCACTCACCAGCCACGCCTCAAATCGCATTTCCAAAATACTCTTTCCCCCGCTCTACTCTACATGACTCACAATCCCAGGCAACAACAACACAGCCGCCCTCTACCTTCATGGGACTCTAACGACCCTTACACGGCTCACCGCCAACAACCTCGCCCTAGAGGTAACCGTGATCCTCTCCCGAATCCCAACCAATCAAATCCTATCAATCTAGATAAAATTGTCATCCACACGATGGTCAAGGAGTCTATAAACAACAAAGGCGCTCTCCTCTCGGCTATCATGGCTTTACAATCTATTTCTGGTCACGCTGAGCACTCTGGCGGTGATTTCCACTCTAAAGGTGTTACAGTATGTAAAGCACGCAAAGGTGTCGCTCAATGGAAAATACGCCACGGTATGCCCCTCTCCGTTAAGGTTGAACTATCTGGTGACAAAATGTTCGATTTCATTGACATTCTCACCGAATTCGTTTTACCACGTATCAGGGACTTTAACGGTATCTCACTCCCTCCAGTCAGCGCTGATGAAAAATCTCCTTCTGCTAACTCGGGCGTCTTTCAAATGGGTCTGCCTCCCTCTGCTATGTCCCTCTTCCCTCAAATTGAAGCTGCTTTTGATTCGTATCCACGCTCACATGGTTTAGACATCAAATTCATATCTAATCAAAAAGGCAGAGGCGCTGAAGCTAAGACTAGAGCGCTCATGTCTGGTCTTCGCATTCCTTTCATCCCAAAGTGATTATGTTGCAATGTACAATATCAATACATAGAACTTCTTTTATTCATTTAGTCAATCTACTCTGCTCATCGCCTCTGCCAGCAATTGGGCATCTGGTTTAGCAGGCACTGCATCCACACAAACCTGCATTATTTCTTGCACATACTTGGAGGTAGTTGGCCCAATACAAGCCACCTTCACATTCAATTCCATTTCTTTGATAGCAGGTATAATCACATCCGCACCACTAGGCGAGAAAATGATGATCCACTTGGCATCTCCAGCATTAGCCTTGTGTATGTTAAATTGTAATTGTTCAACTGACAATCGCTTCGTGGCGTACACCTGCAATCTATCCACTAATACGCCATTATCCTGGAGAATGTTGCTGAGCTCCGAAGCCGTTTTATCGCCGACGAGGTAAAGAATGCGATTGTGCTTTTTGTCATTGCCATCTTTGTGATTTGAAAGTATGTAATCAGCCAATTTTACTCCATTTCCTGATTCTTCGCCGCCCATTATATATTTAGGAGTTAAGTGTGGGCAAGTGCATTTACCCAGACTGCGCAGCGCGTGGCTGGTGGATGGGCCTACTGAGTAGAAAGGCAAATCGGACCATTCAAGCCTGCTTCAAATGAGCGCGAGCGTGAGCATCACCAGATGTGCTCACTGAGGGGAATGTTGAGTGTGATAGCTGTGAGTGCTTCCACATGGCGCACTCGGCGCATTTTGAGCAACTTCTGCCGCCGACTTCCACGCCTCCACAGCTCGCTGGGAAGTGACAACGACGCCATCATATGCCCCCGCGCCATCAGACATTACCCTCGCCAACTCGTCTATATCCCCATGTATGGAATTAAGCACTGGGACGAAAATTGGTCTAAAGCGTGCACGCTCAATTGCCGAGTTATATATATCGCTGTATTCTTTAAAAACGATTGCACTCGAGGTGGACGGCGACGTCGTCATTGTCTTCTCGCAACGCAAATCACAAAACACAAGGCCGAAACACGTAATGAGCAGCACAGCCACGACGGATAAAGGATCGGAGCTGCGTTCTTTCATGGCCGGTGTAGGATCAGGGTTGACCAAGATGGCTGTCGGGCACCCCTTCGACACTGTCAAGACACGTCTGCAGTGTTCGCCACCGGGTGTATTCAGCGGTCCTATTGACTGCCTACGTAAGACGCTAGCTAAAGAGAAGATACTCGCGCTTTACAAAGGCGGCCTCGCTCCTGCTATTAGCTGGGGATGCTCCGATGCGCTCCTCATGGGCAGTCTGCATAATTACCGCTTGCTCCTGCTTGAGAATCGCTTGGCGTTTTTTACTGAGCGTCAACCGGACACAGATACTGACTCACCCGACAAGAGGAGACTGACTTATGCAGGTGCGTACCTTTACCTTTGGCGTTTGGCGTTGGCGTTTGCCACTGCATGCCATCGTTGCTCACGCTCACGCTCACACTCACACTCACACTCACAGGCCAAGCACTCGCGGGTATGGGCGCAGGATGGACAAACGGCGTAGTAGCACATCCCGCCGAGCTCGTCAAGGTGAGGCTGCAAAACCAACTCGAGCGCAACAAGATCGACCGCAAGTATTCAGGTCCGTGGCCGATAGCGCGGGAGGTTTACCATCATTACGGAGTGAAGGGACTCTACAGAGGATACACAGCCACTCTGCTCTTCAGATCGCAGTTTGCGGTTCTATTTTCTGGTTTCGAGGTGAGATTGCGCTTTGGCCGGTACATGGTCATAAACATGGTCATAAACACCAACAAACACTAAACTTACAACCAAAACAGCTCTGCATGCGCCAGTTCGCTCGTCTTGATACTCCCGTCAGTCTCGGGACTGCATCTTTTATTTCTGGCGGTGTGCGTACCTGAGTCACCTTAATTGGCACAATGGCAAAAACAGCCGATCTCACTACTGACATCACATGATGCAGGTGGCAGCGACGTTTTTCTGGACTGCTGCATTACCATTCGACAACATAAAGAAGTGAGGTAAGTTGGTGTGCCTTAAGTGATAGGGCTGGATGACGCTGACGCACCAAGTTGCAGTACCACGAAACCCACCTTGCCCTAACCAGGCTGACATGGTAGCCGGCTCATGTTCGACGATCTTCACAAGCCACAGCTGCACGGCGTCGTCGACACGGCCAGGAAGATATACGCCTCGGGAGGCATCCCCGGCTTCTTCAAAGGGTACAGCACGGTGAGTTTGAACGCGTTCCTGGCGGCGCGTGCGGCTAAATAAACACCCGGTAGGTATTCGTCAGGGCATTTCCAACAAACGCAATAAGCCTGGCTACGTGGACTTACATTATGCACGCGCTGTCTAATTGATGGGGGTGCTGTGGAGTCAAGTGTGGAGTGTGGCGTGAGTGGACATCTCGATGAAGAGGGAAAATAGAAAGATAAAAAAGGTATACGTCGATAGAAGACATCGCAGAGTATTGTACAGGGTAATTCATTTGCAGAATTTGAAAAAACGGCATAAATCAGACCTAGACGCAATACTGACAGCTGCCACTGGGAAAGGCGGGAGTGCACTCAACAATGTTTGCTCCAAACAACCACGCTAAATCCCCGTTTAGAAACTAATTTGAATTCTATTTCGGGCCACTTGGCAAACTCCGTTCAACTCGCTTAGCTCTTGCTTCGAAACACTTATCGTAGAATTGCTGTAATTGCTGTAATTGGCCAATGAACCTGAGCAGCATCGACGAGAAATACGACAACGACGCGGATGTTCACCGCACGATCTACATCGATTTGGATAAGGTGATGACGGAGAGCTACGTGAGGCTGCTGCCTGCGCTGCTAAGCTGGCCGGAGAAGACGGCAGTGAAGTATGTACGATCGTCGCACACGACTACAAACAACGTAGGCCACGGCTTCATAACGTTCCCCACGCACCAGAAGGCGTTGGAGGTGCTAGCAACCGTCAACAAGGTGTCCATGCCTGGTACATCGAGACCATTCAAGGGCGACTGGGCTATCAATGCACCCCACCTAATCTCAAATCCTTTCACTCGCGTATCGAACTCCTCCACTTCCCCAGACAGGCTACTCAACGAATTCTCTGTCTTCGTCGGCGATTTGTCTCCTGATGCCACAGAACACGATCTAATGCGCGCGTTTCAGCACCCGCCCAACCTCTCAAACCCTTTTACTACATGCACCAACGTTAAAATTATGACTGACAATGCTACCGGATCTTCAAGATGTTTCGGCTTTGTTCGCTTTTCTAATGAGGACGAAATGGCGCGTGCCTTGGATGAAATGCAGGGAATCCCCGTCGCTGGTCGTCCCATCAGGCTATCCACAGCGACTCCTAAGGTTGGTGTGGTGTGGATTCAATCGATTACGTCATTTTACTAATATGACCAACGCAGATAAAAACCCATCAGCAGCAGCATACACAGCAACTCCAGCAAAATTCCCACCTTCCACTACACCCCACTCCACACATATACCCATTAAACGCAGAAAACTCAATGATAGCCCTCGATGAGGAGGCTGAGAGACGCACACTGCACACACACAGACAACACACTGACCAACTCAACAAAATCACAAACTTTAACTCTACTTCTTCGTCCTTGCCCTCGTCGACTGCATCGCATATCGCTAATGCAGCTGTAGCTAATGCGTCGTCAGACCCACACAACACTACGGTATTTGTCGGCGGATTGTCCTCTCTCATCAGTGAAGACACTCTCAGAGTCTTTTTCGCGCCATTCGGAGCTATCACCTATGTCAAAATACCCCCAGGCAAGGGGTGTGGGTTTGTGCAATTCGTTCGGAAAGCTGATGCTGAGCGCGCCATTGAACGTATGCAAGGTTTCCCTATAGGTGGAGGACGTATACGACTATCATGGGGACGATCACAATGTGAGTGTGGGAGTTTTAATGATATATGAACTTGATACTAATTATCTATGCACAGCCGACAAAGCTGCTCAAGCTGCTGCTCAAGCTGCGCAGCTTGGATTAGGAATTGGGGCTTTGGGGCAAATGGCGAATCTGACGCCATCGCAAGCAATGCAACTCTCAAATGCCCTGCAGAACCTCGGTAATGCCGGAGTGACCAATACGAGCGTGCATAATGCTATCAAACACCTCGCTGCAGCTACTTCAGGCATGCGTGGTCAGGGTGAGAGCCCTTCGCAGTCGCCAGCATCAACTCCCGCACCACCTTCAGCTTCCGGTCAGGTGGCGAACAACCACCCACACCCACAGCAAACACCTTCGCTGTACAATCCCAACCTCGACGTCTTCCAGCCACAGGAGAACAAACAGCAGTTTCAGAGGCAACCCTCACCACTCGGTCAAGTTAATTTCGCAGGCGGTGCGGGAGCAGGATCATCTGCATCAGCGCCTTCATCAGCTTCAGTAACTAATTCAGCTCCTCCCCCAGCTAACCGTACCGACCCTATCTTTTACATGCCCTCTGATAAAGCCAACTTTCCTGATTTCTCAGTGATGGAGCGCGAGAGAAGTTTGTTCAAGTCATTCATGAAACCCGAGTCTCCGGGTACACCAGCATCGACAGCGTCGTACAAATCACCAACAACTGCAGCATCATTTGAAGATAACTTTACTACATTGACATCACCAAATCCAACAAACCCTATGCCTTCACCGCCACTCAAGGCTATGCCTGCGAATACCTTGGAGAGCTTTTTCAAATCGAGAGAGCATAATAGGGAGCAGAACACGCAGCAAAATATTCAACAGCAACATATACACCAAAGCCAACAGCAACTCAATCAACAACAACAACAACAACAACAACAACAGCAGCAGCAGCATTATCAGGCTTACTCGCAAGCGCATAAGGAGCAACAGCATATCAATTACGATGGATTCCTTGCATCAGAGATGGGTGGAATGGGTATAAGAGATCAATTTGATCATTTCGATCATTTCGATCAACTCGGTCACCTCGGTAATCTCAACAAGCAGTATCACAAGCAGCAACGCACGACATCACCATTTTCTACATCGTCTCAACACCCCACATCATCAGCGCAGCACAATCGTGATATAAAGAATATATGGAATTGAATGCAGAGATGGTAGATGGTAGATGGTAGATATTAATTTAATAGTTTTCTCGCTTTCTCTTTTCTTTCTTGATTTGCGTTCTTTGCGTTCCTCGCGTTCCTCAAAATTTAACATTCGCAACGTTTATAGTACTGGTTGATTGCGCATTTTCTTGTTTCACTAATGACTCTTGACTTTATTCGTTTACACGTTTACTCGTTCTCACGGCTCAAAACTTTTCACTCATCGTCTTCAGCGAGAAAAAGTAGAAAAATAGAAAAAAAATTATCAATCTTATTGAATAGTATTTACGCATATAACAGATAACAAAATTAGATAATTGGATGCTCAAGCTTGATATACCAGAAATATCACAAAGGATAAGTGGAAGAAGAGGAAAATAAAATAAAATCAAATAGTTCGTTAGTCTTGTTTTATCGCATGATACAAATTATATTTTTCTCTCCTCAAATTATCAAATTTTCACCATTGAGAGTTAAGTTTATGCATCTCTAAATTTACCAAGCACACCCATAATCTGCTCATAGCTAGCAAAAACGATACCGCCCGACATTGACAGTCTAGCGAGACGAGGAGTTGTGCCTTTCCAGAACCTAGTAAGACCTTCTTCCGTGAAAATCCGATAAGCGCAGTGGATCGAGTTGCGATATTGTGAGCGTGCATCGAGGCCCTGCATGCGCGTCTTAATCACATCTAGCGGCATTGTGGAGTAGACGGTGACGATGCCTGCAACTGAGCCAATAGCAAAGGATATGGAAGGGGGGAGAGACTGGCCTGGTCTAGAGTTACCTTGTACGAACTGTTTTAGGGAGGAATAAGTGGTGAATCTTACAGCGGAGTTAGCCGCTTGGCGCATTATAACGGGAGTGAGGCCGCTATAAAGTCCACTAAGGCCATGTTCTTTGATAATGAGGGTAGTGCCATGTACTAAACCGCGGAAACGTGGTGAAGCAGATTTGGCATCGTCGATAAGCTTCGTCTTGATAGTCTCTGAGGGGGTGACGGCGAAGATAGCCTCAGTGGTACCAGCACCTAAACCTGCAAGGAGGGATCTAGGTGCTGTCAATTTACCGTCTTTGTCGAGAAGGCTCTTCTTGAATGAGTCGTAGCTGAGGAATCGAACGGCGGCTTTGAGCGCATTACCAATTACTAGCGCTGAACAGCCGCTGTATAGCCCACTTATTCCATGGAGTTTGATGGTTGAGCGTATAATGTCCACCGGTGAAGACGTCGATGGCTTTACTCCCGCCGCCTGGAATTGTGAACGCGTCTTGACGAATTCAGTGGGATACGTGACAAAGCCCTCGAAAGCGCCGCTAAGACCACCGGCGATGAGGCTGTCCATTGAGATGAAAGAATGTTGTGAAGAGTACTGTCATGGCGGTGGCAGACTCCAATTCAAACACATGGCGCAAGCTGCCTTTGGAATTATGGGAGAGCGTCCTCGAAGCGTGTTTCGATAGGGACGACTGGGGAGCAACACGGCGTGCGTCACAAGTATGTAGCTATTGGCGGGCGATGATTCTATCGATACCGCGGCTGTGGCAGAGGGTGGAAATATACGAGCGAGATCTGAGTGAGGGAGGTATGCGGAGTGAATTTGCAGAGTTTATAAAATTGATACGCTCACGCAACAAGAAGAAGATTAAGGAGGTGAAATTGTTGCTAGGCGCTACACAAGTACCTGGAGTAGCTATACGTACTCTGATAGGCGCACAAAAGCTGGATAAGCTGGTAGTGCACTACACAGAAACCTTTAATGGCCCTTTCTTCGTTCCACCGGAGTGCACAGTCGTCGAAGCGTGGGCAGCCACTCTGAACACCCACAATAAGCCACACGCGCTCATAATACAGAAGAATCAGCTGGATGTGGTGAGGCTGCACAATGTACTCCCGTGGTCGACGCATTTCGACCAAGATTTGAGCAACGGAGTGAGACATTTACATCTACACCTCAATACACAATGCAGGGATACGATGGCTGGGTACACCATCTCACAGTGCAAAGATCTAGAAACGCTGTATGTGGGGAACCTTGCGTTCACTCTAAACATACCAATCTCATTGGCCCAGCTGAAAATTTTAACCTTGGTGAATAGCAGTAGCGCACTGAGATTTCTACGCGCACCAGCGTTAGAAGAGATGGAGATATATACGGATGACAGTGTGGATATGGAGGAAAGTATCACAATCCACCACTCACTCACGTCCCTGCGGCGGATAAAGTTGAGAATTGGAAGGGAGGAGGTTAGAATGAATAGGGAAATGTTCAATAGGTTGGAGGTGGCAGATGTGGTAGCAGAAGGTGATGGATTCCTCGATGCACTTGTATCCAACGGTAGAGGACTGCGAGTACTGCGAACAAGACACGCAGACTACTCAAAGCTTAGGAATTTGATAGAGAGGAGCGGATTGAATATAGAGGAGCTTACTCTTGAGGAAACACCAGCGCGTGAGAAAAGAGAAGACGATAAGAAGGCTATTGATTGGTTTAGAGGGAGCGTGAGGAGTTTTGAATATATACAAAGGACTATAAGTTAGGATTTGAATAAGAAAGTAAAATTAATAATTTATATTACCTTTGACATTTACGTCGATGAGTGTGAGCGTGGGGACAAGCACAAGCACAGCGTTATCACCATTCAACGCATCAGTTACAAGGATCTTGGAGCTGCAAGGATTCCCAAGTGAATTGAAGACTAAAGATATTCAAAGCTGCTTCAATAAATGGGAAGATGTTCGGTTGAAGTGGGTTGATGATACCACAGCGCTGGTTATTTTCACGGATCCAGTCAGCGGTGGGATTTGACTTGATGGAATTGAAGACGCTCTAACCACGCTCAACAGCTAAACGAGCTTATCTGCACGTGGTTGCTCATCCACCTGCGATACTCGTCACAAACAGAGAAGACAAAGCCAAATTGAGAATATCGCCTTATAACAAGCAAGACAGCGAGCAGATTATTACTCAAGTCTACTCACGTCATCAGCCACGTCGCCAGTCGCAGTCCCATTCTCACTCCCGTACTCCCTCTCTCTCTCATGGAATTGGCTTGGCAGGTGGACCTGTTGCTCAGCCTCCTGCAGCTCACCCATCAACCAACACCCAGCACAGAAGACCTTCGAACGCCCCTTATAGCCTCGAATCAAACCACCAGTTCGGGCTTCCTCCACTCCAACAGCAGCAGTCTCTCCATACTCTGATAAACTCCTCATTCAGCTTGCCAAAGCCGGAAGAGTTTGGTGTGCCTGGTATTTCTAATGTCGACACCTTCAAACCACCTCCGAGCACCTCAAACGCTATTCCTATAACCAGTCCTGAAGAACCCCTAGACCCAACCAGCGAACCTTTTGTACCACATCCACAGCCACATTAAAGATACGTAAGATCCATTGATTAATCATTTACTCATTTACTATTGTCGTTCATTTGCTCATAATTGATTCTCATTGATCTCGGGCTCCGTCTTCTTCTCGAGGATGAGATCCTTTTGCGTAACTCTCTTCCAGATATCCTTGACGTCATCCACCACGGTCTCGAAGTGAGACGTTGCATCGAAAGAGCGCGAAATGAATATGTTGTCCTCTTCACCGCTGCCAGTTGGCTCATAGAGTGGATTTACGCTGACGAATTTATCGTGAATAGGTCCCAGTAATTTGTACGCTGAAAGAAGTTCAGCTTCAGGTGCGGATGTCTCCACCACAGTCGACACGATAGCCACATAAACATCCTTAGCGCATACATTGTGAGATGAGGAGACAGCTGCAATGTAGATGTCGTTCTTTCTGCCCACCTGGTTCTGTGGGATAATGAGCTGCGCCGAGTCGCTGTTGTCCGTGTTTGGGATGGGGTGTTTGAGGAGACAGATAGCTCTAACGACCTTGCCCACTTCTTTGACGCGCGGGTGCGGTTGCTCGGTGCTACTCATAAAGTAGGACGGATCACCGATAACCTTCTTCGCGCGTACTGTCTCATCGCCCGACCTAACACCTGTAAATTTGCCGTTTTCATCCAAAACAACCTCGTCGATGGGTTTATCGAGCATATAAGTACCGCCGTAGATAGCCGACAGACGCGCAAAAGCCTGTGGGAGCTCACCGAGACCGTAGAGAGGATAGATATAAGGTGATTTGCCGTATCTCGCCATGGAGGAGGTATACAGGAGAATTCTCTCGTAAGTCTCACGTGCAGGTTTCTGCTTGTATGAATCGTCGAGGTAGAGAGCCATAGCATGGCCAATGAAGTCTTGGGTACCTGCCTCAAGCCCGAACTTGTTATACACGGCCTGCATGGGGTGAGAGTCGAGGTCGATGCCGCTGTGAGTGCTGGGATCATCGTCGCGGTAGTTCTGGATAAAGAGGAAGAAATTTCTTGCGCGCCTCTTCTCGAATAACCCCATCAAGCTCGAACGGACAGCTTCGTATTCGGTGCTAGGGACTTTGGATACGGTCTTATCACGGAGGACAAAAGAGCCTGCAATCTGCTTGAATTCGAGGTATCTAGTGACATCAGTGTGGACCAAAATCTTTGTCAGTTCACCAGAAGCAAGGATAAACTTTGGGATCAAATCGATTGCGTAGTCGCGGTCTCTTCCGAGTTCTGAAGGTGGAGCCGTGTCCTTGAATTTCTTGTAAAGTTGAGTGAGATTCAATGAGGCTGATTCACCGCCATAATAATCATTCCTGTCAATATGCAATACCTTCTGGCCATCTACGCTGAGCAGCCCAGATAGAATACACTCTGTTAACCCAGTCCCAAGTACAATTACCTGCGTTTATTTAGTTTTAATTTATTTCTCAATCCACCACCCACGTCATAATCCTCATCCATGATGTGTGTTTGGTGTCAAGAGATGATTTTATCCAAATGTCTTTCTTTTTCTTTTTTTTCCTTACTCTATTCCTATACCCCGTTAACACCCCACAACGGATGGTTTCATCTGGCGCGTGAACCTCTTGATTGATTCTGCCGGGATTCAATAAGGGCCGAGGCTGTGAACAGTCCGGTCCACTTACCACCAACACCGATGCAAATCTCAAATCTCAAATCACTGAAAAATCTCACTTCCATGAAAAATCTCACCAAACCGAGATGAGTAGCAATAATCGGAGGTGGTATTGCGGGGATATGTTTGGCGAATATCCTCCACAAGCACCCCGACTACCGCATCCAAGTGTTCGAGCGAGATGTGCAAATCAACGCCAAACCGCAAGGCGGGAGTCAAAATGTGAATGTGGGAGCGCAACAAGCACTCCGAGCTGCTGGAGCAGAAGCGTACCAGCATTTTACTCGACATGCCCGACCTGAAGACCAGGACAGTATGCTGTTAGACAAACACGCAGCCGTGCACATTCACAACCATCCCCAGTCACTCGCTGTCGCTATAGAGAAATACAAGGAGCGGCTGCACGGTGACTCTACAAGCAATATGCATCTCAGGTGGGCTAATCTTCAGACTCGTATGAATGTGGGCGCGGTGGAGAAGGTGAAGTTTTTCATACAGATGCAGCAACAGCACGAGCAAGAGCAAGCGCGAGAGTAGCTGAATTAAGGGCTTCTAGTCCACACTGTAGTGCTAAATGATGATTTACATATTTTCAAGATTTACATGTATTTTCCTTTGTTGATAACAGCCATGATCAGCGGCGGTAAACGGAAAGCGAGCGGCAGG